GCATGGAGGGAGGTGGCAGAGACAGTGGTATGTTTTCGCCTGTTTTGGGGAGTTTATATCCAGTTTACTTCGGGCTTTTTGGCTTCGTATGTCGCGGGCGGGAGATTCATGTGATTGGTTGATCGCAAAAAAAATCCCCAAGCTTCAGATACGCCCACCTCCAAGATTTTTTTAACGCTGCCGTGGAGACGGCCCGTTATAGCAGCTATCGGATGGAATCAATACATGGGCTGCACAGGTTGTCATGTCCGACTATCACAAGTAGAATCATAATGAAAAATACGTCGGTAAAAAGTGCCTGTAAAAAACGGCTTAGCAAGTAGTCAGTTTAGCTTCGGTTGCTATGCTAACATCACCCATGTTATACCAGAGAAACTTTCATAACAGCGTTGTGATGCCAAACAGCGTCAATTCAGACTGACACACATTCACTTAAGGGGAACTGGGGATATGTATCAGCTGCTTGTGTGACAGTCAGACAGTGAATACTTTAGAGCCGTGTGAGCTAACCCGGAGCTAACGGGAGAATACACTCGTGGAAGAGCAGCCGGCCAGCACTGCAGCGGTCGGTAAATGCCGCTGAAACACATTAATAAACAATGAACCACGGCACTCTGGAGAAAAGTATAAGGTTGGAGAAGTCGTTATTTAATTTAATCTGGCTTCGTATGATTAAAAGCAACGCAGTCCCCGGCCCGTTGTTGTTGTGAGGTGAGCTCCGTTGGGGAGAAAATCAGCGACGTAAACTGTGACGTCATGACGCAGCAGCGGCAGCACCAGTCGGTCTCTGAGCGGTGTGAAAAGAGCCGGAGCTAAACCGAAGTACCGGTTCCGAACCTGAAAAGCTCTAGCACGGAGCTTGAACCGGAGTTGCGTTGGTGTGAAAGGGGTATTTGAAGTGAACCAGCGTCGTAGGACCGGAAATCCCTGAAGTTACCTCGCTAAATGAAAATCCTGATTCGTAGTACAGGCCCCTGCTCCGGAGCAGGTTAGGTTGCAGGCTAAGAGATCAACTCAGTGAAAGCACCGCCTGCTGACCAATCAGAGCTCAGTGTGCGGAGTTTAAAGCGATCAAGTCATATTACAGGAGAAAGGAAATACAGTTTAAACTGCCGTTGCAGGAAAGACGGCCGGCAAAAATCACCGACTGTGTGAACGTGAAAATGAATAGAATATCCCCTCCCATCTTCAGAGCAATCTGACTATTATAACATTAGCGTTAAGAAAGCTTACTTAAATATCTGCCACGACATAAGTAACCGGATCAGAGTAACATTAATGGCGCATTTCCACTACACGGTCGGCCTCGGCCACACTCGGTACGGCTCGGTACGGCTTGGCCGCGTTGGGCCTTAACAGGGCCGACTCACTTCATGCTGCGCTTCCATTACAGTTTAGGAACTGGGGTAGTTACTATAGTAACGCAGTGTAGGCGGAGCCGTGACGTCATCTTCAATGAGAAGTCCAGAAACACAACACAGCCGTTAGCTGTTAGCACTCAGAGCTCACAGCTCCTTATATATGTTCAGAAACTCGACAAAAGTTAAACAAGTACACACCACAGACTGCCTGTGTCATGGTGAATACAGTCGCTGCTTTATTTATGTCTGTATAGGCCGTTGTTGTGAGTGTGGACGGTCAGAGCATATACTGCGTTAGCTTAGCCAATCTCCATCTAGAAAAACACGCATTTTAAAAGGTTTTTCGCCTGCCGTCTGTCTGCAGACTTGACAAAGCATTAATTCATGGTTTTTACTAACCGGTATCAGTATGTTGTTACTTCGGCATCATTTTGAAACGTGTATTACAATTAAATCACGGTCAAATATGTCCATCTTGTTGTAGTTCTAGCCCTCTTGCCAGCGCTCCTCTCTCTAGTTTAGCATACTCAGCCCGACTCAGCCCTGTTTGTTGGCCCCGATAGAACCACAATTTTCTAGGGCCAGAAAAGAGGTGAAAAAGTGGCCCCGCGCCGTGCCGCGCCGGAACTAGGCCTAGTGGAAGCACAACCAAAAAAGGGGACGGCACGACACGGCACGCTTAAAGCGAGCTCCGCGCTGCAGTGGAACTGCGCCATAAGTACAGTCCGCGGCACTGTGAGTGCAGACGTCGATGTGTCCCATTATCATTCATATCATATCACATCATAATGTATCATATATTTCCTTATCTGAGTCAGCTTCTTGAGCCGTATCTGGCCGTGCAACACTCACAGTGTCACATACTGTATGCAGAAGTATTATTTTAAGCAACACATTAAGTTGACGAAACACTCGAGTCAAATGTAATTAAAGTCAGATCGTGTCTTGGCAGTGATTTCATAAACCTGTTAATGTACGCATTCAAACACTTTTTCTTTTACCAGCTGTATTCACCTTGCAGGTGCAGCTATGTGGCTTTGATCCTGGATAAAGTGTTTAAGTCATGGATGTTTAAAGTTTAACTTCTTCATATTTGTCTAATATTAAAGTTCACTTTTCATTCAGGAAGTATGACGCTGCGCTGTCAGTACGCTTGTCCATGTTTGTGATTGGTCGAATGCTCCAAATACAACCCCTTTCATGTGAACGCGCACCTAACTAGATAGGACACGGCTGGCTTGAGCGATCCACTTGATAACCCGCGTCGTAGGACCGCTTAACGAGAGCGCGTATGTTTTGGATTAGGCCAACCGGCTAACTCAAACATATCCAGGTTAGGTTGAACCAGCTTCGTAGTACAGGCCTCTGGGTTCTGCAACCTTTTTGACCAAAAGAGCAATTTTTCCCCCTTTTCCACCAATTTTTTTTGTCTGGAGCCGCAAAACATATTTGATAGCTTGATAGCTTATAAAGTTGTATATATTGTTACATCATAGACAAAAACTACAGTTTTTTTGCATTTATTATTTATTACATTATATAGAAAACTGTTAACCTCTAATAAGAAACAAAGAACTCTTATAAGGAGAATTTTAAAAAATACACAGGCCTACTTTAAAATAAATCAACACAGCACTTGGGGAGTCCTCTGCACATTTTAAGAAAATGAATATAATTAAAATTGACCCACTTTGAAATAAATAAAACATATAGCTGCACCCTAAAGAGTTAACTGATTGAGTTATGATGAAGATCGTCAGCTGTCTTCCTCTTCCGTGTTTCTCCTCCAATGCGTAAAGGCTGCAGCACCTTTGACCACTTCTCTCCACATATCAAACATACAGCATCGTTTGCTGTGAAAGCATATATCTCCAACCACGCAGAATTAAACCCTCTGTGTTCCTCCCATACTTTTATTTTCTTTGATTTATCCATAGTTCGCTCATCGAGCCGGGGGTCAGGTTATTCGCCTGCAAGAAAAGGCGCTGGTGGGGGACCGTAGCAGGATGTGACGTATATTTTAGTTGAACTAATTAAAACCGTTTTTTTATGTGTCACAGTATCACCTCAAAATACAAGATCCGAAACATTTTCAACCGTGCAACAAAATATGAATAGTCCTACAAATATTTTTATTTTATTTCCTTCTTATTTTTGTCTAAGCTCAAGAGAGCCAGAGTAGAGGGCTCTCGAGCCGCGGGTTGCCGACCCCTGGGCTAGACAGTAAAACACACTGCGGATTGGAAGGCCTGCTCACGTCCCAGATACGCTACTTTTGCTCTCAAGCCAGACCACTTTGGCATCATGGGTCACTGAGCAACTCTCACAGGAATGAATGGAGTCATGCCTCCAAAGCTGTATCCTGTTCTCTTTAAACTTCAATGTGCAAGACGGGCGACGGTAACATTTGCGGTAATGTGAGTCCGATCGTGGGGGTGTTATGCCATGTCACCTTATCTACCGAATGCAGTAAATAGGGCATTGGGCCGATGCCTCGCTGCATCCCTAATTATAATACTGACTATTTCTAAAATAAATCTGCCTTTCATGTACTTTATTTAAGAAAAGGATTATATTGGATTATCTTGTTTATATTGTGATCTGTATGTGTACTTGGATGACATTTCCTCCTCTCTCTTTACATTTTCTGGTATTATTTCAGCCCCTGTACATGAGTTTGTTAAGTTCTTACCTTGACACTTTTAAACTGTTTTATCATACATTTTGTAGCGAATTGCCATAAGATGCAAGGGACAATGTATTTAAATAACTTAAGGGAGGGCTATTTTGTATAGGTCATGCTTTCTACCCTAAGGCTTCAATGAACTTAGTTTTATTATACCTTGACTGTATTTCTAATATTGGATAAGCTTGTTGTGTATTCAGCTGCCACGTCCCAACCCTCCTCAGTCTGCTTTCTATCATTATTTCTGTTTAATACAGCTCATGGTTTTTGGGAACTGAAAACGTTTGCTCTCAGCTGTTGCTGAAAAACAGTTCTTCATCATGTAACAAAATCTTTTTTTTGCTCATAAGCATACATTCTCTCTCAGCCTTTTTAACCTTTTACCCAAACCCCTTTCATGTGCTGTTATACTCTTCAATCCACACATCCCATGTTTAGTTCATATCTGTCTGACACATTGTTTTTCATCCATTCATCCGCGTCTTTCTACTAGAAAGTCACATTTCCTCCTGTAAGTACTGTGTGACGTGTGAATCTTTGTTGCAAGCTTCTCCTCCCAGCACTGTGTGACGTGTGTGTCAGAGAATGCATCACAACAGTTTGTAGGCATGATGGAAGCAGACTGCACTGCTGCTGCTTGCAATGTATTCAATCACACAATCCTGCTCTGAACGCCCTATTTACTCTCATGCTAGATTAATGCCATTTGTTGTGTTGAAGTTGTAATGTTGCATGGTCTACTTAAAAGTTCCCCTGTTCAACAAGACCACGCATCTTATTGCCAAGGAGGAGATGATATACAACCTTTAGTGAAACAACAACGTAGTGCAATATTTTATGTTTTGGTTCATATTTGTTTCTGTTATTTCTTAAAAGTTCCTTTATGGCAAAGGAAATGCTTACTGTATTTGTACACCTTGGTTATGTGTGCCTTCATTTCTCTCTCTCTCTAGGCGGTATGGATTCAGCAAACAGTCCAAACAAGACATGGTAGGTTGTTCTTCTCTTTTATAAAAGGAACAGCGAGCATTTCATGTTATCACTGATCAGGCTTCTAAAGTGAGATGCTGCTCCTTCTCAGCCCTCACTGATCAGGCTTCTAAAGTGAGATGCTGCTCCTTCTCAGCCCTCACTGATCAGGCTTCTAAAGTGAGATGCTGCTCCTTCTCAGCCCTCACTGATCAGGCTTCTAAAGTGAGATGCTGCTCCTTCTCAGCCCTCACTGATCAGGCTTCTAAAGTGAGATGCTGCTCCTTCTCAGCCCTCACTGATCAGGCTTCTAAAGTGAGATGCTGCTCCTTCTCAGCCCTCACTGATCAGGCTGACACATTGCTTATGTCAAAGGGGAACTCCACCAATGTTACACACCAGCGCCTGTTCACTGGGTTAGGGTCACATTGTCTTAACCTCAGTGCACAGCTCCATGGGGCTTTCTGTACAGCGGACTACTGTAATGTGTTTTGTTTTATGTGTGCTTTATTTATGTGTACAACAGTGACATGTATATTTCTTTATTAACAGTAGTTGAATTAGACAATGGTTGAATTAGAATAAAAAAGGAAATGATTGCTTGCATTCATCCTCCTCTCAATACGTAGTTATCGACATGAATAAGTATTATTGTGTGAAAATGTGTTGGGCCAGCACATCATCTGTTGCTTATCACCACTTAAAGGGCCCATGTCATGGCCATTTCCACTGATCATAATTCCATTGTTGAGGTCTACTAGAATAGATTTATACTGTGCATTTTTCCAAACATTGGTTTCTCATACAGCATCTCTCCAAACTCACATTGGTTTCTCATACAGCATCTCTCCAAACTCACATTGGTTTCTCATACAGCATCTCTCCAAACTCACATTGGTTTCTCATACAGCATCTCTCCAAACTCACATTGGTTTCTCATACAGCATCTCTCCAAACTCACATTGGTTTCTCAAACAGCATCTCTCCAAACTCACATTGGTTTCTCATACAGCATCTCTCCAAACTCACATTGGTTTCTCATACAGCATCTTTCCAAACTCACATTGGTTTCTCATACAGCATCTTTCCAAACTCACATTGGTTTCTCATACAGCATCTCTGTAAACTACTTGCATTCACTGAATTTCACTCTCTGCCTTTAACGGCTCGTTGTAGCTCCAATAGCTCCAGCCCCCACCCTCCCTGTGAGCACAGTGTGCTCTGATTGGTCGGGACGTTGTGAATCGCGCTGAGCTCCGTGGAGGTGTTGTTTCCTTGTTAGCGATACACAGCGAAACACAGCCAAACTCATCCTGAGCACACACAAAGTCACAGCCGAAGTAAAAACAATAAGTGTGGCTTGATATTGAGTAAGAAAAAGGTTGATAAACGCTGTGAGAATGGGTCTGCGGAGAGAATTTCAACTGTCTGTTATCAGCCTGCAGCCAGGGAGGAGAAATCAGCTGAGCTGCCTGCTCCCTGCACACAGATGTGTGTGTGAGGAAGTCCGTGGATTGGTCAATTTGGACCAATCAGCGGGGCTTAACGTAACGGCTCCACGGACGTAAAGTAACGGCTCCACGGATTGGTCCATTTCGTTCCGGGTACGGCATGACATCATGCCGTACCCGGAAGAATCAAATGGACAGTGACGTATCTCCAACGAGGCGTTTTGGGGAGGTATTTTCTGTGTTAGAGTTTTACTCGCTACAGGGTGTACTTTGAGGGTTTGTGACTCTGTACACCGTTTACATGCATAAAAACCTTCATAGCACACAAGGGGACGGGTAATAACCGGAAAAGCATGACATGGGCCCTTTAACATCTTAATCAAAGAGCCACCATTCTACTCAGTAAACACTGGGATGTTGACTTTATTTCATCATTTCAAAAAGTCAGAAGTTGGGGCCACAAATAATTGTGGTACAGCATTATCTCCTTTTCTTTTGGATGGTCCAGTGTATCCTATATTAAACTGAAAGTTGGGTGCGCGTCCCGATGCTAACATTGCCCCCGCTGAGCAAGTATTAATAGCATTAGTTGTATTGTTAAGGTACAACAAAGAATATCCATTCATTTGAGCTCACTTTTAGCTGACTATTTGAACTGTTTATCTATTACATTTTTGGATTCTTGCACCACATTCCTGCATCGTTTCTGAACATCTTTAGATTACCACTGGATTTAGTTAACGACTGACTGGTGTGTTCAAAGATCAAAGCGTTTCCACGGCAACGCCCTGCCAGTGAACGAGAGACAGCCTGTCAGAGAATGTGTTGTGCTGCATTAAGTGCTTCTAAGTAACAAACTGTAACTCCAATCAGCTGTATCCTAGCCAGAGTATTCAGGATACCAGATGAACACGTGATGACTCTGTGTTTGCTATATGTGTAAGTCCGTTTGATGAAATGAGCAAATCATGGCTGCCACTTCTCCTGGGTCACTCCTTTAGAAACCTTCTTAAGCTAAATTGAGAATTTGACTGCAACGCATGTATTGGGGAGTATAACGTTTGTCTAAAGGGCGCTGTGTAAAGTCTGATAAATCTCCTCAAGTCATGTAGATGAAGACTACAGGCTTTACAAGTGCAACATCTGGAGGTGTTCATTTAGAGGAGTGAGCCGACCAGCCCTCGGTAGCTCATCTCTACATAAGCCTAAACTCTCACCCATTGTGCATTTTGTGTGCACTTTGTGGGTAAAAGAATGCAGGCTCCATAGATTTGTACAGTTTCTGAACGGTTGATTTTGCCATCCTCGCTGTGACAATGTTAAAGGAGTGCAGTACTGAATCAGGGGAGTAGTCTTTAACACAGCAAAGAGTAGAAGTACTGTCATTCTGTATGTGTACACTAGCAGGTCCTGCTTGGTCTCTTTAGCCAGCGTCCTGTCTCCCTTCTCTAGGTGGATGACAGGAAGGCCCCGCTGGCCCCTGGCTCTCAGGCAGCCCCCTCCGGGATGGCAGAGGTGTCCGAGGAAGAGGACCTGCAGGCAGCAGAGGAGGTGAGCACTTTATACAGGGAGTGCCATACACATGAAAGGCAGGTCACACCTAAAGACATCCAGTCAGGTAGCAGCAAAGACCGTAGGGAAAAGTTTAGTTATGAAGCATTTTTCAACACGAAGCAATTCAAAGTGCTTTACAAAAAAAAGAAAAACATTAAGAGCATTTAAATATAGTGCAGCGGAATCACATTATAAGATGACATCCAAAAACGTTCAAAACAGTCATTAAAAAGAGAAGAGAATAAGATAAACATAAAACAAGCTAATATAGAATAACACTGGTATAACATACATGAATACAAGTTACAGTAGAGTGGAAGATATGAATAGTTCAATTAAAAGCAGCGTGAAAAGAAAAGTCTCCAGCCTGGATGGAAGTGTAAGAGTTGCAGCGGACCTGCAGGATTCTGGGAGTTCGCTCCAGATATTTGGAGCATAATAACTGAACGCTGCCTCTCCATGTTTAGTTCTGACTGACAGAAAGCAGACCAGAAGACCTGAGAGTTCTGGATGGTTCATAATGAAGCAGGAGATCAGAAACCTATTTCTGTCCTGAACCATTCAATGCTTTATAAACCAGCAGCAGTATTATACAGGAAGCAGTGTAAAGACCTCAGAACTGGACTGATCCACTTTGGCAGCGTGCGTTGAAGCTTGCCGGCAGGCGTGTCTGAAGCTCGACCAACAACCAATCACATGAATCTCCCGCCTCGGACACACAAGCACGTGGTTTGATTGGCTAGAGCTTGTTCTGGCATATGATTTGATTGGCTGACGCTTCCGTCGAAGCTTGAAAAGTTGAACTTTTCTCAACTTTTGAAGCGAGCAACGTGAGCAAAGCGAAGCGACGCGACCACAATGCAGTTCGGCAAAGCGTGACGTCACCCCATTCAAAGTGAATGGGAAGAAGCATTGAAGCTTCAACGCACGCCGCCGTGTGGACGGGCCTAGTGAGGATTCGAGCAGCAGCGTTCTGAACAGCGGAATACATTCTTTAGTGAGACCGGTAAAGACACCAACATTGCTGACTGATCTCAGCGCTGACTTTTATTAGTTCCTCTTTGGCTCCAAAAACGATGACCTCAGTTTTATCTTTGTTGTATTGAAGAAAGGGGAAATAAGAAATAAAAGGTTTAAAATACAAATGTAGGGGTATTATTAAACTCACTGTATTTTTGTTGGTAGATTTATCCTGAATTCATCAAAGGTTAGAAATAGCTAACGCCTCATTTTGCATTATGCATATTGTTTTTTTCCAGTTCAGGAAACTGTTCATACACACTATAATTACTGTCAGTAGTGAACCAGGAAGTGTCATGGTGGATATGTCCCTGTTCACCTGTAGTGTAGCACTTGCACACACCAAACATTCCAGGTTCATTTCTCTAGATATTCTGAAGATTTGTACAGAGGCCGTCTTCAAACACCATTAACACACACATTTATACACACTTTATTACTAATTGCCTTGAATCTCCAGACTTCAAATGATATGCAACTGTGTGTTTTTTCTCTCAGATACGGATCAACACCCTGATGACCAGCATGGCTGCCATGGCTAATGAAGAAGTAAGCTGTTTTTGTCTCCTTCTCTTCTCATCTGTGTATCTGTACACGTCTGTAAAACGTGATTAAGATAAGATAAACCTTTATTGATCCCCGTAGGGAAATTCAGGTGCAGCAACAAGGGTGAGACACAGGAGAGTACAGATATGAATTAAGACAAGGATAATAATCAAAGTAAAGAAGTATAGAAATACAAATATGTGAAAAATGAACAGTATACATATACAATGTCTTCAAGTTTCAAGTTCAAGGCTTTTATTGTCATTAGTGCATGGCTACAGTGTAGTTATGACGAGGTGATTGTTGGCCCCCCAGCAGGGCCCAGTCCTCCTCCTCGTTGTTGCCTGAGCTGAGCTGCTGATAATAATAATAATAATAATAATACATGGGATTTGTAAAGCGTTTTTCCTAATGCTCAAAGACGCTTTACATCAAATCAGAACAGAAACAATACAAAGAAAACTAAAAGCATAAAGTATAGTCCTAATCCAAATGAGGAGTAATGATGGAGTCATCAGAGAGCTTGTGTGTGAGGCGCACTTACAGCTGAAGTCCCTTCAAACCTAACCTCCTGGGTATCTGGCCTCAAACTTCACAAAGCACTTATTCACTTACTATAATATTAATAACCTTAAAGGTGGGGTAGGTAAGTTTGAGAAACCGGCTCGAGATACACTTTTTGTTATATTCCATGGAATGCTCTTAACATCCCAATAGCAATGAATATCTTAAGTGCTTTGACAACAAATCCATAAAAAAATGTCCTCTGTGGAAGCCGTAGTACTGTAAAAAGCACGACCAATCATTTAAGCCGGCCCCGCTATAATAACTGGATGGCCTACCTGCCTGTCAGCCTTCCATCTGTGCACAAACTTATCTGGTGCCCTCATTGGTCATGTGCGCGTTCGTGTGTGTTGGAGGAGGGGCTCTGTAAGGAAGTGGCAGATTTTCTCCGGTTGTGTATTTTCAAATTCTAGCGATCTCGAGCCGGTTTCTCAAATGTACCTACCCCACCTTTAAGCTTGTATTTTCTTTATGTATTTTTTCTTTATCTACATTGCTCTTTCTACAATATTCCAATTCAGCTCAATCTTTTTTTATTATAATTTCTTTTTGTATCTTGAATACTTTTAATTTCATTTAATTTCAAACCTTTATTTAACCAGATTGGTCCCATTGAGATCATAGATCTTTTGTATGCATGCTTTAGGTAACATGAAGCTGTCTCCTTTCTGCTGTAACAATGTACATGTCCCCTCTGTGGGACTAATGAAGGGAATCTGAATCAGCAGTCAAGGCTCTGTTCTTTTAACAGCACTTTTAGTCATGTAGTCAAACATCTTTTGTACCACTGCATTTACTGTAACCAGAACAGCTACATTGCGGAAATAAACAATGTCCAATTCATTGTTCAATTATTTCAGTTTTTCTCTTTTGTCTGTGTGCAGGGGAAGCTAACAGCGAGTGCGGTGGGTCAGATAGTGGGAATGCAGTCTGAGGAGATCAAACAGATGGCCTCCGAGTACGCAGAGAAGGTGAGCAAGCACCACTGTGACCATGCTGTACTGCAGGAACATAAGACCACTCTTATAAGCTGCTACCCCCTGTACTTTGTACTTTCAGAGAAAAGCTTCATTAGTTCTGTTTCTATTTGTATCTTTACCTCGTGAAATAAAGCATGAAACAATACCATAAAGCATAACATACATCCTGGATTTTGTAACCTGTGTCTCAGTGACATGTATAAACCCACTCCGTCTTCCTGAGCTCCCCCCTGCTTCAAGATTCTACTTTCAAGGCTTTATTGTCATTAGCACAGCAGCTACAGTGTAGAGATGAACACGTCCCAGGCTCCTCCAGCAGAGCAACATGAATATATATAGGACATCAAACAAATAAAACAGATCAAATAGTGCAAGAGAATGTTTTGAGATGTGCAAGTAATACAAATAAAATCAAAATAGTGCAAGAAGTGTCTATATACAAGTAAATGAAATATATGATATATTAGATAAATAATTAGCAAAGTGCAAACAGATGAAGGTTACGGATGTTCTTAACAGAGTTCAGGTGCTCTGATTCAGTCCACATGCTGTTGTTAGTGAAGAGGCAGAGACTCTCTCTCCATTCAGAAAGAATGTCTAGTGAGCATGTCCAGTCTTGAAAATACTCCCACTTTTTCAACTCAATTTCTTCTAGTCAGGCGGTTATTTCAGCTTGAAGGGACAGAAAGAGAGACATTCAGTTTTCCATTTGTCCTTAGCTTCAGTGATGTGGCAGACAGTATTAGAAATACTCAGAAAGCAGTTCCTCCTGTTGTAGCCAAACTCTGGCTTTGGTCACATTAAGATACTGCTGTGTATTAAAAGCTTTTTTAAATGCTATTCAAACCATAATAATGATAATAGTTTTGGTGCCTTAAAATCCGTATTATCAAAATCGTAGGAAGGAAAAATGTTGACCCCTCAATCTCAACGAAACGGAGCTTTCTTTTTTCATTTCATACTTGTAAAGTGAAATTGGTTACTGCTTCAGACATTTGTACAGGCATGTTTAAACACAGCACACTCACTCCAGAGGCTTGTGAGGGCCAAACACTGAGTGCCTCAGTTCTCCTCTGTTAGCCTTTTCTGGTTGTTCTGTGCTCTCCCCTATGTCCCTGCAGCAGTCGGAGCTGACGTCAGAGGAGCGCTCGGAGTGCTACGGCCCGCTGCAGCAGCACCGCCGGGCCGTGGCCTCGCTCAACAAACAGATCCAGCACCGGACCAAACAACTGGAGGAGGTGCTCCACTCTGCTCTCACACCTCAGCATCACAACCACAGCCACTGTGACCCTCAAGGGTCACATCTGTACAAGAAGATGTATTTGTTTAAACACAGGGCAAAGAGACAATACATGCAGTACTTCTATGATATATACAGACAGCATTTACTTAGCGAGTAGAACACAAAGTATACACCTTATTATGATGCAGCAGTGATCAGGGACGCTGTCGGAACTATTAATGATATGTATTTCATTGTTTACAAAGCTGAAAGCCAAGCATGCAGAGGTGAAAACAGGCTGTGACGATGCCAAGAGAAATCTGGTTGAGGTAAGACCATGCTGAAATGCCTCCAGCCAACTATTCATGAACATCTGTTTGCTTGTACTTTATTGGCAAACATGGAACAATGTGACAGACAGTCAAATATGATTGCAAGTTGCTTTCGAAGCACTTAACTCTTTCAGAGGAACCTGAGTTTTGTTATCTGATGTTTATTGTTATGGATCTTCATTTTGGATTTTGAGATGGAGCTGACAGCACATAATTGTCACACCCATTCTTCTGTAATTACATACAAGAAGGGGATTTCAGAGCCTTTTGATAGACATTAGGAATGTCATTGATCACACTCCAATCATCAGTAGTGTGATCATCAGGGGGGGTGTTATAGCTATACAAGTGGTTTAACCAGGTGTGTGTGTATGATCCCAGGCTACAGAGTGCTCTGAGAAACTGGACAGAGAGCTGAAGAGTTTGGCTGAGCTGGAGGAGCAGGCTGACAGCAGGCGAGTCACACACATTATCTCTGACTAGTTTGTGTCATTGGATCCTCATGGCCTCTGTGATTTGGGTCAGTGTATATTTCCTCCTGTCTGTCTGTTCATTTATTTAGGAACTTGAGCCTCAGGAAAGAAACATTTCAAAGAAGATTTAGTAGAGACTATAAGTGAGGTTTAATACACAAGTTGGACATCTCACATGTGGTAGGCTAATACAAACCAGTGGTTGTGCTTCTGGCACTAGTATGAGAACAACCCAGTATGAGGAGTCAAATGTTCATTATTATTTATTGAGCACAGTTGCAATGAAGCCATTCAAATGCTAACATAATGCAAAAACCCTTTTAATGTTGAGCATGGGATCAATAAAGTATATCTTATCTTGTGAAGAAATCCCAAAACAAAGCTGTTACTGACCTCCTGTGGCACCATGAAGGAATGGCCGCTCCACTGGTAGAACATGTAACACTGCTGACCTTTTGTCGCTCAGATAGGTGACTCTAATGTTCATCCCGGCTGCATTCAGACATGACAGGACTTTTAAAGAAAGAACCCTCAATGCTTGTGTACTATCTGGTACCTGTGGAGACAGGGAGTGGTGAGTTTAGAATGTCTAGTTAGCAGTGGGGGGGAGCTTTTTTAATGCCATTATGAGTGTGAGTGATGCTTTTACATAAAATCACATGCTTATGCAGACATGAGAACAACATGTTAGATTTTCATGAGATTATAATGCATGTCTGCTGACTGTGAAATCCCAAACATCTTTCCAAAGGCATGTTTTTAAGGATTGGATGCATACTTTTCACATGTCAAATGTATGCTCAGCGAGCAGTATACATACACATACAGGCTGCTGAAGGGGGGGCCGCTGCTGCAGGGGGGGCCGCCGCTGCCCTTGGATTAAAGGGACAGTCCATGTAAATATGCTTTGTTCTGCTCACAGCTCTCTGGAGAAGCTCAGGGCTTTGGTGACGATGAATGAGAACCTGAAGCAGCAGGAGCAGGAGTTCCGCACACACTGCAGAGTGAGTTCATCAGCACACTAACATGCTCACACCGCTGGGTGTTAGTACCGGAAACAAGTAGGATTTGACACTGTTAAATGATGATGGAATGTGTATCCAGGAAGAGATGGCCCGTCTACAGCAGAACATAGAAGACTTGAAGATGGCATCAGGACAGGACACAGACGAGGAGAAGGTAATGTCCTATATTCACTATGCAGCACAGCATATAAAACACATTCATTCTAAGAGGAAATAATAATAATCACAGTTTGCACTCTATCCCCTCCTCTGTGTCTTTTCTCAGGAGAGGAACCAGCTGATAGACAAACAGTACAACACAGACAGAGAGAAACTACAGAAGATCCGTCTGCTCATGGTAACTTCTTCACATGTAACACAACACAAGATAAGAAGGAACTGGACGAATGAGGTCAAAGCAGCAGATAACAGACTACAGATAAGACAAATTGAGAGTAGTTAAAATAATACAAAGAATATTGGTGGTTTCATTTCCTGGTTTGATCTGCCCCAGGCTTCTCTACAGTATACCTGATCATTATAGTTATAATGCAAATAATTCCGTTTACAGCAGAGTTGTCATCTTGTCTTTGTGGGAAAGCACATCAGACATGACGCAGACCTGCAGCAGTTATATCTAAATTAGGACATTATTTTGTGTTGCAAAGTAAGTAGGAGTACATTCAGTCATTTATTGTACTTAAGCACCAGAGCCTTTATTTATTATCACCACCTCATGCTTCACAATGTTTCTCATCTGTTACACTTGAGAGGAAAGCAGTGTATTCTGAATTAACTCCATTAATAGCTACAGTTATTTTGCAGATTTAAAATGTACCAGCAAAGCCATATGATCATCAAATACAAGGAGGCATTGTTATGACAACCCAGTGGTTGAAAGGAGTTATCATAATGCTGGAATTTAGCATTATATTATTCAATATGTCGACACATGTTTGGGTTCTTTCTGTAGCAGAATAATCCTCCTGTGATGTGTGAGTGAAACAAAGTGCATGTGGCCTCACATGTCACATCACTGGGAGACACAAAGGATATTAGGAGACGTTGGCTACACATAGTACCTGTTAGTAAATGCATTCTGTATTAGTTTGGTTTTTCACTTATTTCTGCTAACTATATTGAGTCAAAGGCTTTTCAGATCATTTCAGTAATAATAAGAATAATACATTTGATTTGTAAAGCACCTTTCATTGCTAAAAGCAATCCCAAGGTGCTACAGGAGGCATTATAAAAACAAACAAAAGAAACAAAAGCTCCACATTTGACATTATATTAGAACAACAAAAACATGCGGGTGCATTCGCTTCAAACATTCATAGACATGTGGCACATGAAATGTGCCTTTGGAACAGTGTTTGGTTCAGTTGCCAGAATCCGAACACTCTGAGCTGTGGGCTGTGAAAGGCACTACTGTGTGGGCTGAATGCCTCTGAGACAGGCTGACTGTGTTCAGGCTCGCAGGAACCGTGAGATCGCCATCCTGCAGAGGAACATCGATGAGGTGCCGAGCCGGGCGGAGCTCACCCAGTACCAGAAGAGGTTCATCGAACTCTACAGCCAGGGTGGGTTCCTCCTCCATCTCTGATCAAACCAGTGCCAGAACGGAAACAAAGGCAATACATGCCAATTTGTTTTGTTCCTTTCAGTTTCTGCAACACATAAAGAGACTAAGCAGTTCTTCACACTGTACAACACGCTGGACGACAAGAAGGTTTATCTGGAGAAGGAGGTAAGTACCCTCATTGTTGAAATCATTTCCAATATCATGGTTCTAGTCCAACTTGAACTAAATTCACCAGATGATATGTGCTCTCAATATGAATGCTTTATTTCTGAAGGTGAATCTGCTGAATTCTATTCACGACAACTTCCACCAGTAAGTATGAATATACTTCTGTGGTGAATGTTTGTAATATGAGAGTGGTGTAGCTGATGAGGGTGTAAAGTGAAGGACTGTAACTTGCTGTGCTGTTGTTCAGGGCCATGTCGTCTTCAGCAGCCAAGGAGCAGTTCCTCCGACAGATGGAGCAAATAGTGGAGGGAATCAAACAGAACCGCATCAAGGTAGAACTCTCTGAAAGGGTCCTTTCACCCTGTGACCCCTCGGGTTTCATTGATTTGTCTTAATGTTCTTTTATCTCTATGATTATGATAAGAATGTACTCACCAAGGTAAATGCTGACATTAAGGAACATGACATGGCGACATTGTTGATCAGAACAAACAGAGAAACCTTCTTACCAGCGTTTCAACACAAGCTGTGGCAGTATTTCTTGTGATGCCTGCTTCCTCTGCTCTTCCAGATGGAGAAGAAGAAGCAGGAAAACAAAATGAGGAGAGATCAGCTGAACGACGAGTACCTGGAGCTGCTGGACAAGCAGAGGCTTTACTTCAAAACAGTCAAGGACTTTAAAGAGGTGAGAAGAACATGAGCTACCAGCTGCTGCTGCATTAGTTTCACTGTGAGGCAGACTGTTCAACTGGTAAGAACACTTAACATAGTGTAATGGTTAGCTTGGGATTAGCACCCTCAGCGATATGAGCAGGGTTTACACAAATATAACATATATTATTTGAACACAAGGATTATAATCATACAATTAACACATTATTAACATATTAACCTGTTGCTAATAAGCTTGCATATTATAGCATGTTGGCTTGTTATTAGTTATTATAAATCCAGAACAAGAGTGTGTGTGGGAGAGAAACTCCCTCTTCCTGAACACAGAGGTGTTAGCCTTTGCAGACCATTGACATGCACTTGCACCTATATAGCACACTACTGGAGAGGAAACACCCCCAGAAGCAGAATAGGGCCTCTTTAAAGGGCATTGATCATTGTTGCGGTACTACCACTGTATGCACATTGAGATCATAATTCATGTCAAAACAACTGTCTAAGTATGAATAAGCAGGAAGAACAGTAGGTTATTGATATGATAATGATGATGATGATGATGCTCTTGCTCTTGTCACCAGGAGTGTCGGAAGAACGAGATGCTGCTGTCCAAACTCCGAGCGAAAGGGGCTTCTTAGAGCTTGTTCCACTGGTTCTAAACCCAAACGTGTAATCTACATGACATAAGTATGAGAGCTATACATTCCACTATTTGTTTCATTTCTCTTCTTTATTTCTGATACAGTTGAAAGCCAACACGTAACCACTCACATTCAAAAGCCTGTGCTCTACACGTGCTAATTCCAGCTGACTGAAAAACACAAATGACTTTTATAGGTCAAAAGAAGCTCTAAAATGTTTTGCATATTTGATGTCCTTCTCCGCAATGATCACAAATTACAAACCAATTTGTTAGTATCTACTAAGCCCATTCTTCTCAAAAGAAGGTGTTGAGTATGTACATGAACATAATAATCCTATGAATCCCCACAATGTGTTAGATATTATTGCTCATTGGGGCTGCAACGCTAACTACACCTTTTATAGGTATAGATCCATCCACCATGACTTCATGTGGATCATGTGGGACTGCACTGTGCAACACACACTAGGTCTAGGTTCTTGCTGATGTCATCTTGTAGAATGTTTGGAACTAAAGTCCTTAAATGTTATTAGAACATGAGAGGTTCCCTAGTGCAGCTTTAAACATCAATCATCTTCTAATCTGTTCTTATGTGCCTCTGAAGTTTGCAGACTCCTCATGTCTTAATGACCATGTACAACAAGTATTTCATAAATAAATCAATCTTTCTATTCAGGATTGACATGCTTTGCTGTGACTCATTTCAGATACTAATGTTCTGTCAGCCCCTGCTGATTGAAGACAGCATACTATCAGAAGTCTCCCGTCACATGATGAATCTGTGAAGGAAACATCCTGTGTAGCACCTCCAATCTTGATCACACCAACGTCCTTTTATACAAATCTGAAGTGTTGCAGCATCATCAGAGATATCTCCTGTTTTACTTGACACATTCTTCTTCCTTGTTAAAACCTGGTGCCTATACATTACCCACAGTGCAACTTGGCCGCCAACTTGAATGCCTGAAGTGCTCCTGAATGCCTGTGAACACACTGATGTGTCAAATTGGTGCAGTTCTCCTTTAACAGATGCAGTTACCCTGTTGTTAATGAATTGTTGATGTAACATTTTCAAATGTAATGTTTCCTGATACAAACTCAATATTTGAATTCATGAACTACAATCTTGCCCAGTGTAATACTCTCAAAGGTTTTGCTGTTGTAGCGCTTGGTGCTGGTATGATGGTGGCTAACGTTACCCAACCTAAATAAAAAGAAAACAGAAGTTCCACTGTAAGAAAATAACAAATGTATATTAAAATATTCATTACAACCTTAAGTTAAAGTATTTTGAGTGGTGACGTGTTTGGCTCATCTCTGACATGCACATCCTCTCCTGTAGTGGTTCTTTAATGGGGGGATGGCATAGTTCCAAAAAAGTGGCGTCAAGGCTAAATACATTTTTTAAGGAACACTTGGAAAACACATCAGATCTCAGTGGGAAAATAAATCATGCTGGATATCTATACTGATAAGGGCTGGGTAATGTGTTTGGAACGAAAGCCACATCGTTTGATGGAAATGAAAATGATCAACCTACAGAGGGCTGAATTCAAAAACACCCCGAAAACCAAAGTGGAAAAATAATGCGGCCGGCTAGTCCATTTTTTCAGCAACTCAAAATGTTACTCAGTACTGTGTATTCATTGCATCCTGAGGGATCTCCTCCCAGATCTGGACCAGGGCATCACTGAGCTCCTGGACAGTCTGAGGCAGGGCCGTATCCACCATTGAGGTCACCGAGGTCCGGACCTCAGTAATTTTTTTCGAGCTGTGTATATAACAAAACGTGTGAAATAACTGCACTAAACGGGGTTCTTTGTAATACTTCCATTTACTGACGATGGGGGCGCTGCAGAACCACGTAGCCTCGATTAAAGCAAACAGAAGACGACATGAATCAACCATCAACCTATGGTATCAACAAACAGCCGCAGTCTGGACTTGTATCTGAACAGCGGAGGAGTGATGAGGTTCTAGAGATCTGAGTCCAGCGGGCTGCTTGTGTTTCTGTTCATCAGGACATCATATGACTTAATCCCGATACCTAATGGCAGTCAGGGTGCTGGTCTCCAGCCTGTAGAGAGGTCTGTGCGTCCCTCCATGGGTATGCCTCCCCAGACCATCACTAAACCACCACCAAAGCAGTCATGCTGAACGATGTTACAGGCAGCAAAACATTCTCCAGGGCTTCTTCAGACCCTTTCACGTCTGATGTGCTCAGGGGGAACCTGCTCTCATCTGTGAAAAGCACAGGGCGCCAGAGGCCGACCTGCCAATGACCAAGCCGGAGGTCATTTTGTAGGGCTCTGGCAGTGCTCCTCCTGTTCCTCCTTGTACAAAGGAGCAGATACTGGTCCTGCTGATGGGCTGAGGACCCTATCCAGCTCTCCTAGGCTGCATCTCACTTCGGTTAAATGAAATCCTTGCGTTCCTCACTTGCGTCGTTTCCCTGCGTTTAGTCCCTCCAACCAGGGAAGCATGGAGAGATGTAAGGAAACCACGAGAAGCAGGGAAATGAGTTTTAAGAGCAATAGAGTGCCACAGTGACGCATCCTAAAACCTGGAAGTAAACTCCTTCCGGTTCCTTCGACAAAAACCAACGCAATTTCTCCATAGGATTTTGGAAAATAGCTGGAAATAAGGTCTGTGGTGGACACACATTGAAGAGACAGATCACGTTTTGTTCATTCGGATAATCTCCACATGTCTACCCAGGGCCGTCCCTCCCTACAGGCCGATCATGCAGGCTGCATGGGGCCTCACATTGTGCAAGGGGCCTCGCGCAGGGGGCCTCAGCTTATGAGCTCGGCTTGTGCGCAGTTCTCAGCGCATGAAGAAGGCAGTCTCTGCATAGCATATAGGACATATGGAGATGCAGTTATTTCCAGCATTCTTTATTTACCATTCATTCAAGTATTTGATGCCTTTTATCTGCTAATGTACAGGAGGGAGAGTGATACACGGTCTGTCTAGTTGGCTTACATAACAGTTCAAGTTTACAGCCTAAAAAACATGGAGCATTTGTTCCCCTTTTATTCATTTTTATGTCAATTTGCACATTTCATGGTGATGCTCAGCCTCTCCCCTTAACTCCTAACAGTCATCATCATGTCAACCACAACACAGAGAAATACTGATAGAAATGTGTGTGTAGTTGTTGATACATTGCTGACAGAGGGAACTACATTTGAATACAGATTTAAGAAATATCAGTGTTTGAGCATGTAATAAGCATGTTTTGTCTTGACTATATTACAACTATATTATAATAAAATAATATAGTATTTATATTATTGAATTGATTATGATTATTATTATTAGTAGAAGTAGTTTATTTGCATTAATTATATTTTAATCTTTTTGAGGCTAGTATTTGGCAGGAAATGCAGACGTATTCACCTGTAAACGCATACTGAACGACATACATGCACATTTACCATTTACCTCACTGTATAAAAAGTAACTGTGTTGATAATAATAATAAACAGGAATTATATTTGCAAAGTACTTTGTTTCCAAAAAAATGGTTTTCACTCCTGTCGGTTGGGGGGGGGGGGGGCCTCATCTCACAATGTCGGTGGGGGGGGGGGGGGGGGGGCTCATCTCACAATGTCGCTTGGAGCCCCAAGTTGGCCAGGGTCGGCCCTGTGTCTACCCTACTTTTATCATTTTCGAATCATAAATCTATCGATTAAAATGATAAAAGTAGGGTAGACATGTGGATATTATCCGGCTGAACAAAACGTGATCTGTCTCTTCAATTTGTGTCCACCACAGACCTTATTTCCAGCTATTTTCCAAAATCCTATGGAGAAATTGCGTTGGTTTTTGTCGAAGGAACTGGAAGTGGTAAAATGCTAACTTACTTCCGGGTTTTAGGACGCGTCACTGTGGCACTAAAGCGACGTCCGTTTGTGATGACGCTGCACAGCTGTTCGTCTGACAGCAGCTCTGTCCCCGTTATTTTCACAAACACCCCCCGCCTCTGTTAGTACACATTTACTGACACAAACATTTGTATCATCTGTTGTAGACACAAATACATTAAATCAAATAAGAACTCATTCTCAAAAAAGATAAACGCCATTCTTAAAATGTATAAACGAACAATAGTTAGATTAATATTGATTAGAGTGCACAATAGAAATAAAATAATTGAGAGAAGAAAAAGAGATATGTTATCTATCAAAACCCAGTTAGATTAACATTCATTGGATTGCACACTTTGTTTGTTTGTGTGGATATGTAGCAAATTAACATGTTAATAGCACAGCTACCAAAAACACCTTGCATGTGCCCTGCAACAGGTTTATACTATTCACTGATGCAGTATGAATTTACGCCAGAAATACATTTTATAAAGGTATGTAACCCTCTCCTGTCTCAACATGACAATGCCCCCGTGCACAGAGCCAGCTCCATGCTGAAAGTGCTCTGCCAGTGAGGTGTGGAAGAACAGTCCTGACCGTTAGAGTGGTGCAGTGGTGACGGGTGCTGTGGGCCGACCCGGAGGTAAGCTAGCAGGGGCTCCCTCCATTAAAAGAGAGAGGACTTTCCCATTGGATTTCAGAATATAAAATAAGAATTTTGGAATACACACATTTATAATGCTTACACATTTTGTTCAGCAGGATAATCTCTACATATTAACACCACTTTATGATTTTAAGGCATAAATGAAATCTCCAGATGTAATATGCTATTAAGATATTTGTTATTATGTTTTACTTCTATTATTTAACTGACTTTTTAATCCAAAGCAATTTACATACAGTCAAAGCCTATGGGATCATTGTGGGGTCGAGTCTCTTGCCCATGTTGTTAGGAAGTGGGATCGGGCTGCTGACCCCCTGATTGGCAGATCAGCACCAGAGCCATAGCCACTGCCAATCTAAAGACGGCTAATGTTGCGACGTGAGGATGTTCTGACACTTTTGATTTTATGACACAAAGAAGCTTCTGACACTCACCAGTGGGGTATTTACTGACATATTGTATGTCATATAACAGAACAGGAAAAGCTTGTGTTAACCACAGCCCTTATTTCAGGCTGAAAACCAAAAACACATTCAGAAAACCATTGACTTTGATATGAGAAGACACGGTAGAATGCTGACTCATGTCCAGGTTTCAGGACTCCTGCACACAGTTCAACATGAACATCTGTGATCACAATCCACATCCAGGGCAGTATCTTTGGCCATGTGGTGTGTTTGTACGGCTAGAAACCTGTGACTAAGTTGAGTCCACCTTTTCATCTTGAACTGGTATTTGTGTGAATCATGAGTGCAGTTCTTCCCTGCTCCCTCTATCAGCTCTGTGCTCTGCTATCTCAGTGATTGTGATACGGGACAAACAGTTTGCATGTCTCTTCGCCGTCAGAGGCCTGATTGGGCAACATAAAAACATGTAAACATGTTCATGTACGCAGGCTACACCCAAACAGTAATCGGGCATAAGTTTCATGACTGAACGTTCCTCCATCCTTAAGTGGTTACAGCAAAACTATAAAGTTCAGGCAGAGATGTGGTGTTAGTGAAATACAAGCTGCTCTGTGCCGCAGCTTCAGAGAACATCACATGTTACGGCTGTTGCTAGCAGGATTTGTGATATGGCACTGATAAAGATGAGTATCTCACTGTGTCACTGTCAGTCAGTGGCTGAGGGGAGAAAGAGGCGGCGAGGACATAAAAGCAGGAAGTGAGTGTGGAGGGAATGAGCAGAGAAGGCAGCTCAAGTGTTTTCAGAGTTAAACAGGAGAGGAAGAGGAGGCTGACCTGGAGCTGTTAGACAGACACTAACCCCAGGACTAACCCCCCCCCCCAGTGGACATGTCTGTGTGTCGGACAGTGTGGCTGGATCTGTCTGTCTGATGTGTTTCAATATGAATGTCTCCTTGCTGATGCTGCTGCCCGGCTTCCAGCTGCTCCTCATGTTCGGTGTGGGCGCAAAGAAACAGGAAGTGGCGGGCTCACCTGAGGACCCCAGCACCCGCCTCCGAGGCCTGTGGAGGCTGCACATGAGGGACACCCTGCTGAAAGGGAAAGGTAAGAGTCACCTGAGAAACTCTTTAGCTTTAGTTTGACTTTGTCCTCAGGAGGAAAAGCATCATCAACAGAAGTTATGTTGATGTGCTAAAAGGCGATTACCCGTGTGAGCTGGAAGATCTTGGACTTGAGTAAAAGTAGAAGTACCACAATGTAGCAATACTCTGTTACAAGTAAAAGTCCTGCATTCAAAAGGATACTCAAGTAAAAGTACAAAAGTATTGGCATGGAAATATACTGAAAGTACCAAAAGTAAAAGTACTCATTCTTCAAATTGGTCCATTTCACAATCGTACTTATCTTATTTAAGTGTTGATCATATTGGTTATTATTCATCTATATCTGCAAAGTAACTTAAGGTACTACATACATTTAGTGAAGTAAAAGTACAATATTTAACTCTGAATTCCAGTGGGGTAGAAGTACAAGGTAAAATGTACATAAAGTAAATGATGTAGTAAATGTACTCAGCACTCTGACGTTTTTGTGTTGATAACATTTTGACACATTTTGCTTCATTCAACTGATTCTTTATAAGAATGAATTCTAGGAATTAGATGAAGCTATTATGTGTGTGTAGGGTTCTGTGTAGGGTTCTGTGTAGGGTTCTGTGTAGGGTTCTGTGTAGGGTTCTGTCTGGGGTTTGGTTTCATTAGCAAACCACATGAGACTGCCAGCGAATGTCCCTCTATCAGCAACACTGTGCCAACTGAAGAAATGTCACTAAAAGAAGATTGTAAATCTGGAAGATACTCACTTGATCTGTCTAACTCAGGCTATTCAATGCTAATGTTAGCCTGAGCTGGACTTCAGAACTAGAACCAGAACTCTCCCTGCCAGGATGTTCTAGATTCTAGAATGATGACAATAACAGAACTTGAGTGTTGTATTGCTGTACTCGAAGCAGCTGCAGCACTTTGTGTGCAGTTGACTGGAACTGAAGGGAATCCCCTCAAATGTTTTGCAACCACACTGCAAGATGTCATTATTGCATAAAAATAAATACAGACTCTTTGTCAAAAGAGAATCAATCCTCCTGGAAGAAACTATACAGTGTATTTGATTCTCAACAACCAATCACCTGTACACAGGTTCTGGCCCTCATCCAATGAGAGGAGGGGTCAAACAGCAGCTGCTCTACTGCCGTGTTGGGATTGGCTACCATCTCCAGATTCCGGCCAGTGGCTCTGTAGGAGGGGTCCACAAACCCACCGAGCATTGTGAGTTAACCACTGCCATGTGTCAAAGTGACAACTGTTCAAACCTGCTTTCTATATAATGTTTGCAGACTGTTTATACATTCATATTTGAGACTGAGATGTGAAGACTATCTGTGATGCATCCATCCCTCATTTCTCCGTCTCCTCAAGGTTGGCTGAAGGTGTTTGCGATGAAACATGGAGTGGTGGGGGTCAGAGGCGTGAAGAGCGGCCTGTACCTCTGCTTGAGTGCAGAGGGGCTGCCGTATGGAGCGGTATGTAGCCCACCGCACACTCACACATCTCACATTACAATGTGATGCAGAACCAAGTCTGTTACATAGGAATCCATTTAGACTTTCCCCACTCTAATATATGACAGGGCTGCATCACATCAGATATATTACATTTATCTTTGACTTCTCTTTTGCAGGAGAAGTTTTCTGACGAGTGCCTGTTAAAGGAGAACCTGGAGGAGAATCACTACAACACCTACTCCTCCCTCTCTCACCCTGACATCTACCTGGCTCTTTCCCATAAAGGAGCGCCCCGGAGGGGCAACAGTGTGGGCCGCCACCAGTCCTGCACCCACTTTCTACCCCGGAGAACAGGCTGATCAGGGTCCAGCTTCCTCTCAGTTGGGGGCAAATTAGGAATATGGTTGCCAACATTGTGAAAACACTGGTGAAAAAAGCAACAGTGTAGAAATTCCACATGGCAGCTGGGCTTAAGACTGCAACATGCACAAAGTGAAACTAGTTCCACATCCAAGAGACACAATGAGTGTGATTGTGTGATACCTATTTCCTGTAGGTACGAACAGTGAACTGAGACCCACACTGCAACCTCTCTGCCCGCTGAGACCTGACCGTCTGAGCAGCATCATCACTGCTGCTGGCACTGAACAGGAGTCAGGCGACGGAGTAAATGTTCTTCAAACTATTTAATGCACAGGATGAGTCTTCTGAAGCGCAAGAGTGCAGAACTGACACCTTTTAAAGGAGCGTGACTGTCTCAGTCCTTTACTGCTGATCAGTATTTCTGTAGGATCTATGACTTTGTGTGATGTGTACAGGGAACTCTGTGAAGCTGTCCACTGAATGTGCTGAGTTGGGTTCCAAATAAGTGAAGTATTGTTCGCACAAAATCATTTGTAGCAATAATAAGAATGGTCTGTATTTTACAAGTATTGATGGATGATAAAGCGACAGTGGCAGCTTTTATACAGCATCGGTTTTGACCTTAGTAAATCTGCACATTATTTATCATGAACATTTTGTTTCTGAAGTATTTGTTTATTTATTGATGTTTTATAATGCATTGCAGACTGTGATGATAAATGAAATATATATATTTGTATAATCATATTGTGTTTAAGTAGTCTGTATCAGATTGTATTGGATGATTGGAAATAAAAAAACGTCAGTCATTTCTGAAGAAGCTCGCTAAGTGTATATATAAAGTACGAGTCAAAAGTGTGGACACACCTTCTCATTCAATGGTGTTTGTTTATTTAAATGTGTTTCTACTTTGTAGATTAATACTGAAGACATCAAAACTATGAAAGAACATATATGGAATTATCTAGTTTTTATAAATCCAGAATATGAGTTTTATTTTAGGTTCTTCAAAGTAGCCCCCTTTTGCCTTAGGGCCTTCATGGTCCAGTCGCTGCAAAGATCCACTACTGAGGATGAACAACAAGAAGAAGAGAATAGTTTGGGCCCAGAAACACAAGGAATGGATATTAGACAGTGGAAATCTGTACTTTGGTCTGATGAGTCCACATTTGAGATTTTTGGTTCAAACCGCCGTGTGTGTCTTTGTGAGACGCAGAGAGGGTGAGCGGTGTGGTTCCCCTGTGAAGCATGGAGGAGGTGTGACGTGTGGGGGGTTGGTGATTTATTCAGAATTCAAGGCACACTTAACCAGCATGGCTACCACAGCATTCTGCAGTAGCCAGCAAAATATAAATCATATTCTGGATGTTTTAACACTTTTTTGTTTACTAGAACATATAGATGGAATGCTGATACAGCATTCCCACTATATGTTCTTTTACGGACAAAATTATTATTATTCTGCCGGAACTTTGCACCTCTTCTCCTCCTGCATTCAACATCGCAGAAACTCTGTTCAAACATCAAAACGTTCAGTTCGGTCGGGAATCGATGGCTATCATTTGGATTATTCATAACTTTCATAATTCCAGAGATACATCCCATAATACAATCACATTTTTAACCATTCAATGGAGAAAATCTTCAGACTTGAACAATCTTCATGCGACTTCAACTGCTAACTGTTCATTCATACTTTCAATCAGAAACCTCATTCCAACTTTAAAATGTTACACATCTTTCTGACATTATTCGTGTAACACAACTTTTAAATCTGATTCTTACTTTTAGAGATATTAAACATTGTTCAGACCTTGGTAAAGAGGCTTTCTTTAGATTGTAACATTAACTAGAGTGCGTGATGTCACAGCTAGAGGGTAGGAAATCTTGAAATGTGCCTTCATATATTTTTTTAAAACTGCCATAATTCCCAAACCCTACATTCCTGAGACATACTTTTTCATGACAAATGTAGGAAAACATCTTGTAGCTTGAAAAATGACAAATAATTAAGCAAAAAATAATTAAACAAAATGCCTCTTGAGGGCATGAAGTGACAAAAACATTTCCATTGTAATTTCAGGCTGATATTTCCTCACAGCAGCAGCCGCACACCTTTAGTTAAACTGCCAAAAAGGCCACATTATTAACCGAAAGTACACAAAAAACTTCAGATACTCAACTTCCTTGACATGCTTCACGTTTTGAAATTTCACAGATATCTGTTATCGTTCTTCCACAAAACGTTCACATGTAAGAGGTTCATCTCTCATTCAGAACAATGCAAACCTTTGATCTCTACAGAGCTCGTTAGCTCAACTATAAACACCTGTGTAATGGAACACGATGATGTCATCACTCCAACTGACAGCAGTCAGTTCTAACTGTTCATTTCATACTCACACACACACACTCTATCAGACCACTCGCCATGAAGCACGATGTCGCTGTAAGTCCAATGGACACGGTCCAATCGTCCCCCAAACTTCGCTTGTATATCACCGGTCCATGCCTCAACAGCTCTACGTCAATTATGGGGTTTCTTCAAATGCCGTTGCCATGGCAACACAATGCTCGCCATGAAACACGGTTTTCTCATAACTTCAGTGAAAATGTTCCAAACGGCCCAAAACTTCACAGGTTTGGTAACGATGCAGCCATCAACGCATCTAAGCGTATTATGGGGTGTCATCAAATGCTGTTGCTATGGCGACAGATCATTCACCATCAAGTTAGTTCAAAAGTTTGCAGTTCAAATATTCTGCTGCTTTTCCAAGCCTTTTTACTTTCTTTTCTTCTCTTATCACACATTCAAGCCCCCAGTGTTCATGTATCATTTCAATCTAAATTCTTCACTTTCTTCTTACACATTACATTTCAGCATAGCAGTTTAGCGTCACATTTTCAGCATAAAGCATTCCCACTAGCAATTTCTTCGGGAATTGCATTCTCTCTTTATAGTTTTGATGTCTTCAGTATAAATCTACAATGTAGAAAAAATGTAAATAAATAAAGAACTTGGAATGAGAAGGTGTGTCCAAACGTTTGACTGGTAGTGTATTAGCCAGGCTAACCAGCTTACTTACTGATTAGTTGATATGAGCTCTGATTTTTTGTTACAGAAACAATCCACAAACAGTTTGTGTAGGAACTACTTTCTATTCAAGAAATAGTCCCTCTGAAAATGGAAGTTTACACTGCTTTAAATCAACTCGGCTAAACTTGTATTGAATAATAATAATAATAATAATAACAATAATAACAATAATAATACTTTTTATTTATTTATTTCTGGAAGGTCAAAGACATTTAACAGAGTTAAAATTCATAAAAACATAATTAAAACAACACACTTAAAATATATAAAACACAACATTAATTACAGATTAAAAGCAGTTTTGAAGAGGTGATTTTTGATTTGTGATTTGAACATGGTGAGATCGGGGAGTGAGCTCCAGAGGGAGGGGGCAGCGACGGAGAAGGCTCTGTCCCCCCAGGTTCGGTGCTTGGTCCTATGAGGAAATGTCTGGAGGTTGGATTTAGCTTTATAAATTCATATAGCAGCTAATTTAAATAAACGTTGTCACATCAAATCAGAAGTACATGTGGGGCTGGGTAAACAGATATGAACTTATAGTGCAAGTGTATGGCAGCTGGACAGTGAAGCCACTGGAGGGTATCTGACCAGCAGCCCCCCCCCCTCCTCCTCCTCCTGCCTCCTCACACACTCCCAGGACACTTTAATGACACGTGAGCATGTCACCCTACCCCCAGAGTGGGAGGTGTAGGGTCACCTGATCCCCAGCAGCACTCACCTGCTCAGGTGTCTCTTTGTATCAAAGCATAGGCACAGCAAGAAGGCAGCCATTAGGACGGAGAGAGGAGGAAGAAGGCAGGAAAACGAGGGGATAAAGGGAGTTGAGGGGACATGGTCTTAGACAAAGCACCGCTGAGTGTGCACCATGGCACCATGACGAAAGGCTTTGAGGAGATCAGTACGTTGGACCTACCCAGGAAGAGAACTCAACCAGAGTTTTGTTGAGGCTTCCTGTGTCTTCTTCTCTCTCTGTCATATTCTCTGTCTTTCCTCCATCAATGTCTCTGCATTCATCCCTCTATTCTCATCTCTTTCCTGCAGATCCAGCTGCCAACGCCGCTGATGACACATCGGCTCCCCCAACAGTAAGTGGACAAATATCGCCAGTGAAACGAGCGCTGGAACATTAACTGATATACATAAAGGTCTTTGTGTAATGTTATCAAGAATGTATTGAATATTTTGGGAAGTTGGTTCAACCAAACTAGACATTCTGATGTCAGCTAGTATTATGACATTTCATTGACTGAATCATTCAATCATTTATCAAGACATGAGTGAATGATGACACATGATGAATCAATGTGTCAGGGTGAATATGTGAAGCACATCAGTGAGACGTGTTGTCAGGCCCAGCAGGTTGAGGGAAGGGGATGGTAACTGTGTGTGTGTGTGTGTGTGTGTGTGTGTGTGTGTGTGTGTGTGTGTGTGTGTGTGTGTGTGTGTGTGTGTGTGTGTGTGTGTGTGTGTGTGTGTGTGTGTGTCTGAAAACCCCTAAATAGGTGAGGGTCTGCCATATGTCACACGGATTCTTAACTTCTTTTGGATGTAGGGAAATTTGATATTTTTGCACGTTGGTAAACGTCAGAGTCCTTATTTTAAACTGCAGCAAATATTTAGCATTGTACGAGGGAACCTGCAAGTTTAGCTGGCTTCCTGTAACGTCTGCATCCACCTTCCAATGCACTCGATTCAAGAAGCAGAGCACAGCACCTCTCCAACCTCTCAAACATCTCCAACATCTCCAACATCTCAAACATCTCCAACATCTCAAACATCTCAAACATCTCCAACATCTCAAACATCTCAAACATCTCCAACATCTCCAACATCTCAAACATCTCCAACATCTCAAACATCTCAAACATCTCCAACATCTCCAACATCTCCAACATCTCCAACATCTCCAACATCTCCAACATCTCAAACATCTCCAACATCTCAAACATCTCCAACATCTCAAACATCTCCAACATCTCAAACATTAAGAAAAGAGTTTCACTTATGCGGCAGCACTTACCTTATTGCTTGTTGAAGTAAACACGTCAGCACGGTTCTTGTTGTCCTTCGTTTGCATCATTATGGTGTTTTTATTGTTTTATCGCTTTGGATAAAAAGCTTCAGCTAAATGTAATTTAAGGGATTCTTTTCCTCTTTATTCCTACTAAGGGACTTAAGACAGTGGCACCTGAGCAACCGGACCCCTCCAGGATAGAGGTGGTTTCAGTGACGGAGGAAGACCTCCCCACCGTTGAGACCCCCAACACACTGAACGTCAGCCCCCTGGGCAGCTTTGTCACTGTCCTCCAAACGGAGAACAGTTCTGCAAAACCTGAAGACACCCGACCTCCAGCTGCACCCAGCCCCATCATGCCCATCACCAAGGTGCAGCCATTTATGCACGGTGAGCCCCTCACACTCTTCATGTCTCAGCATGAAGGTATAGATATGGAGAAGTTCCCTGTGGGACCAATAAAGGCATTCTTATTCTGAGGACTGCACACAGCTAGTTACAGGATCTGCTTGAAATGTGAGAAGATGTGACGGACACAGTGTTTGGAGGATAATCAGAATCAGAATCGGGTTTATTACCAGGTAGGTTCACACGTACCAGGAATTTGACTAGGTGTAATAGTGCGACATCTGATTTCTTGGGGCCATACATTATAGGTTAAGAGTAATCAGATATTTAAAAAATCCTTCTCATTAACTAACACTAGGTCAGGAATACACAAGATTTGCCGAAACTGCTAGAACTCGACTGAGAGCCGGTCAGAATAACATACCCGTCTTCTAATGTTCAGTGTGACACTCACCAGGAGCTGCACGTCACACTAAGATCTTTATTTGACTAAATCCACAGAAACAGAAACGAGGAAATGAGCTGCACCTTTGTGTTGAGGTTGCATTTACATTACACATATTGACAGGTGTTTACATCATTCGGTCCTGGAAAGCATGTTTTACATTTTGCTTTTGGTCATGTCAGAAAACAGAAACATCACTTACACAAAAGGAATCATTCCTTGGTGATTGAACTGTTTGCAGCTCATATTGTATAACTTTGAAAGGGTAGATGACCTGTTGTGTCTCACTAGAGGATGATCTGGAGCCAGGCTGGAGGAGCAGACTGCTGGCTCACCGGCTGGAGCTGCTGCTCACTGCCGGCCTCGTCCTGCTGCTCACTCTGGCTCTCGCCATCGGCCTCGGAGGTAAGGAGTCCATTTGGTTATAATGGAGCCACTGAAGCATGGACGTCGTTTGCTCCTTCAATATTTGATGATGCCCTTACTTGTAATACGTAAGGGAGCCTCTCACACAGTGCAGTCTTTCACTTCCAGCTTTTTTTGATTCTCAGTTATGCCATGTTTACAGAAAGAGTCAGTAAAAGCTAGTTTTTTAAAGAAAAATATGTATTCAACAATATGTGTTTTGTTGTAAAAACAATATATATATTATTCCTCTCTATGTTGGCTACATATGTTGCCTGGCTAACCGGATAAAGGGTGAGTCCTGTGAGCTTAGATTAGTGGTGTACATCGAAGTCTTGTTTCTGTTTTCATTCCATACAGATGTCATGTTGTGTGTCTGTGGAGGTGCAGCAGGGTTTGAGTCCCTGCTGTCACCATCACACGACACGGCTGGAGGAGCAGATCATTATCTGAGCCAACACTAATCTGAAATCTAGTGTGAACACATGCCAATTACATTTCATTCCTCCTGATGAAGTCAAATCAAATATGTTCGCCTCTGTGATTGTTACGGCCCGCCCTCTACTCAGTGGTAGTGGCTCGTGGGGAGACCCGCAACATAAAAGAAAACACACCAAAACATCCAGCACTTAACGGCGACCAGTTACTCACATGGGCCACCCGGCAAAAGAACCAGGTCTGGAGGACTGGCAAAAACAAACAAAAGCAGAAGGGGGCCTTGGGCCAGCCACACCACGGGCCGTAGGACCCAGACGTCCCTCCCCTACCCAGAAATCTAACAAGACACTACGGGTGAAATAAAGCCGCGAAAAAACGATGCTCCCAGGTCCTCCAGAACACATGTTATCACAATAACACACAGAAGCTACAGATCCCAAACAGCAGAGAGATTGTTCCCAAACAGTGTCTTCCGGCATCAGGATCGGGGGAGAGAGCTCTTCTCCTCCAGCTTCTCCTTTGAAGTCCCCAGCTGAATGGAATTAGGAACACCTGGGGAGGCGGAGCTAGGGGCGGAGCAGGTGTACCTGCGCAGCAGAGAGACAGAGAAGACAACAAAGAGGGGAGCACGTAACACCCCCACCATGAGTTAGTGATTCTTTTATTTAAACAAAACAATCACAACAATCAACTCTAAGTCGACAGACGTGCTCACAACCGCGTTTGTCTTTAACGACCACTCAGTCCACACACCGAACAGGCTAATACCAGTTAACACACAACAACGAAACACACTCAACTGCTACATATCATAAGCACGACAATGCACCAGCCAACACATTGTCCTTGCCACGAATGTGTTTGACCTCAACATTGAAGGCTTGCATGAAAATGCTCCACCGCATCAACCTTTGATTTGTGTTACGCATTCTCTGCAGGAACACAAGGGGGTTGTGATCGGTACAAATAGTGACAGGGATGTTTGATGACCCCACGTATACCTCAAAGTGGTTTAAGGCCAGAACCATAGCCAGTGCCTCCTTTTCGATGGTGGAACCAACGGTGGAACACACCCGCTGGTGGGGATTGAATTTCTTGGAGCGGTATGACACAGGGCGCTTCACCTCATGATCAGTTCCAACACATCTGCACGCTGCGCATCAGGTAAGTGTGCTGAATGAGACTCAATATTCACCTGAGTCTCCGCAGCGATCAGGGCCTCCGAGGTGACAGGGGTGTCACTTTCAGCACTGGACAGCGCCACCACACAGACAGCGACAGGGTTATGAACAGCCCCGGGGATTATCGTACCTGTTTTCCCACCCTCACGCCACGAAGGAGGGTCCCTGATCGGTCTGCCCAATTCCGTGGCCGTAAAACTGCCGCGGGTGACTGCAACCGCAATCACCCCCGGCTTAACGAGCACTCTGCCCCCGGCTAAATCATTCCCCAAGACCAAATCTACCCCTTTAATGGGAAGACATGGCCGAACCCCGACAGCTACCGGACCTGTGACCAGATCTGACTCAAGGTGAATATTATGCAAGGGCGAACCCACACACTGCATACCAAACCCCCTCACAAGAACACCCGAACCCACAGCAGACTCCCCAGAGAGGGGCAACACACCCCTCACCATAAAGGATTGTGACGCTGCTGTATCCCTCAAAATGGTCACTGGAACCCTGGTGTTCTTCCCCGGTAAAGACACCATTCCCTCCATGAGAAACGGAGCAAAAACTTCCAGTTCTGAATTGAGAGACCCTGGCTTTGAAGTACTCACCAAGGCGACTGTCTTTACAGACTTCTTCACATCCCGCAAAGCATAACAATTAGCCACAATATGACCCTTTTTCTCACAGAAGAAACACACTGGGCTATCCGTAGGACCCCAATTCACCTCCCCCGCTTTTTCCTCAACATTTCCTGGCCTGCTGGACTGCCATGGCGCGTTAGTGGAGACTGGGGTTTCCCTGATGTTGCTGTCCACAAACCGGGCCTGTGTCCTACTCCTCTCACTGAAGACAGACTTGTGAGTGAGAACATACTCGTCAGCCAAAACAGCAGCATCAGACAGTCTTACGGGTTTTTGCTCATTAAGATATGTGGCTACTCTGTCAGGCAAACAGTTTTTAAATTCTTCCATGAGTAATAAGGTTTTTAGGTCCTCTAGGGACTTTACCCCCGTCGACGAGCACCATCGTTCAAACAGAACCTCTTTCTCACGGGCGAACTCCACATAAGCCTTCACATAAGGCGAACTCCACATAAGCCTGACAATCATTTTTATTTAAACCACGAAACCTCTGACGGTACGCCTCAGGCACCAGCTCATAGGCGCGCAGAATTGCAGCTTTTACCTGCTCATAATCCAGGCTAACCTCCTCAGACAATGCAGCATACACCTCCTGTGCTTTACCCGTGAGAACGCACTGCAGCATAACGGTCCACATGTTCTAAGGCCATTTCAATGTTGTTGCTACCCGTTCAAAAAGGACAAAATAATTATCAACATCTCTCCCGTGAAACACTGGGATAAACCGAGTATATCTACCCACGTCAAAGTCCTGAGATTGTGCCGAGTCCAACTGCTGAGTCTGGCGTGATAATGTCGTCAACTCCAGCTCCTTCAAACGTAACATGCGATTAGTCTCCTCCTCAAGCTTCCTGATTTCGAGATTACAGTCAATCTCCTTCTCTCTCAGTTTATTGTCAATCTCCTTCTCTCTAATCATCAGCTTGCGCAACTCTAGCTGAAGTTGAAGCTCACTCATTGTCGGAGCGACCTCTGTCTCCTCGTCTTTGGGAGAACAACCAACGCCCCCTTCCTCCTCCGATAACCCTTCCTGCTCTACCAGCGCAGCCAACAGCTGTTCCTTAATGACTTGTTTCTTGCTTTGCTTACTAAACACAACGTCAAACCTGCCTGCGATTAGCTCAAGTTGCTGTTTATTACATGCATCCCAGACGAGCCCCCATATGTTACGGCCCGCCCCCTACTCAGTGGTAGTGGCTCGTGGGGAGACCCCCGCAACATAAAAGAAAACACACCAAAACATCCCAAACAGTGTCTTCCGGCATCAGGATCGGGGGAGAGAGCTCTTCTCCTCCAGCTTCTCCTTTGAAGTCCCCAGCTGAATGGAATTAGGAACACCTGGGGAGGCGGAGCCAGGGGCGGAGCAGGTGTACCTGCGCAGCAGAGAGACAGAGAAGACAACAAAGAGGGGAGCACGTAACAGTGATTTATATTAGTTTGTTTGAATAGTAACATTTACCTGTTGGATTAAACTGCTCCTCCCACAGAGAGGTGCAGGGATGACATATCTGTGTAGGCAGACCTCAAAGTTAGTATTACAAGGGCTCCCTCGACAAAATGACAGAGGTTTTTTCCATTGGAATATCGCTGGCAATGCGTTTATGATACTTAAATGTTCAGAAGGATTATCGTATTAACACCACTTTGTGATTCTGGAAGCGTAAATACATTACGGTCACATGGCTGCATAACAACACCGCTAAGACTGTTAGCAACCGCAGTTTCTATGACATATAGATGCTTTGGACATTTACCAGTGGGGTATTTACCGATGTGTTTTGTGTTGTTGGATAAAACATACAAATATTTTTAGCTTTTATTAAAAACAGATCTTAATTTAGGCATCTAACCAAAATCATGTTTAAAAAAACATTGACTTTGAAATGAACCGGACTATTTAGGACTCATTCCTTCACCACTCTATATACAGTCATTACTGACGGAGTAAATGGAGCTAAGCTTATATGAAATAAGAAAAAGTACTGCAGTTTTCCTTAGCATGTGAGTCTGCTGTTTGGACTTTTGTTTGGTGTTCCTCTGACTGTTCTCCAGCGACACAAGGGACCATTTCTATTCAACCAACACTTTGGTATACTGATTAAATACCTTCAAGATGAAGAGCGCCAGCTCTATTGTGTGTGTTGTGCTGACAAGTAAACTGTGTGTGTGTGTGTGTGTGTGTGTGTGTGTGTGTGTGTGTGTGTGTGTGGTGTGTGTGTGTGTGTGTGAGAGTGTGTGTGTGTGTGTGTGTGTGTGTGTGTGTGTGTGTGTGTGTGTGTGTGAGTGTGTGTGTGTGTGTGTGTGTGTGTGTGTGTGTGTGTGTGTGTGTGTGTGTGTGTGTGTGTGTGTGTGTGTGTGTGTGTGTGTGTGTGTGTGTGTGCAGTGGGTCTGAGCTGTGTGGGGAAGTTCCGGTGTGGCTCCTCCTCTCAGTGTATCAGTGCGTGGGCTCAGTGTGACGGACAGCTGCACTGTGACAACGGGGAGGACGAGCTTGGCTGTGGTGAGACACACACCTGAATATGCAGCATATGATGTTTATATCAGAGATATATTGATATAAACATATATTATAACAGCGAGATCAAAAGACATCTACAATAGCATCTTTTATATAGAGTACATTTTACATACATAATACAGGCATATGTTGAGGGAAGAGCTGATATTAACTCTGAGGTTATATGTCTGTCTGTCTGTCTGTCTGTCTGCCTGTCTGTCTGTCTGCCTGCCTGTCTGTCTGCTGTCTGTCTGTCTGCCTGTCTGTCTGTCTGTCTGCCTGCCTGCCTGTCTGTCTGTCTGCCTGCTGTCTGTCTGTCTGCCTGTCTGCCTGCCTGTCTGTCTGTCTGCCTGCTGTCTGCCTGTCTGCCTGTCTGTCTGCCTGTCTGTCTGCCTGTCTGTCTGTCTGCCTGTCTGCCTGTCTCTCTGCCTGTCTGTCTGTCTGCCTGCTGTCTGTCTGTCTGCCTGTCTGCCTGTCTGCCTGTCTGCCTGCTGTCTGTCTGTCTGTCTGTCTGCCTGTCTGTCTGTCTGCCTGTCTGTCTGTCTGTCTGTCTGTCTGCCTGCTGTCTGTCTGTCTGTCTGCCTGCTGTCTGTCTGTCTGCCTGCCTGCCTGTCTGTCTGTCTGCCTGCTGTCTGTCTGTCTGTCTGCCTGCCTGTCTGTCTGTCTGCCTGTCTGTCTGTCTGTCTGTCTGTCTGCCTGTCTCTCTGCCTGTCTGCCTGCCTGCCTGCCTGTCTGTCTGTCTGCCTGCTGTCTGTCTGTCTGTCTGCCTGCCTGCCTGTCTGTCTGTCTGCCTGTCTGCCTGCCTGTCTGCCTGTCTGTCTGTCTGCCTGTCTGCCTGTCTGCCTGTCTGCGTGTCTGTCTGTCTGCCTGTCTGCCTGTCTGTCTGTCTGCCTGTCTGTCTGTCTGCCTGTCTGCCTGTCTGCCTGTCTGCCTGCCTGTCTGTCTGCCTGTCTGTCTGTCTGTCTGTCTGTCTGCCTGTCTGCCTGTCTGTCTGTCTGTCTGCCTGTCTGCCTGTCTGTCTGTCTGTCTGTCTGTCTGCCCGTCTGTCTGCCTGTCTGCCTGCCTGTCTGTCTGCCTGTCTGTCTGTCTGTCTGCCTGTCTGTCTGTCTGTCTGTCTGTCTGTCTGTCTGTCTGTCTGTCTGTCTGTCTGTCTGCCTGCCTGTCTGTCTGCCTGTCTGTCTGTCTGTCTGTCTGCCTGTCTGTCTGTCTGTCTGTCTGTCTGTCTGTCTGCCTGTCTGTCTGTCTGCCTGTCTGTCTGTCTGTCTGTCTGTCTGCCTGTCTGTCTGCCTGTCTGTCTGCCTGTCTGTCTGCCTGCCTGTCTGTCTGCCTGCCTGTCTGTCTGTCTGTCTGTCTGCCTGCCTGTCTGTGCGTGTGCGTGTGCGTGTGTGTGTGTGTGTGTGTGTGTGTGTGTGTGTGTGTGTGTGTGTGTGTGTGTGTGTGTGTGTGTCAGTGCGTCTGAGTGGGAGCAGCTCTGTCCTGCAGGTGCAGCGGGGGGGTGTCTGGAGGACGGTGTGCTCCGAGGGCTGGAACAACGTGCTCGGGGTGTCGGCCTGCAGGCAGCTGGGATACTCCAGGTCTCCTGTCCTCAGCTCTGTCTGCATGTGGTGCTGTGATGGGGCATCGGTTCAGTTTGAACATTTGAGAGAAATAGACCTTATACAAGAAACACTACAGGCTTCCAGCATTAGGACTGATCCCGGTGTCCCTCACCAGGAGGGGTTAGCTTCCATAGGATAAGATTAGAAATGAGCCCAGTATAACATGGAGAAATCTCCAGGAATCTTAGATCGCTGTTAAATGAGGGGTGGGATGTTGGTGAATGGTAACGCAGAACAGAAGCCATGACGGTTCACAATGGATCAGAACCTGGGCGACTGCTTAGGTTTTTAAATCTGTAAAGATACCGGGTTTACAGTATTTAGTGATGTCAGAGCTACAGTGAAGACACTGTTTTGATTTTTTTGAAATTTTAAACAAAAAATGCATTCAATGTTTTAAAGCAGATGTGCTTTAAACAATCGAATGCATTTTTTGTTTAAAATGTGTGTTATCAAGTGACAATGTCAACAGCCGTATCCTCAGCTGAACATGGTGTCTGTGTGGCTGTGTCCTTCAGGTATGTGGAGTCCTTCTTCGTGTCTCTGACCTCCATCGCGCAAGATCTCCAAGACAACCTGGTGTCCATCAACCTGAGCCAGGCACAGACCATTAAGCTCCACAATGCCACAGCCTTCAGGTACAGCACATCCCTATTAAATGACTGGAAAAGCAGTTAGGCTAACTGTGCTAACGGTCAGTAAGTAAGGGATAATTATTATAAACATTATCCCTAATATAAATCATCTGAAGCCTGAAGTCTGTTCGGACTATTCTATTCTAGCTCTGCTAGGCCCAGAAATGGGGGTGGAGGGTCTCCATATATGAAATGTTAGAGTTTATCTCCAGTTTGTAATAAAGGGTTCTGATTGTTAGGAGGATATTACTTTATACTGTTAACACAAACACAAATGTTTCCATACCATTTTATTCTGATCAAATAAGATGATTTTCCAATTTAATTTTGGAATATTGCCGGAAAATAAGGTCTTTGGCAAATCCCACGTTTTGTTTAGCAGGAGTAAGATTGTAATAACCTCAGACCTTCTTTTTTTTAATCTAACCAAAACTCTTTAAAAAAAACACTGTGTACCAGACGAGGGCACTAGGAAGTTTACTAGGCTGACTTCCGGGTTTAGGACTCATTCCTGCAGCTCTCTACTGGCTGCGCTCTCAGAGAGTCCTGTGCAGACTATACTGTGTGTCTCCTTACACATACAGTACCATTATACTGTGTACCAATTTGTTCCACATGTTCTGTCCATGTACTAGTTGGCATGTTCAGAACAAGTGGCCTAAATATCATACTGACCTCAGAAATGTGCAACAATCGGATCCAACAAAATGGTTTCTTAAAAAAGCTTTTGTAAAACCAAAGACACTGTCGATAAATCATAAATCTGAACTATGTTTAATTTTTCCAAATAAGATTCTGATCGCAGCGTCTACTTTGTCTCATTGTGGTGCAACACACCTCATCACCACTGCTACCATTGGTGAGATCTGCAGTTGAAGTGGCCATAAAGGAAAACTGATGCTTTAGCAGCTGAAGTATTTTTCAACAGTTTACGTATTTCTGTTTAAAAGAGAAAAGTATGTGAGGATGACCCCCCATCCTACTTTGTTAAAGAGCAGCAATCTTGATAAATAAAGTACAATATTTCCCTCTAAAATGTAGTAAAGGTTTAAAATATGTACCAAATTGAAAGGACTCTTGAACCTTCCGAAGTGCAGTACATGAGCTCATTCACAACAATATCTGTAAATATCTTCATTGACTTTGATGAGTGTGCTTCAGTATCTGTTGGAAGCAGTCTAAGTATTCTTCTGTGTCCTCATCCGTAAGTCAAAGGACATTATAACCTTCACTTGTACTTCTTCTCCATGCTTGCTGAGTTTCTCTGTGACCTTTGACCTCCCCAGTAAGACTCAGTGCAGCTCAGGGAAGGTGACCACCCTGAAGTGTCTGGGTGAGGAAACACACTGCGGCTTTCACACCGGCGCTTTTCACTTTTGTGTGATCTTTCTTTGAGTCGTGACTTGTTTTCCAATGAGGATTTCTGGTGGAGGAGCTTGTGCTTCTGCATGTTCTTATGTTCTTGCATGGCATGCAGTGTGTGTTTGTTCTGTCTGTGTCATTGTTGGAGTGAATGTTACTTTTGCCTGCTAAGATAAATAATAAGCTAACTAATAAGCTAAATAAATAAATAAACACCTTACTCTGTATTTAAAAATGACCCACAGCTGTGTTCCATAACCTATGAAACCTTAAGGGTTTGATGTACTTACGTCATACAGTCTATGAGCTACATCAAATATGTGGGACCAGTGTGTGTGCATGAGTGTGTGTTTACTGAATACATGTATATGACTGCATGTAACTAGTATAGACTTGTGATTCTGATGCTTTCAGCTCAGAGTGGATGCTTTTGATCTGTGTTTATGATCTTTAAAGGGGCACACCCAATAAAACATTATTAGAAAGGGCATGCACATAATATTTAAAATGCAGTAGTTATCAGAGCCTCTCAGTCTGAGCTGTAGTCATCAGAGCCTCTCAGTCTGAGCTGTAGTTATCAGAGCCTCTCAGTCTGAGCTGTAGTTATCAGAGCCTCTCAGTCTGAGCTGTAGTTATCAGAGCCTCTCAGTTTGAGCTGTAGTTATCAGAGCCTCTCAGTCTGAGCTGTAGTTATCAGAGCCTCTCAGTCTGAGCTGTAGTTATCAGAGCCTCTCAGTTTGAGCTGTAGTTATCAGAGCCTCTCAGTTTGAGCTGTAGTTATCAGAGCCTCTCAGTCTGAGCTGTAGTTATCAGAGCCTCTCAGTTTGAGCTGTAGTTATCAGAGCCTCTCAGTCTGAGCTGTAGTTATCAGAGCCTCTCAGTTTGAGCTGTAGTCATCAGAGCCTCTCAGTCTGAGCTGTAGTTATCAGAGCCTCTCAGTCTGAGCTGTAGTTATCAGAGCCTCTCATACCTCATTCACACCAACGCAACTCTGGTTCAAGCTCCGTGCTAGAGCTTTTCAGGTTCAGAACCGGTTCTTCGGTTTAGCTCCGGCTCTTTTCACACCACCCAGAGTCCGACTGGTGCTGCGTCATTGCGTCATCGTTTGCGTCATGACGTAACCGTTTGCGTGCCTGCTTCATAAAGCCAAACCGCGCGGAAACCCCTCACAGCTCACACCGACAACAACAACAATGGCCGATTGTGTTGAAGCGTAAATCCAGTGTGTGTGAATAACAAGTGATGCCTTGGAGGTGCACGAGCTGACCTTTGACCCTCCACATATTCACTCAGAGTGCGGATCCAGGCCACAGTACAACACCCGTATCGTGGGGGGGAACATCTCCAGGCCGGGGCAGTTCCCCTGGCAGGTCAGCCTCCACTTCGTCAGTGAACACCTGTGTGGAGGCTCCATCATCACATCCCGCTGGGTGCTGACTGCGGCACACTGTGTGTACGGGTGAGTCACACGCTTACAGACAAGCTGCATATGGAATGGTATTGTGTGAAACCATCAGAGGAGGTATTTAGTAAGGCAAGTTCCTCTGGTAATACTCTGTGTATACCAGCTGATTAAAACTGGTGAAATCCCCGTATTCTCTGTAGTGGTCACTGAATCTGAAAAAGAGTGTATTAAAGGGCCCATGTCATGCTTTTCCGGTTATTACCCGTCCCCTTGTGTGTTATGAAGGTTTTTATGCATGTAAACGGTGTGCAGAGTCAAAACCCTCAAAGTACACCCTGTAGCGAGTAAAACTCTAACACAGAAAATACCTCCCCAAAACGCCTCGTTGGAGATACGTCACTGCCCATTTGAGTCTTCCATTTAGTTCCGGGTACCGCATGATGTCATGCCGTACCCAGAACAAAATGGACCAATCCGGAAGAGCTATGGCCACACCCAGCGGCGCTGGCCGCACCCTCTGCCAGCCTAACATTTACTGTTGGAAGCTCTGGTTCAGTTCACAATCGATCCAGTCATGCCAATGCCAAGGACCTGTTTCCTGAAATGTGAGGAGAAATCTGAGCTGTTTGTCCTACCGACGGAAGAACCACGACGAAGTCAGTGGTTGAAATTTCTGTTTAACACTGTTCCTTCAGAGGTTCGAAGAACGTTACTGTGTGCGCGGCATTTCACAGACGAAAGCTTCCAAAACATTGCCCAGTTTGAGGCCGGATATGCACAGCATTTGAAACTGAAGGACGATGCTATTCCTAGTTTGTTTGGACCGTTTGGAGCAGGGGAAGATTCGGGTACACAACCTGTAAGTTTGCATTGTTATTTGTGTATTTATCAAACAAGCTATCTACCACGACTGTTTAAATGTGTAAACGTGTGTCGGACTGCTAGCGTTTCCATATATCAACTCTAATATCAGCAGATGGCCTTACATACATGTATCTCATAGCAGGAGAATGTCTGCATTCACACACGAAATACTCATAGACAGTATACTCCGGGTGATTTACCGTACGGTCAGTCGCGAAACGTAATTACATTATAGCTGGCGTTCCTAGCGTGTATGCTACCGAGCTAAACAACGGAGCTATCTACCACAACTGTTTAAATGTGTAAACTGTGTCGGACTGCTAAGCCATTGACACAGTGCTAACTGTGCTAACTAAGTTGCTAGCGTTTCCATATATCAACTCTAATATCAGCAGATGGCCTTACATACATGTATCTCATAGCAGGAGAATGTCTGCATTCACACACGAAATACTCATAGACAGTATACTCCGGGTGATTTACCGTACGGTCAGTACATTATAGTTGGCGTTCCTGGCGTGTATGCTACCAAGCTACCGTTCATAGCGTGTATGCTACATAGCTAAACCACTAGGCTACCTAGAGCTAGACATGCTAGGGAAAACATTGTTTTCATGCCAGCTACAATGAATGACCGAACGTAGCAGACTACCCGTATAAGATTGCAATTGTAAACATGTTCTTGCTAGCCTAGACCAACGCCATATAGAGAGATCTATCTATATGGCGCTGGCCTAGACTAGTTGTTCATAGTAGATTGGCATATTACACTGAACAACTAGCAAACGTAGGTTAGCATATTAGCTGGCAAGCTAACTGTGTTGATTAGATAGATAGATTAGATAGATACACACTCCTACCACAACTACTACTAACGAATCTAAAACAACTAAGTTTCTCTAATATTTTGTGATTTGCATTTGATTTCGTTCAGCCAGATCAGGAAACTCCTGGCGTATCTGGCGGACAACACACACACGGGATGACCACTCTGATGCCTCGTCCTAAAAAGCCCCGGCAGCAGCTTACAAAGCTGCGATAGGCAAGATGCCGAAAACGCCTATAAGGGGAGGAATGGATGATATACAGTGTATATATGTATATTTACACATGTTCATTTTGTACATTTCTAAAAATAAAGTTTGATGGAAATACTTAGTATCCTTTCTTCCCTGAATTATTTGCTCCTATAACATCTCATTCATATATAGCAAACCATGATTTGATTTCTCATCAAACAGTAGTAGTTTATTACAGGTAAAAATAACTTACTCTTCTATAACAACAGTTGTAGGTACAGTTCGGTTAGTTAGCGTATAAAATATACGGCTGTACCGACGCCATTATAAGACTGTTGTTCCGCTGAGAGCGAGCCGAAAAAAGCACTGTTAGACATGGGCGGAGCCTCTCTGGTGGTTGACTAATCAGAACAGAGTGGCCGAGCTGACCAATCGGAGCACACTAGGCTCACAGGGAGGGGGGGGGCAAGAGTTCCAACGCCATTTAGTGGAGAGAGTGAATACTGCTGAATACACATGCTTGACAGAGATGCTGTATGCGAAACCAATGTGAGTTTGGGAAATTGCACAGTATAAATCTATTTTAGTATACCTCAACAATGTAATTATGATCAGTGGAAATGGCCATGACATGGGCCCTTTAATGGACATGTCATATTTGTTAAAACCCTATTTCCATTTTTCTTTCCAACACCTCACTAAACTAAGATTACTGGCTTTCCAGACCTGACATGAGAGAAACTGAAACAAATATTGATATGCTCATCTGAGTCAACTTCTGTTATTAATGTGCACTCACGGCAATTAGGATTTATCAGGAGTATTGGTAGGGTTGTTATTGTATGCAGCCTTTAGAGGAAGACTGTAGACACCACTCATTGTTGAAAAGCACCACTTCCTTTGCATTTTTTCAGGGACAAAAAAGATTATTCTAACTCAATTGTATGAACAGTTAAACTTCCCCTAATAAAATAAGGACTGGATTCCTTTTTGTAAAATAAGATGGTGTTTGATATAACTCAATCAGGCTATCATTAGGCCTAAGAAGAAATGTCTACCTGTCGCTATAGACAGGCAGAGATTTCTCCTTAGGCACCATTACTAAGACATCAACATAGCACAGACTCTAATGCTTAGTTAAAGTTGTGAGAGCAATACAACTTCTTTTTCTAAACATGTGACTTGTGATTAGCTGGATTCAAAAGGAGAACCATGAGAGTGACATAAGATAAAACTGTAGCTTGTGGGATTGTATTTCTCAGAGTCCCTCACGTATACTGAGTTAATATTGAACAATTATCAGGTTTGCAGACCCTTCCATGTGGGCGGTCCATGTGGGTCTGACGGAGCAGCCGGTGCATGGCGCTCAGTCTCTGTCTGTGGAGCAGATCATATACCACGCTCGCTACAGGCCTAAAGGACTGGACTACGACATTGCACTGATGAAACTGGCCACGCCACTTGATTTTAACGGTATTTTAACGGCTTTTTCAAGACCTCATTCTCTTTCTCAATCCTGCTCATGTATTCATTATATCATGTATAGCTCCAGATCCTAATCCTGCTCTATGTTCATGTATTCATTACATCATGTATAGCTCCAGATCTCAATCGTGCTGAGCCTCTCAGAGCTGGCCTGGTGTAATCTGAATCTTCCAGATCTTCGCAGGGAGAAATGTCCATGATTCAAGTGGCTGGGATCCTTAATGATTTTCCGAGGCTTATTGTTGCAGCGTCTGCTGTAAATATGCCTTAGGCAGGTAGAGCACCTTACAGTGTTTCCTGATGTTACACAACCACTGTTCCCTGTCAGAGTGGACATTCTTAAGCATTTGAGAGGTTAGCTGGAATTTCCTCAAGCGTCTGAGGTGAACCAGTCCCCAGCGAGTCAGTGGATTTAAAGGGGGGCTCTCTTCTTTCTTCCCCAAGGCCACGATCAGCTCCTTAGTCTTGCTGACGTTTTGGACTACGTTGCTGTTCTACTTCTTTCAGCTTGGCCTTTTCCTAGCAATCTGTGATCAGGACCACCACAGCCGTGTCATCTGTGTCCTCTTGATGGTTTTGTTGGAGTCGAAAGTGGCTACATGGCTAACAATGACTAACAAAAACCGCTAAACTCAGATTTTCTACTTCCAAGTTGAAATGAAACGCACCTTTACCTCCCTTCAGTCTCTCAGTCTCTCAGTCTCCCACCTCCCTCCGGTTTCTAGCCTTCTGACAGTGTCAATAATTGTAGGCCTTTCAGTTGTCTGAGGTCTGAGTGTCGGCTCTCATCTATTTGTCCTCACCTTTTTCACTTCTTCCCCTGACGGAGTTGTTTGTCCGAAGCTGATGTTGTGTCATTTCTGTCCAAACAGCTACCACATGAAAACAGGATGTGGGTGTAATTACACATTAGCTGGATGATTGATTGATAGATGTTGGTCCTGTTGGTGAAAGGAGTCTGGGATAAGTAGTTAATTATAGATTCTCCTCTGTAGGCTTTGTGGAGCCCATCTGCCTGCCAAACCATGGGGAGGAGTTTGAGGAGGGCACCATGTGCTGGATCTCTGGATGGGGAGCCACTGAGGATGAAGGTGAGTCTGAACAGGACTTTGAGTCTATTATTTCATCTGCAGCTTTTTGAATGTTATAACATTCCGCCAGGTGTAATGTAATAACGCTAGTGTTCCTGCACTACATACATACATGCTTGAAATAGTTTTTTTCTTCCAGGAGAGACCAGTGTGGTTCTGCGTTCCGCCATGGTGCCGCTGCTCTCCACGAAGACCTGCAACCAGCCGGAGGTTTACCAGGGCTTCATCTCCTCCTGGATGCTGTGTGCAGGATACCTGGAGGGAGGAACCGACTCCTGCCAGGTACACATGGTTCCTTGAAGCATTAAACACCATTGTGATTTCAGAGGAGCAGCCCTGTTCATTTCTACAGAATAACACAGAAACTACAGGACCTGTGAAATCAAATGTCATTATAGGTTTATTTTACAATTAATACGAAAAGTCTAAAATCTCCATAGAAATAAAATCTGTAATTTCAAAAAATGAACCCAAAAAGTGCGTGTGTGTGTGTGTGTGTGTGTGTGTGTGTGTGTGTGTGTGTGTGTGTGTGTCTTCAGGGCGACAGTGGAGGTCCTCTGGCCTGTCAGGACTCTGTATGGAAGCTGGTTGGTGCAACCAGCTGGGGGATTGGATGCGCTATGAGGAACAAACCGGGCGTTTACACCAGCATCACACAGTCGCTCAGCTGGATCCGCCAACAGATGGAGGTCAGCACATGGCAAGCTGTGTCCTGTTTCAGGATGTTTGGCCTTTGGAAAACTAGTACTGAAGAAGATTCACCATATTGTCACCATATTTCTGCAGGGAGCGCCGCGTGGTGCACAGGCTCTCGGGTCAATATTTTGTGTTTAAAAACCTATTTAAAAACTCCTGTAGTAAAACCAAAAGTTTATAAAAGCCCTGTTTGGTCTGGGTTAAAAATGTTTAAAAAAATGGAATAAAAGGGATAAAAGAGAGCAGAGGCTGAAGCACAGAGCGTATGCGGCGGTGTTAAAACCTGTACTCCTGCCCCCCCGGGAAGGGGTCTCCCGCGGTGGAGTGTCCGAGGCTGCGTCCCACAGCATCTGGTAAAAGACCTGGTAAGTGGGTTAAAAAACATCTGGCTAAAAGGACCGAGGTTGACTTTGTTTAAAATCGGCATGCAGGTAAAATTAGTGTTAAAATGTTTTAAAATAAATACATAAAAGTGCTTTTAAAAATAAGTGCTGGTAATAAAAATCACCCAACCCAAATGTTAAAAATATATATATTATAAAAGAAAAATATGTAAAATATAAAATGTAAAATACACACGGGTTAGTAGGCACACAGGGAGGGGAAATATCTTAAAATAAAGTCAACCAAGTGTCCCTAAAAGTGTTTAAAACCCAGGCTGAGGTCTAGAGAGGTGGTGCAGGTGAGACATGGGACACGCCTCGGATGATGTTTAAAAATACTTTATTAAGGGGTTATTTCAGGGTGTTTCCCTGCGGGAGGCTCCAACATCCATTTAAAAATGGAAAGTAATAACTAAAATATAAATAAAACAATATAAACAATGTAATAGAAAACGGGGGATTAATAATATATAAAAAATAATAAAATATATAATATGGTGACAAATATATTGTCACCATATTTCTGCAGGGTTAGGGTTAACATGTCATTATAGTATAAACAGAGTTGTAAAGAATATCATAAATGACTGCTGGACTCACTTTAGCTGCTTGTTTCAGAGCGGCTGGTATAAGAGGACATTAGCTCTGGAGCCTGTGAGGATGTCAGGTTAGCATTAGCTCTGGAGCCTGAGAGGATGTCAGGTTAGCATTAGCTCTGGAGCCTGTGAGGATGTCAGGTTAGCATTAGCTCTGGAGCCTGTGAGGATGTCAGGTTAGCATTAGCTCTGGAGCCTGTGAGGATGTCAGGTTAGCATTAGCTCTGGAGCCTGTGAGGATGTCAGGTTAGCATTAGCTCTGGAGCCTGTGAGGATGTCAGGTTAGCATTAGCTCTGGAGCCTGTGAGGATGTCAGGTTAGCATTAGCTCTGGAGCCTGCTGCATTACGGCTCTGCTGCACGTCTCCACTCCACTGAATTCTTAGTCTTTGTGCATTCTTTTCAGTTGTGAACAGAGCTCACCTTTATGTGATCGCTGAATCAGCCATGTTTTTTTGCTTGAAATTATTCCTACTTAAAATAGCAAGAACAATGGACATCTTGACTGAACACCACCCTGCAGAACAGTGTTGGGGTGTTAGGAGTGGTGGCGGCCTGGTATGAAGGCACTGGTTAATGTGGCTATCAGGTTATTCTGACAGAGGCCTTTAGGGGAATTTAAGAAGGCCCCCGTTTGTTCGGTTGACTAGCTGACCTCTGCACAGCTGTTGGGGACTTTGTTGTGAGATGTCTGACCAACAGCTGGTTCTCCTCCTGGCGGAATCCGAGTACAGCAGCTGTCTTTATATCATAAAAGCTTTGAAATGCTACACTTGACACCAAGTTCCTTTCACCGTTAAGAATTTGTAATGTGAATCAATTAAACTGGGCTTGTTTCCATGTACAGCATCTCTCAGACCACATGCAAACAAATGTAAATCACTATGTGTGAAAAAGGGTTATAGGACTTGGAAGCAAACAGGTGTTTAAAACTTTCTTTGTATGCTATTTCTTTAGTTATTCCAATTGATCCACTTAACTCTTGCATCCCCTTGAAAAAATCCCCTCAGGTTCCCACAGAAATCTAACTTTCCAGACCGTCTGACAGTGTTGTTCCTATATTCTATGCAATGGTTTTAATTGTCATGGAAATAACCTTATGCATCCGTTTCACGACATTAGTATACTGTATTCGTAAGTTTTACAAAAGTTAAAAATTAATGAACCAGGCTTGGCCATAACAATTTGTAAAGACTTGTTTTAAAGGACTCAGATGGTGTCAGTTGTCATAACTAGATCATTACTGTGACTTGTTTCAGTGTCCCTTGTGTTCAACTGTTATTTTCCACATTGTCTTTCAGAGAGAAGAGGCTTCTAACTCTCCAGCTCTGAGCACAGACAACTGAAGCACCATGTGATTACTCAGTTTGGATGATTCCACATGACAGGACTACAGAGATAAACAATCACAGCAGAATGGCAGAGGGTTTAATCCGCACATACCCCGTGTGGAGGCAAAGTTTAAGGAACAGAGACGGGGAACAGCAGAGAGTTAGGCATCGTTTATTCCAAAATAGAAAGCTCTAAGGCAAAACAGACAAGAAAAGTGAACAACGCTTCATAAAAAGCAAGTGAGGAACCGAGAGCTCGACGAGAGCCCACCCAGTGTCCCCCCACCCTCAGCTGCACCAAATAACCATTCCAGGCCTCAACTTTACAAGAGGAAATGAACCAGACACTGCAGCTATTGACAGACAATTGTTGTACAGTACAATGTTACAGATTTTCAAACAAGAGGCACCCTATTTGTGAAGTAATATCAACATATTGATAGAGATGTGGAGTCTCTCACTACATTTGATTGTAGTGGCAGGGGGCCACAGCATCCCTCAGGCCGGCGCTCAACTTAACACCTGCTCTGTTTTCAGCACAGCATCTACGTGAACATAAATAAAAGTTTAACGCGTGCAAAAAGTCCACTGCTTCTTGTCGATGGAGCTCAGACCTCACTGTGGTTACTCAGACCCTTGTGATTGTGTGGTTAGCATAGTGTTCTGGATTGTGCATTTTAGAAAGTTTGCTACTACTGTCAAATGATTAAAAGACATAACGTATGTTATACACAATGAGGGTAAAAGTGTATGCAAGAAATCTGAGCACTGCAGTCAAGTTACTGTGAAAGATTACTTCACATAACATAGATGTTGCAGTACGCAAAGTAACATTATTAACAATGCTTTACAGAACCACACACATGGACTGCAGTTTAGTGTCCTTTTGACCAATTTCACCAAGGGTCAGACTTTTTGTGCTTCTTGGCAATAATTCTTTAAAAAAAGAACACAGGTAAGGCCATGTTAGTATTGTAAGTTTAAAACCAATTTAAATAGTCATTTTCATCAGGATTCAATTCCTCTTTTTTTTTAGAAAACTTCAAAGAACCCTGGAAAACAGGGTCGCTAACTTTAATTATGAATCTGTACATAAATATTCCTTACAAAGCAGGAGAACACAAAAATGAAACAAAAAACACGAATTTCATACGTTTGTATATAAAAATAAGCATCTCTCCTTTTTTTTTTTTAAATCTCTCCACTAGGCTCTGCTCGGCCTGCAGGGGCCCGAGTGAGAGCCTTTTGAAATCTCTCCACTAGGCTCTGCTCGGCCTGCAGGGGCCCGAGTGAGAGCCTTTTGAAATCTCTCCACTAGGCTCTGCTCGGCCTGCAGGGGCCCGAGTGAGAGCCTTTTGAAATCTCTCCACTAGGCTCTACTCGGCCTGCAGGGGCCCGAGTGAGAGCCTTTTGAAATCTCTCCACTAGGCTCTACTCGGCCTGCAGGGGCCCGAGTGAGAGCCTTTTGAAATCTCTCCACTAGGCTCTACTCGGCCTGCAGGGGCCCGAGTGAGAGCCTTTTGAAATCTCTCCACTAGGCTCTACTCGGCCTGCAGGGGCCCGAGTGAGGGGCCCGAGTGAGAGCCGCGGAGTCCGTCGCAAAAATGCGCACATCTACTCAAACACAAGCATGCAAAAAGTGAAGACAAACCCTTACAGATACAACTTGAAAATTGTTGGCATCCAAAATGAGAATTCAACTGGGGACGGGGAACAGGGGCCGAGAAACAAATCATAGATCAGTCAACATTTATCAACGGAGCATACAAACTTGCTTCAAGTGTTAAACACTTACTTTTTCTTCTGTTTGATTTCATCTTTTTGAGCTTAAATATACAAAAAGTGCACTCGCATACATCAACTAAATAATGAAAAAAGGGTTTCTGAAAGGAAACTCCTGATGTACGTACTCAGCATAAACTGCTGTTCAGCAGGGTGGGGGGTCGGAGTGCAGGAGCGGGACGTCCTGTACTTTGTGCTGGATGTAAACCTAATGTGTGTCTGTACTAGGATTTTAAGAGAACTATTGACACATGTCTTGTGTGTAGTTCAGAGTGTGAGGTGTGTGTCCTCTACTGCAACGAGTCGCTGTTGTCCAGGCCTAGCCCGGCCATGTCCACGTCATCGTCTTCGTCTCCACTGTCCCCCGACTCGTCCTCGCTGTGGCCCCCCAGCATCACCTGCTGTATTGCCAGAGTGGCCCCGTCTGACGTCAGGCTCTGCAGACTCTCCATGTTCATCGTCACCATTGTCCCTGAAAAGGAGAGGACAATGACTCAGTGAAAGCTCTACAAAATAGAAATGTTGAGAGTACAAGCTGAGCAGCTAATAATCCTGACTTAAAACCTGAATAATACCCGACATAAACGCTGACATGCTCAACCATCTTTTCATGGTGGATTACTTTCTAGTTTTTTTTATCTTTAATATTTGCTTTATTATTTATTTATATTAAGCTATCTTTGGCTCTTTGCTGTAACAATTGTAAATGTCCCATCTGTGGGACGAATAGAGGTATTCTGATTCTGACAGTGTGGAGGACATTTCAAGGTAAAGCAAATTCAATTTTCGCTAAATGACTTGTGAGATGGCAATGATTGGGATGGAGGCAGACAACTTGCTGTGATCTCAAAATGAACCCCTTCACATACCCAAACACACACAGCGAAATCCACGTCCTGTTCACTTATTGAGGTGTTGTTTGAGTGTGGATGTTACACAGGATAAAGACTATTTAATGATTATTTCTTGTGTACCATCAGGCATGGTGACTTGCTGCTGGCCCCCCCCCTCCTGTGGCGATGGAGTCCGGCCAGAAGCGCTGCAGCGGCCGGTTCTGAGGCGTCTTTTCTTGGCTTTTGGTGTCTCAGAGGAGCTGGCATCCAACATGGGCTGCAGGATTCGCCTCCTGGCATTTATGAACCTGGAAACAGGAGAATACTCCGATCTGAGGGGAGGCTGGAGTCTAATCTGTGACCAGAACAGCTCTTAACTTAAACTACATTCAGCTACTTTTCTCTCAGTAAAGAAACAAATATGTGTTCTGCGGTGATCCCACCACAGAAACATGTTATTACCCACCCAGCCACATTTGTATTCATATAAAATTGAAATAAAGAAGAAAAATCGTCTCGAAAATTTGAAAAAGAAGCAAAAGTCGATGCAAAAATAGTAAATCAGTTCCTTTGAAAGAAGAGCCAAGTCTTGTCTCTGGAGCAGACAGAACACTGGGGAGAAAGCGTTACCCTAACGTCCTGACATGAACTTGGGACGGTGCTGGGCTGTGGTTCTGTTGGCAAACTCACCAGTTGTTGACCTGCAGAAGGGTCAGGTTTGTCTGAATGGCAATCTGTTTCTTCTCATCCTCTGTTGGGTATGGGTGCTACAGAAAAGGACAGGGGAATAGAGGCCTCAGTGTTTTGGTAGGATTGCAGTTACACAGGCAAACATTTGAAGCACACACACACACACTCACCCCGATGTGCTGGAAGAGCCACGAGCGCATGACATTGGTGGCCAGTTTAGGTAGAACGCCACGTTTGTTCTTAGATGAGTTGTCGTCGTGATTAAAGAGGTTCAGGTCCTGGTGAAACTGCAGCTGGAGCTGAGCACACACACAGGCAGTTAGACTTTACTGAATTTACATTTTTGAGTTAATAGCCAGCAATCGCCAAGGAACCAATTATTTACAAATACAGCAGCATCACAGTCACAAAGAGAGATGAACAACCTGATTGTTTTGGACGCGTATTGTCCCGGGAGAAAGAGCCTGTGTTACCACTTGACCCTGAGGAGTGACGACTGTAACAGGCTGGTACACCGTCCCACCTGGAGTCAACAAAAACACACATACCTTAATATAATGTGCTTTGCTGTGTGCTGGCTGCTGATCAGTGTCCTTGCAGAATGCTGCTGTGAGAACAGTACAGTACCTGAGGGCGGAGTTGTTGTATGCCATGGTGACATACCTGCGACCATTTGGGTGGGGTTGACGGCTGTCACGGTAACGTTCCCTTGCTGCAGGGCTGATGCTGGCACCACGATCTGACCCTGAGGACTGATGGTCCCTGAGATAGAGCTGGGGGTCTGCACAACACATAAAGGGCAAAGTCACTGTTTGTTCCCCATGCTGGCTCACATTTCAGAGCACTTTGACATGACACTTGCTGACACAGTGTAGCAGGTTAAAGGATGAAATTAAAATGTAAAGAAATAAAAAATAATTGTCAGTGTCATGCATGAGATGTTGACTTCTAAAGGCACTCAAAGAGCCACCTGCTGGTGGTACATGATTCTCGCACTCTAAATGTGTGGTGATGTGTAGAGTCCACCTACAGTCCATACCGGAGTCTTGATAGGGGAGAAACCCTGGACCTGGCCCTGCACGGGGGAGTAGGGGCTCCCCGGGTCTCCACTCAGCAGGGTCTCGCTGTTCATCTTAGTCTTGAGGCAGGCAATGTAGCGGCTGCAGAAGTCCTTACACAGGTCACTCACCTTCTCCAGCTCCAGCAGGTGGATGCGCAGCACCTGGATGGCTTTCACCATCTACAGGTCAGAAGCAGAAAAAACAGCTTGAGACAGTCTATGGGATCAGAGTCCCCGTCGTGTATCCTCTTACGTGGCTGATGTTGGGGATTTAGACACTTACAGTAAGGTACTTGTCATACACATTTAACCCTTGTGCCCTCCTCGAATTTTCAACCTTTCGACCCCTTCGTGGCAAAAATGTACACGCCCATAATAACTGCTACTAAATCATCATACATCAACATTTCTTTCTACTTTTTTTTTCATGAATCACTTAAACAACTTATAACGTACTCAAAACTACCAAACATTCAATAATTGTCTGGATTTTAACCCTTTAAATGCCTGTTTAATTATTTGAATTATTTCATTTTTTCTTACGAAAAAACACAAAACATAATTATTTTTCAATATAATAATTAGTAGAGGGATGGAACTTTGGTGGTTACTAGAGTCTGGGATGTGTCAAAGATTAGCAACAAAATTGATTTGACTGCATTATTATTTTTTACGTAGTATCAGATACTACCTCTGGACACCTTCGTGGCAAAAATGTACACGCCCATAATAACTTCTATTAAATCATCATATATCAATATCTTTTTCTACTTTTTTTTCATGAATCACATAAACAACTTCTAACGTACTCAAAACTACCATTTACAGTTTCGATTTTAACCCTTTAAACGCCTGTTTCATTATTTTCATTATTTCATTTATCTCAAAAATGCCTCATTGACTTCCATTCAGACCACATTTGTTGATCTCATTGCCATTGCAGTATAAAACCATGCATTTTGTAATGTCAGCATTTCATTTAGAAGAAAAGTAGTGATATTTGATATTTCTACTCTATTCCAACAGATTAAACCATTTTCCCACTGTAGGCTGATGCATTAAATTCTTACATTTTTGCCAGTTATATTATGGAGCCGTGTGACTACCAGGGGGCCCCGAGAGTGGTGTGTGTGTGTGTGTGTGTGTGTGTATGTATATGTATGCGTGTGCGTGTGTATATGTGCGTGTGTGTGTGTGTGTGTCATTTCCAGCAGCAGACTAGCAGGTCCTGCAGCATGTGACCTGGTGCTCTCAGGTGATAGAACAACATTTTTTTTAGGCCTGTGCACAACCAGCACACACCTCTCCTCCCTCTCCGTGTGTGTGTGTGTGTGTGAGAATCTGTAAGCATGCACAGATCATTTCATGGGAACAAAAGGCCATCTTTTGAGGGATGTGTTTGATGTGTCTTTGAAGAGCTGCTTGATTACTCAAAAACAAAAAACAAATGTTAGTCTGTTTATGCACCTGGCTGCCAAAGATAAACATGCAGTTTGACCAAGGGCTTATTTCATTAGTGAGCAGAGAAGGAGAAAGACCTGGAGCAAAGAGAAGGAACTCAAATGAAGAAGCTTTTCAGTGCAGAAGAGACTTCAGAAATAATCTTGCAGCCTTCTTCTGCCAGCGAGCTGCAGGACTCATCTGAAGAAGACACAAGGTTCGAGGGGGGGTCTGACACTGAATGCTCTCTGGAGTCCAGCATTTCTTTGAGTTCCTCTGACCCTTCATCTGAAAGTGGAGAGGACACTGAGGGTCCGGCCCACAGTGAGGGGACAGAGAAGAACGGAGGTCGTTCTCCCAGGAGCTGGGGAAAACCAGGGTGTCCTCACAGATTGTGAGAAGAAAGCCCCCCGTGGTGGTGGATGGTGGGCCGGACCCTCAGTGTCCTCTCCACTTTCAGATGAAGGGTCAGAGGAACTCAAAGAAATGCTGGACTCCAGAGAGCATTCAGTGTCAGACCCCAGCTCGAACCTTGTGTCTTCTTCAGATGAGTCCTGCAGCTCGCTGGCAGAAGAAGGCTGCAAGATTATTTCTGAAGTCTCTTCTGCACTGAAAAGCTTCTTCATTTGAGTTCCTTCTCTTTGCTCCAGGTCTTTCTCCTTCTCTGCTCACTAATGAAATAAGCCCTTGGTCAAACTGCATGTTTATCTTTGGCAGCCAGGTGCATAAACACACTAACAGTTGTTTTTTGTTTTTGAGTAATCAAGCAGCTCTTCAAAGACACATCAAACACATCCCTCAAAAGATGGCCTTTTTTTTCCCATGAAATGATCTGTGCATGCTTACGATTCTCACACACACACACACACGGAGAGGGAGGAGACGTGTGTGCTGGTTGTGCACAGGCCTAAAAAATTGTTGTTCTATCACCTGAGAGCACCAGGTCACATGCTGCAGGACCTGCTAGTCTGCTGCTGGAAATGACACACACACACACACACACACAAACACACGCACATATACACACACACACACGCACATACATATACACACACACACACACGCACACACACACACACACATATACATACATACATACATACACACACACACACACACCACTCTCGGGGCCCCCTGGTAGTCACACGGCTCCATAATATAACTGGCAAAAATGTAAGAATGTAATGCATCGGCCTACACGGAAACTTGTGTAATCTGTTGGAATAGAGTAGAAATATCAAATATCACTACTTTTCTTCTAAATGAAATGCTGACATTACAAAATGCATGGTTTTATACTGCAATGGCAGTGAGATCAACAAATGTGGTCTGAATGGAAGTCAATGAGGCATTTTTGAGAGAAATGAAATAATTAAAATAATTAAACAGGCATTTAAAGGGTTAAAATCCTGCCAATGATTGAATGTTTGGTAGTTTGGAGTACGTGAGAAGTTGTATATGTGATTCATGAAAAAAAAAGTAGAAAAAGATATTGATGTATGATGATTTAATAGCAGTTGTTTTGGGCGTGTACATTTTTGCCACGAAGGTGTCCAGAGGTAGTATCTGACACTACGTAAAAATTAATAATGCAGTGAAATCAATTTTGTTGCTAATCTTTGACACATCCCAGACTCTAATAACCACCAAAGTTCCATCCCTCTACTAATTATTATATTGAAAGAAATTCATTTTTTGTGTTTTTTTTTAAGAGAAATTAAATAATTCAAATAATGAAACAGGCATTTAAAGGGTTAAAATCCTGAAAATTATTGGATGTTTGGTAGTTTTGAGCACGTTAGAAGTTGTTCAAGTGATTCATGGAAAAAAAAGTTTAATAAAATATTGATGTATGATGATTTAATAGCAGTTTCTATGAGCGTGTACATTTTTGCCACGAAGGGGTCCAGAGGGTGCAAAATGCATCACGAGAGTATACAAAACATGTAAGAGTAAACGACATTGGATTTCAAAAATTTGACTCAAAAGAAGACTTCTTGCAAAAATCCATGCCAAAAGCTGTAACACAGCTGAAATGAACACCAAATAAAAAAAAAAAAAGTCAGGAAAAATGTACAAAAATGCCCGAGGAGGGCACAAGGGTTAATACCTGTAGTATTTAACTATGATGAAAACCAGTAGGCGCAATTATGCCAAGAATGATGTGTAATTATACAAATAACAAAACACAGTGAAAGTTTAGTCAAATCTGCACTGCCGACAGCTCACAGTGTGGACAGTGCAGGTCTGACTCACATGGTAATACTGCACACACAACCCACTGTCAAACAATCCCACTTTTAGCTTCTAGGTAAGTAACGGGGACAGTTTATCATATGTGAAGCCATCAGGTTTCCACAGTCAGAGAACTCTGTGTGTGCCCTGGTCATACTTCTGGTACCAGCGTCTGGTTCAGAGCTTATTTAGCCTTAGTCAGTACCAGAGCAGAAACAGATCCGAGTGTGTTGCCCTCCTTTTCCTTAATCTTCCCAATTCCATTACACTTTGTTTCCTTAAGTTCTCTATGCTCTATTTGAGGAAATGTAATTGATTGCTCCATGCGCTGTGTTAACAGTGTTATTCAGTTTTCACTCATATATTTAACTATAGCAAGTGGACAAAGCTGCACCTCACCATGCTGATGAGGTTAAAGGTGACTAGCGAGTGTGTAAGTGAGTTGTGGTTTCATTTTGTATTTCTTTTTGAAATACCTCACATCCCTGTTTTGGCCTCAGAACTAAAATTGGTTTTCGGTCATCTGCATATGTAATAATTCCAAACAAATGATCTGCACTTGATATGAATGGGAGCCGACGGTCCATCGGGATCTGAAATCACACTGAGATTACCCCCAGTCACATCGGGGTTGCAGTCGAATAGTCCAAAAATCAGCTCCTAAGTTCTATCCCTATCCCTTGACCTCGGAGTGAAACGTCACGGGGTTAAGGGATAGTGGATAGGAGAATTCAAAAGGATTTAGGAGAAGAGACTGCGGTGCTTTAGAGAATCGACTGCACGTTCACTATCCGACGTGTTTATGATGCGCCAGCGGACGTCATAAATGTGCGTCTGCTGCTGTGGGGAAACTATGGAAACTACAGTTTTCTATACAGCGGACTACAACATGGATGTTTAATAAGAACGAGGGACTACTGTAAACTCATCTAGAGACTCTGCACCGTGCTCTGATGCTGTTATGCTTTATGAACGGGGACAACAGAGAAACATATTCTTCATGACCAAAGTTGGAATTGAAATAAAAAAGGAAAGTGAAACTTATGCTCGTCACCCTCTCCCTCCGGTCCACATTAATACAAATGATCCCAATACGTATGATTGTATGAAAAGATCTTCAAATCAATACAAATGTATTTATTATAAACGTTAGTCCTTAACATCTATCACTGTGTATATCACCATTCAAACATCTTTTAAAAGTTGAACAAACCCCACACAGCTCAGTAAAGACTGTGAAATGTTGACTTTATTTGATCATTTCAGTAAAAACTAACGTTCATATTTCTCTTTTTGATTATAATACTGATGAATGTTCAAAACAAAGCACTTTGGCAACTTACCACATACGTTTTAAAATGCTTAATAAGCACCGTAACTTTCATGATATCATTTCTCGTTCATAATCGGTTGTTTCCGTGAACGGCCGACTGTTGTGTGATGGCAAATGCTGCGGCCGCAAGGCATTGTGGGGCAGCATTTTCTCCTCTCCTTTAGGTGAGGGAGGTCCAGTGGTTCCTAAGCTAAAGGAGGTTATAAAAGGAAGTTTGAAACCTCCTTTCCTTTTAATTTAGAGAATTCGAACGGCACTTATCATGGCTGCCACTGAGGGACTTCCGGGTCATTTCACTCCGTTAGGAAGGTTCCTAAGCTAAATGGACTATTCGACTTCAGCCCCGGTCTGTCAACAAAATGGATTTACTCAAACTGTCTTATAAGCCCCTCCCGACCACATTCAGTGTTTTCTTAGTGAAGACCACACTGGGAGCCAAAACTTCACTCTTTTTTTTATAGAGATTGTAACATCTCCAGCAGTAAACACTTGTTTAAGAAGGTATACAATTTGAGTTACATTTTGGTATGTGGTCTACTTTCAAAATCCCACCAAGATGATATAAAACAAACAAAAGAAAAACAGCAGCCAAAAATCTGAGATGGAGAGGGTTCTCACCAAGTTGTCGAGTTCAGGGTCCTCGCTGAAGAAGGGCTTACCCTCTTTCTCCTGATTGCGGACAAAGTTCTCAATGTCCACGTCGAAGCTGGCCGAGGTGATGCAATCAGAGCTGAGCGTGGACTGTTCACACTTCTCAAACAGCAGGGCCAAGAGAGGGAACAGGGGGTGCCTGTGAGGTGTGGAAAAACAAACGGCATTTAGTGTACATGAAAACAAATACCACATCATTTTAAAATGAATGAAAACCACACTCTTAACATTATTAAATACCAGAGGGTACATTAGAATCACATGAACAAAGGAGAGGACTTGTCATGTGATATGTCCTACTGGCTAATGTGAATGACACACACACACACACACACACACACACACACACACACACACACACACACACACACACACACACACACACACACACACACACACACACACACACACACACACACACACACACACACACACACACACACACACACACACACACACCACACACACACACACACACACACCACTACACACACACACACCACACACACACACACACACACCACACCACACACACACACACACACACACACACACACACACACACACACACACACCACACACACACACACACACACACACACACACACACACACACACACACACACACACACACACACACACACACACACACACACACACACACACACACACACACACACACCACCGATATATGGAGGCTTTGTCCACGTCCATGGGTGTCTGTGGCTCTGTGGGGGCTGGGCTGGGCACCTCTGCCAACGTCCCCTCAAGATACTTCTGCTCGGAATCTCCGTCTACCTTTACTACACCTTGCATCTGTTGAAAAAAGGAAACAAAGAAGTGAGAAAAGAAAGCTACAGAGTAACAGAAACAGAGGGAAGAGGTGAGAAGAGAGGCGGAGAATGAGAGACATAAAGACATCATGTGAAGACCAAGAGTAGCCGGAGGCAAAGCTTAACACTGAGCCTTGTTTTAATACGAAGCCTTTAGAAAGTCATGAGGGCATGGTCAGAAATCCACAAAAGCTATGCATTTTTCACACAACACTAAATGTTTTTGAAAGAACGATGAAAAGTCTTTAATGCCACAGAAAGAGGTGTTGATACGAGTTATAAGTCCTGCATCAGCACTCTTTGATGCAAGTTACGGAACTGAGTTTATTCCTGTTTCCCTGTAATACTTGTGACCTGAGAATGACTGTCATACATCTCCGGTGGACAGACAAAATAACATGTCTTCATTCATTCATGCCCTCAGGTCTTTTGTCATCGCTCTGTGAGCACACTATAGCTAGACTACTTGCAGAGTGTTGCCTTCAAATTACAATGCAAGCCTACACTTATCCAGAACCTGTGTGTACAGACATTTACAAATCACCTAATGTAAATGAATATGTGGCTGTAGCCTCCAAACCCTCCACTAGAGGCTTACTCATTGAGTGGGAGCCAGGTTTCTTATTTTCACACATTTCGTGCCTGCCTACCCGCAACCCAGGATCTTTTCCAGGACCATAACTCCCATCCCATACCATGTGACTGAATGAACAATGTATGAGATTGAGCACAAAGTAGCTAAAAATAATCACTTGCTTGGGGTGGAACATTTCTCATTAGTCATAGATCATTTTCAACTCTCAACACCCCCAAATTTGGCACTTAATGTAAGCAATTTATATAAGCTCATAAACAGAAAGACTATTCAGAAAAATAGGGCTTTATTCATCATCAGTATATCTCATAAAGTGATTTTTTTGCAGACAGACAAGCAGGCAGCCAGCAGATTATTAAAACTGATGTAATAGCATTAACATCGCCTGTGCTCTAGTGTTACATGCAAGTGTTTCTCTTTGTTTAACAATCCAGTGCAACTTATCACTACTAAAAATAACTGGGGATCCATGGGCAAAGAGTGACAATGCTGACAGCTGAAGTCAGAAACATTTAGGTGTTGTTATTTCAGAAAAGGTCTTTTAATGTTGCGGTTGACTATCTTTTTTTAAAACTTGCAAAAAAAAGGGCAGTTCAGGCACTTGTAGAAGGTTGTGTAGGCTTCAGGGTCCAAACCAAATGCCTCCCTGTCACCCACCTGCTGCTCTCCCTTTGGGTACTTGTCTATGGAAACCGACTGGGCTGCCATCACTTCACTGCAGATGCTGCAAACACCTGGGCATTATAGAGAGGGACAGGTGGCCAACCTACACAATACACATAGTTTCAGTTAGACTACCTGTTAAACATTCCTGGAGTGTAGGCAAAACTTTTAACAATGCACCGTCAAGAAGTCAGAGTTTAAGTTATCATTAGCTTTGTAAATACACTTATGTGATCAAGGGGAAATGAAGCACTGTTTGTTTCCATGCTACAAAACAATGTATGCTGAATCAATAACAGACAACTTTGGGTGAGCATAAAACAGACACTATGATCAAATATTTACTCCTGAATATGACCCAAAAATGTGAAGCATTTGAAGGACATGTAGATAAGTCATACCATAAACTATGTGGTTTTGATGTTTGCACACGCGTTGGGCCATAACAAGAGAATATGGGGGCACACAGAAAATATGCTAAGGAGGGGAGGTTAAATATGAGTGGATAACGTTTACTGATTTATTTCTATATATCGCTTCAACAATAAGCATTTCTGTTTACACCAATATCAGAAAACAGCGAGGGTTGAGCTATATACCCTAGGTGCGCTGTTATAATAATAGTTAGCAGTTATAAGGCCACCCTGCAACTGCTGTTAAACACACACACCACGACGGGCTTAGCTGTTAGCCCTGTGTTAGCTACCCACCCTTTGTGGCGGCAAGGAGAGATACAAGTGTAATAAAGCCTTTGGGTTAACACCTTAACCCCAATGTACTATAACGTTCGTGTTATTCGCAGACTAAGCAGCTCGGCGGGAGTAAGCCTTGTTTTTCCACAGTATTTGTTGGCTAGCATGTACCGTTAACGCCACATTGGCTCTAGCTCACGAGCACAATAAAGGTTAACCTAAAAGAGGACCGCCCGTCCGAGACACAGCTAACGTTAGTCAGGTACTGTTAACTTATTCGTGTTTCGTATACTGTACGGTGAGGCCAAATGTGACGCGCCATATTTAGCAAGGGGGATCACTGCCAAGAAAACAAGCTAACCTAGCTAGGCAGGTACAAAAAAAGACCCCGCTGCGGATGGATACGAAGCATGTTGGCTCAAAGAGCGTTAGCATTGCTCATTTAACATTTAAAATGAAAATGCATTTCTTGAAAGCAATACAAACTAATTCGACTGCAATGATATTAAGAAGCATTGGCTGCACAACAGGCTAGCCTCGTTGATCGTCAAACCCTTCCCACACAAGTCAATCAATCAAGCGGGGACAGCTGCCCTCTCCTTCCCCTCCCCTCCGCGCTAACGTTACGACTGTCGGGCCTCGTTTCTAGCTCTCGCCCTTTGCTTTTCCACAATCCTCCTCTGCCCCCAAAACGCCGACATATTTTTTTACCCCCCCTCCCTTGTATACAGATTGTATTATTCTTTCCGGAGCTCTAGCGCTTCTGCCTTCCTTCCAAAAACACCCTCCGCTGCCCTGACTAGGTCCGCACTGCTCGCCCCGGGGCATTTTTGCGTGCGGCCCAGATCTTTTGATTGATAGGGAACGGAAAAAGAGGGATTTTGAGTGACAGCTTACCTGAGTGCCAATCTTCGTCACACTGACAAGCGGCTGCAGCAATCGGGACCCGCAGTTGTCGCGTTGCGTCATCGCGTAAGGGCACGCAGGGGCGCTCGGCTCATGAATATGTATAAGGTGGGCGGAGACATGACGTCCTGCTGCCTTTCCCTCTGTGCCCTCCTGGGTATTTTGCTTGCTAACGCAATTCACTGCCCCCGTTTACAGAACAGATTTTCTGTGTATTTCCAGCTATATAATTTGTTAATGCATAATTTCTCATTATATTCACAACAAAAGCTGATCGTTTACTCCTAAAAGTTATAATCGATATTGCTGGGATAATAGGGACAGTATTTGCAAGCAGGCAGGCTAAGGGAGTGAAAATGTGTAATAATTACAATAGAAAGAGATAAACCACTTGCACACTCAGCTCTATTCAAATGACCCCCTTAGGCAGGAAAGCTGCATAAAAGCGTTTGATCTTTGTCTATCCCTTCATACGCCTATTCCTTTATTAAAAACAAAACAGAATCAGACCAGGCAAAACTGATATTTTTAATGCATGTACTTTATTGATATAACATTTTAACAGCATATTATTATTATTATGCATAACTGACAGGTAATCACAATAAAAAGATCTTCACCATCACCATGATCTTTAAACAATATAAAGGTTTGCAGCGAAGCCAACTCGTCTAGTGTCTGATGGAGGAGGGCTGCGGGAGGCGGAATTTAGCCATCTCTACATCCAGGTCTGCAAACGTGAAGGGGGTATAGTTGTGGTGCTGGTTGTTTTTATAAGTGCTGTTGTCAAAAGGCTCATTGGGCTCTGGAGGTGCTGCAGCCTCTGCAAAAGGAGGGGGAGAAAAGGCATGTAAGAAAACTGAGTGTGAAAATAGAGAGCTGGCAAATATTCCTGCTGTTTATGCATTCATTAAAATGAAAAGTTATTCATATTCATACTACTAGGTATCCTCCTTTGTCCTCGTCCTAGTTGTTATGAGTCGATTTAGCTTTTTGCTGATAAACTACTGAGTGGGAAAAGTGGCTTGCTCTGTTAACATTTGAGAAGATTTTTTTTTTTTTTTTTTTTAAAGAGCCGGACATTTACATATTCACACATGAGGCAAAGGTGGTTTATTGTGGGGATTTCCTATGGTGGTAGGTTGCATTACCCCCAACAGTGTGGAGACACTGTGTGAAAAGCCTCAAGGATCATGTCTGAGGGGAAAGTATGTGAAGGTAAAGTGCTGAGACAATGAAGCCAGCTCAAAGTAGAGAAATAATGATACTGGCATAAAAATGGATTGAGAAACAACAGTAAGTCCAAATCATGGTGTATTGGAGAAAAGGTTTTGATGTTTTGGATTAAACAAAGGTGCATAATGTTCTTCAAACTACTTTCACATCTAAATCTGTTTGGAAAATCAGGCTGTGACGGTAAAGTTATAAACATGTGAGACAGACATTACACATCCGCAGTCAGAGAAACACAGTTAAGACACATTTACATGTTTTCATTAATCAACAGAAAAGAAAAATTCCAAAGTGGTGAGATTAATGACAAGATGAGGTGGGTGTTCCAGGAAGGAGAGTTTCACCATTGGTCAGACAAGTGTTGGCAGAAAAGTGTACTTAAGGGCTGTAGTTACAGGAATGTTTAGGAATCCAATCTGTCAGATGCATTAGAAAACATTGGTTGGTGGCTGCTTATCAGTTCCACATATAGTACTCTAATGACTGATCTAATAGTTGTTGTTACTGTGTAATCCTGCTTCCTGAAACACTTCCTCTGACAACATCAAATCCCAGCTTGTACTCGTCCGGCTGCTGTAAGGGACACGTCTTCACTGTAACACAATACGGCCATGTGCACTTTAACATTACTGTTAGCAATAACATTACCTGGCACGATGAATCCAAACAATGGCATTATTACCTGCAAACATTACCATTAACTCAGAGAACTGTAAACCAAGTTTCATATGAGCAAATGACAAGAATGCGCCAAATTGAACAACATATCAAAGAGAGTCAAATATGAAGAGAAATACTCTGGGTGTGAAGATGGATTTTGTAACTGCAGGGAGGCTAAGCGAGAAAGACTTAAAAAGGTTAAAGACATGTGGTCGATTCCTGACTCAGAAAAAGGCGGGGAGAAAGTAGAAGCAAACTGAAGGATTGTCACGGGGTTGCTACAGCCACTTCTACTTGATTATACGTGGTCAACATATGGCGCGTTTCCACTACAGCGCGGAGCACGGTTTAAGAGGGCTGTGACGTCAGTTGCCCGTTTTTTAGTCATGCTGGTCGAAGACAGAAAAGTCTACATTTCAATTAGAAAAAAAGCAAGCAAAGGTAATAATTAAATGCACCCAAAAGCCCAGCAAGCATAATACACATGCACTGCATCCACCCCATGCTCAACCAGCCAAACTGAATGCCACGGCCATGGGAGGTTAGCTGGGAGAGTGATGGAACAAGCAAAAGAAGAATCTGTTTCAAAAGAAGCTGTGGAGGCAACAGCACCTACTGTATGTGAGGGAGTTAACACCTGATAGCAGTACACTGAATGTTTTGTGAAAGATAGAGATAAGTAATGTCATCTGTATGGCTCACAGATCCACAGAGAGGAAAGAGAGAGGTAAAGATTTGGGGAGTTGTAGTGTAGTGTGTACCCTCAGATGCTTCAACTGGGGCCTCGGCCAGCAGCTCCTCTCCTGCAGCTTCAGCTATGACTGGAGCTGTGTCCACCAGCTCTTCTGGGCTCTCCTCAGGGACATAACCTCCAGCTGCAGCCTCAGCAGCCACTCCAGTGGGGGCAGCTTCAGCTTCTACAGGCCCTGCAGCATCTCCTGCAGGGGCAGCTTCAGCTTCAACTGCAGCCGGGTCCACCAGCTCCTCTGTGCCCTGCACAGGCTCAGTGTCTTCAACTGCAGCTTCTGCAGGGGAGGCTTCAGCTAAAACTGGAGCTGGGTCCACCAGCTCCTCAGGGGCAGAAGCTTCTGCTCCAGCCTCAGCGGGGGCAGCTTGAGCTATGGCAGGGGCCGGGTCCACCAGGTCCTCGGTGCTCTTCACAAGGGCAGAAACTTCAGCTGCAGCCTCAGCAGCCACTTCAGCTTCTACAGACTCTGCAGCCACTTCAGCTTCTACAGGATCAGCTTCAGTAGCTTTTACAAGAGCTTCGGCAGCTTCTGCGGGATCTTCAGCAGAGGGGGGCTCTGTGGCATCTACAGGAACATCTGTTTGGGCTTTTTCTGAAGTTGAAGCTTCAATCACAACTTCGGCTGAAGTTTGTACCTGGTCATCTTTTATTACTTCTGGAGCGGGTTCCACTTCAGCTGAAACTTCTGGGCTGGTCACAGTGTCCCCGGTGGCAGTGCAGATCTCAGGAGCTGGGTCTACTAACTCCTCAGAGCTAACACTGGGTGCCTCGATGGTGGCTGGAGCTTGAGCAGCTTCTGCTGCCGCTGCTGAACAGGTAGCTTCAGGTTCTGGGGGAACTTCCTTCTTCACTTCATTTGTGCCATCCTTTACATCTGATGCAACCTCCTGGACGTCTGCTATTTGTTGCACACTGGAATACGACACTTCTGGTAGGGGGGTCTTGGTTTCAGCCTTTTCTAAATTCTTGACCTCAGAGTCAGAGTCGGAGTCAGAGTCCGAGTCGCTGGATGATGAGGAGGATGATCCATCAGCTGCAGGATCAACCGGCTCAGAGAAGGCTGTGGAAACTGCGTCTGCATCGTCTGTAGTGGAGGCTGCGACTGCATTGTCTGCTGTGGGGGCTGCGACTACATCGTTTGTGGTGGGGGCTGCGACTACATCGTTTGTGGTGGGGGCTGCGACTACATCGTTTGTAGGAGAGAATGCAACTGCATTGTCTGCTGTGGGGGCTGCGACTACATCTTCTGCGGTGGGGGCTGCGACTACATCGTTTGTGGTGGGGGCTGCGACTACATCATTTGTAGGAGAGAATGCAACTGCATCTTCTGCGGTGGGGGCTGCGACTACATCGTTTGTGGTGGAAGGTGCGACTACATCGTTTGTGGTGGGGGCTGCGACTACATCGTTTGTGGTGGGGGCTGCGACTACATCGTTTGTGGTGGGGGCTGCGACTGCATCATTTGTAGGAGAGAATGCAACTGCATCTTCTGCGGTGGGGGCTGCGACTGCATCATTTGTGGTGGGGGCTGCGACTGCATCATTTGTAGGAGAGAATGCAACTGCATCTTCTGCGGTGGGGGCTGCGACTGCATCTTCTGCAGTAGGGGCTGCGACTGCATCATTTGCGGTGGAGGCTGCAACTGGAGGGTCTTCTGGTGCTGAGGTTTCACTTGCATCAACCAGGTGCTCAGCAGCTGGGGGGGCTGCATCAACTACAGGTGTAGTTGCTGTGTTGATAACCTGAGCAGCAGCTACACCTGTTTCTGCAGCTGCAATGGGGCTCGCCACGGATTCAGTTGCACCTACACCCTGTGTTAGGAAAACTCCAGGCTCTGAAAGTCTAACTGGGAAGGTCACAGCTGTCTTGTAGGCTAGCAAGGTTGCTCTCTCATCTTGAACCTCTGCTGCTGAGGAAATTGTAAATAGGATAGGAGTGGTTGAATAAGAAAACATTTGCAGTAAATTAGTATGACTTCCACAGTGAATCTAAGTTCACTTTATCCTATACCCATTTATGCTCTCCTAGAAATGTCCAAATAAAAGAAAGAATTACAACACAATATTAACATATCAAAATACAATAACTTAAAGGTGGGGTAGGTAAGTTTGAGAAACCGGCTCGAGATACACTTTTTGTTATATTCCATGGAATGCTCTTAACATCCCGATAGCATTAATATCTTAAGTGCTTTGACAACAAATCCATAAAAAAATGTCATCTGTGGAAGCCGTAGTACTGTAAAAAGTATGACCAATCACTTTAGCCTGCCCGGCTAAAATAACTGGATGGCCTACCTGCCTGTCAGCCTTCCATCTGTGCACAAACTTATCTGGTGCCCTCATTGGTCATGTGCGCGTTCGTGTGTGTTGGAGGAGGGGCTCTGTAAGGAAGTGGCAGATTTTCTCCGGTTGTGTATTTTCAAATTCTAGCGATCTCGAGCTGATTTCTCAAACTTACCTACCCCACCTTTAAGATGGTTTGTACTGTACACTACTTATAGGCAAAATTAGACACAATCAGCATCACAAGCTATTAAGAATTACATTTAAACAGTGAATTACTCAGAATTGAATGGATACAGGTACATTTCCTGCACTGTAAAAAAACAAACAAGTTACACATTAAGGTTTAAAATCAGAATAACTTTATCATAAATAATATAGGTGTGTACGTAATATAAAAGACAAAAAGGAAAAAGATCATTAGTACACAATAGCAATGAGCCAGGAAAACTTTAAACCTTGAATTTTAAACTTTCTAAAATGATCAGATGTATAGGGCCTTACTCTTGCCTGCAGCCTCTCCCCTCTCAGCTGACTGTGGGGGCCTCTCTGCTGACTGAGGGGGCCCTTCAGTCCGGGAGCAGAACAGAGCAGCCGGGCTCCTCAGGATGCGCCAGCTCTCCTGGTGGAGACACTGCGGAGGAGCAAACACACAGACAGTTGCATTTAACATCGAAATAGCAGCAAAGACAGAACACGGACTGTAACCCTTTATCAAATGTTTTTCTTCCAAAAAAGCTAAGGTAACATTATTGTAAGGTTTTGTATTTGTAATTTTAGCCAACAACAGATAATTATTTTAAACATAAAAGTATAGCACATCCTACAGGTCACATGATAGGATTAGCAGCCGCTGCTAGCCTAGATGGCGCTCATGATATTAAACACTTAACAGAATGTCGAATACCATGAAATGTCATTAACAGGAAAATATATACATGCGTAATGTAGCATTTGGTGTTTTGACATGCAATTATTTATGTCATGCGGTTTTAAGTTATGTAGCCATATCACTGTGTGTACACAGAAAAGTAGCCAACTCCATTCTCGATGGAATAAAAGGTCGTGTGTTAAAGCTCCGTGATTGGCCTCTTCCATCCGGAAGTTTCGAGTTTTCACTTTAATAACAAGTTTTATTTTGAAGCGGTCATAATATAGTTATGGTAAACGTGACTCTGGTAGCTCGGGTGTGTGGTTAAGGTTAGAGAAAAGGCTTTGCCCTTTTCCCGCTGCGGCTACAAGACGCCGTGGGGTCAGTGCTAGGGAGACCCGAGACAACTCGTGTATTCGGGTCCACTGCGACGGAGTAACTGTGACTGAACCCTGCTCAGAGTGCTATTCAAACAGACTACATGCAGACAGCTGGGAGAACATTCAACCATTATTACCTTCAGGGAACCCAGTCGCCCTAACCGCAGCAAGGAGGTCGCCATTTTGTGTTCACAGTGTTATGCTCCGGCCGGAAACTGTTAGTAACCCCAACAGTTCCGCTTCCACAATGATAACGGTGATATCAAGTATACTACGTCATCGAGTAGCGCCGAAGGACTGTTTAAATGCATGTTAAATGCCCAGCATTGGATATGTCATCTCTCAGTAAATGGGAATGGTTTAAATTTAGTGTGAGACAGATTGCGATAAAATCCTGTAAATACTCTTCTAGATTAAAGAAACAAAAACAACAAGAGATGACAAGTGCAATTAATAATTTATGCCTTAAAGCTGAGTTATCATTGGATGAGCAAATTCAACTGAACAATTTACAAACTCAATTAGACAACATGTATTTGGAAAAAGCAAAGGGAGCTTTTATTCGTTCGAGAGCCCGATGGATTGAGCAAGGAGAGAAAAACACTTCTTATTTCTTCAATCTTGAAAAGCAAAGACAAGTGAAAAAGAAAATCCAAAAACTGATTATTAATGATGTCACTATTGAAAATCAAGACCAGATAAATGAAGAAATTAGACTTTTTTTATAGCAATTTATATAACTCAAAGTTTTCTAAAGAAAATTGTGATAACTTTTTTAGTAAAATTACAGAATTCAAAAAGACAATAGATTATTCTTTTAAACAGTATATGGACGATGGACTAAAAATTGAAGAATTAGATAGTGCATTACTGCAAATGTCTGGTGGCAAATCACCAAACAGAAAAGTTTCATCACCAGCACGGGGTAAAAACCACCAATGAGCGCTCAGCTCGAGATACCAGCGAGTTGTTTCCCATAAAGCATTTCGCTTCCGCAGCCCGTGGAGAGAAACTGCGCCGCCTCGCCGCGCCTCGCTCTCAAGTCTGCGGGCGTCTTTGTCCCGCGAGATTTCAACGTCTCATGTAGGCGAGCCTCCAGAGCAAGTCGGACAAAATGACTAATGCAACGCACTAGCAAGACGTTGATCGCAATTGCGCAGGTCTGCGCAGGTCTCGCTTGTCTCAAACAAGCCTAGTGGCTCTGCAGCAGGTATACTCGACATTGAGGGTGTTTCTCAATTGCGAGTACGCTTGCTTGGTAGCACATGTCTGCCGAGCATCTTGCTTCAGAAGCGATGCAAGAATAGAGAGGCGAAGTCTCTCCCCTTCCGGTTGAGCTCCATGGGACACTAGGCTTGTTTGAGACAAGCGAGACCTGCGCAGACCTGCGCAATTGCGATCAACGTCTTGCTAGTGCGTTGCATGATGGTTAGTCATTTTGTCCGACTTGCTCTGGAGGCTCGCCTACATGAGACGTTGAAATCTCGCAGGACAAAGACGCCCGCAGACTTGAGAGCGAGGCGCGGCGAGGCGGCGCAGTTTCTCTCCACGGGCTGCGGAAGCGAAATGCTTGATGGGAAACGACTCGCTGGTATCTCGAGCTGAGCGCTCATTGGTGGTTTTTACCCCGTGCTGGTGATGAAACTCTCCATTGGCTCGGCAAAAGTTTGTTGTTGTTTTGTGTCAGTTTTACGTCGCCACTTCCATTCACATTTTTCATCATTGTTCCACAATGTGTATCATCATTAAATTAATATCTATATATTTTATACTATACTTGCACTGCTTACCGTTGTCATACTTTATATATATTAGCATATTCATACAACACACTGTTCATACTAGGCTAGGCTACTGTGTATATAGTGTATTCATACCCCTCACTGTTTATTCATCATTCAATTCATTCTATATTTTATTCTGTAGATTGTGTACATTACTTTTCACTTTACTGCTTTATGCACTCCTGGTTAGAAGCTAAACTGCATTTCGTTGTCTCAGTACCTGTAATCTGTGCAATAACAATAAAGTTGAATCTAATCTTGAGCAGGAACAAATGTATTTACTTAGTACATGTCTGACATTAACGATTAAACACATTTGTGCATTCTTTATAAATGCAAACCGAGTCAAGCCGACTCCGGAGGTGGCGGTATGCACCTTAAGGCCCCTACACACCAGGCCGATATCGGCCGTCTTGCGTTATTGGGCGAAAATGGGTTCCTTGTCGCCCAAAGAGAGAAACAAAAGCACTGTACAAAAGATCAGCTTTATTGTCAAAATGTTTACAATGTACAATTTACACGCTGTTCAGATGCCTCATAAGGGCTGTGCGCGTGTCTTGCCCCCCAGCCTCGGCAATGGCTGGCCCATCAAGCTGGGTCGCCGGTAAGGCAGTCCATTCGTCCCTGTACTCATCATCATTACTTTCACAAAGGTTATGTAATATGCAACATGCTGCCACCTGGATTTTGATCTTGTCCATCTTGCAGTCGTTTCTTTTCATCAAGCACCGCCACCTGCCCTTCAGTCTGCCAAAAGCGTTCTCCACCACCACTCGTGCTCGGCTTGTTTTGTTATTGTACGCAAGTTGCTCAGACTGCATTAACTCAGTTACAAAGCTGTATAACATGAGCACAAACAGCACAACTTCAGTCGACTCCATCTCCATCATGTCTGAGGTCGGAAGGTAAACAACAGACGCCTAATGTACAGCGAGTGGGTGGGCGTCGCAGTATACGCGGGAAGTTTTTCTTCTTCTTCTTCTCTTGTTTTTGTAGCGGATTGCAAACAACTTTAAGGTGCATACCGCCACCTACTGTACTCGCCGTGAAGTGGTTTGTGGCCTGCCAGTAAACCCAAAGCAGAAGAAGAAGAAGTGACGTCAGTGGCTCATTTGCGTAATCTTCCCTCAGGGAAAAGTACTCCGGTGTGAACGCGATCTGTACTAACCCCTAGATTCCACCGGGTCCGTCTGCGGCGCGTTACGGACGCGTTACGGCTGCGCCGCGGTGCTCAAGGTGATCGCGGCCACTCTAGTCAATGGGTGCTATTCCACCACACGCGGCGCGTTACGGCTCAGACGCGTCCCAGAAGCGGCTCGGCGCAGGGCTTTTCTAAAATTAGGATCGAATCCTATTTTTGTCGCGGCGCAGCCGTAACGTAAGGTCGGGCAGGCAGGAAGTGGAACGTTCAGAGCTATATAGACCTATATATATACACACACACAAACTAATTTTGCAGACCCTATCCCTCCGTAGTCTTTCAAGTAGGAGGAGAAATGCCAGCGTTCTCCTCCGATTTACAGGCACTGTGTAAATTATATATATAGAATAATTATGATGATGAATGCATTTCTTTACCACTAAAATACAGCAACACATCTTTGATTCATGTCGTTTATAACTGGGATATTACAGTTATTATTAACTTTGTCTGTACAAAGTAGCCTGTCCAGGAAATATGCCCAAATCAACAAAAACTGCGAGCCGGCAGGCAAGACGCTCCGCTTCTGAAATGCTTCTGAAACGCGCCTGGTAGGGTATGACGCCGGAGGAGGCCGGACCAAAACCGCGGCGCAGACGGACCCGGTGGAATCTAGGGGTTACGGGCGCGTTACGGGCGCGTTACGGCTGCACCGCGGTGCTCACGGCGATCGCGGCCACTATAGTCAATGGGTGCTATTCCACCACACGCGGCGCGTTACGGCTCAGAAGCGGCTCGGCGCAGGGCTCCTCTAAAATTAGGATCGAATCCTATTTTTGTCGCGGCGCAGCCGTAACGTAAGGTCGGGCAGGCAGGAAGTGGAACGTTCAGAGCATATATAGCATATATATATAGATATATACACACACACAAACTAATTTTGCAGACCCTATCCCTCCGTAGTCTTTCAAGTAGGAGGAGAAATGCCAGCGTTCTCCTCCGGTTTACAGGCACTGTGTAAATTATATATATAGAATAATTATGATGATGAATGCATTTTTTTACCACTAAAATACAGCAACACATCTTTGATTCATGTCGTTTATAACTGGGATATTACAGTTATTATTAACTTTGTCTGTACAAAGTAGCCTGTCCAGGAAATATGCCCAAATCAACAAAAACTGCGAGCCGGCAGGCAAGACGCTCCGCTTCTGAAATGCTTCTGAAACGCGCCTGGTAGGGTATGACGCCGGAGGAGGCCGGACCAAAACCGCGGCGCAGCCGTAACGCGGCGCAGACGGACCCGGTGGAATCTAGGGGTGTTTCTCAATCGCGAGTAAAGCTGCTTCAGAGCCACTATTTCAAGCATACTACGTCATCGAGTGCCGCCGAAGTACTGTTCCAATCTCCAGCATACTTGGAAATCTACCGAGCCCGGCGTACTCCGTTTGGAGAAATATCGAGGCTGCACATGAGTAGACTCCGCGGTCTTAAAATCCCCACAATGCTTTGCGCACGGACCAATTTCCCCAAATCTGTGGCGGAAGATGTAAGGCGGGGCCTCTCATATGACGCACACCTGCACACTTGCTAGCGTGTTCCACACTTCGTTTTCCGAATGCCAGGAAGTATTCTTGACTCGCTTCTGAAGCAAGATGCTCGGCAGACATGTGCTACCAAGCAAGCGTACTCGCGATTGAGAAACACCCTAGGGGTCTCGTCATACTTTCAGTTGAGCGCGCTACTAAAGAGACGCGCTACCATGGAAACCAAACAATGGTGTAGCTGTATTAAAGTCCGAGTGGAAACAGTATTGACTAAATTTGATTTTGTCAGAAATCGGGAGAAATATGACCCCGGGAGGCAAATCGGGAGTCTCCCGCGAAAATCGGGAGGGTTGGCATTATGCATGTGATGTGTAATGTCCAGGGCCGCCCCTCCCTACAGGCAGATCACGCAGACTGCGTGGGGCCTCACCTCGCGGAGGGAGCCTCATCTGCGGCGCACCTACAGTGTAAACGCGCCACAGTTCCACTAGCTGAAAACGTTACTCACAAGTCAGTCTGATTCAAGTTTGAGTTCCTCCGTCCTGGCCCTGCTGCAGACTGTAGAGGTCAGCTCAGGGTTATTTCTCTCATGCTGCGGTTCCGCCGGCTCGCGACCACACTCTGTCCGAGTCCGACTGTGACCATATGAAGAGAACTTTCGATGTCTGATAAATAACACAATTATCTCACCTAAAGTGACAATTATTTAGCTTATCACAAAAAAAACGTTCATCCCACAGCAGGCCATAAGACCTGAGCTTCCACTATTGCTGTTTTTTGTATGTAGGAACCTGCGATCTAAGTTGTTCATACATTACATAATTACACAGTTTTGTATGTCATGAAAATAAAATACTTTCTACTACTGATTCCTAGCTTTAGTGGATTTGAACTCAACCATCTCGATTTTCGACACGCAGTATTGTGTATATTTGAGTTAAATGCTTGAAAATTAAAGGACAACTCACACACAGATAACCAACTTTACATTTTCTATTGTGATGCACGCTTTCCCTGACAGCGGCACGAATCAAATATTCAGTAAATATGCCAAATAAAAAATAGTTGCACAATTATTTCTTTTTATGAGGTTCAGAGGCACACACACACACACAGGTCCAGTATTTGTCCAAAAATAAACGTCCAACTCAGACAGTGATTATGACCATTTCACACTTTCCCTGGCAGCGGTATAAAGAGGCATTCACACGACAAATATGAACTGGAATTTATTGGTTTATTCACATTTAACTCAGCCACAGATCTATCTATACAAAGATTATTTCACAGCCCTAAAAGAACTTGGTCTGCCAGAAATGTACATCCAATGCTTTAGCTTCTACTCATCGCATAGCTAGCAATTGAAACAGATCTAATAATTGCATACAAAGCTAGAGGCAATGGTTTGTTGTAAATATGACATTAAGCAGATACAGGTGTATGGTGTACAGGTCAAAGGCAACATTAGAAAAGTTCAATTGCATAGTGCTGCTGTTTACTTCTGGGCAACTTCATCAAACTTGGGCTCTGGAAAATACAAAGTTGACATATTAACTCAAGTACAAGCACTCACAATTTTCACATGGTTTTATATCACAAATATTCAGATTTAACATTTTTCTGAATCCTGATCAAAGCCTTCCCAGTCTAGCCATTACATTTTAACATATCTTGTCGGCCTGATGGTGTGACATGTCTGGCTTCCATCAAACAGTCTAAGAATGGACCTCTGCAGACCATGAAAATACACAATAACTTGCTGTAGCTTTGAGCCGTTCAGACTAAATGTACACCAATCGTGTATGTTTATTGCATGTCACACTGCGAGATGGGTAAAATAAAATAATGGTTGCAATCCATGTCAGACTGTACAGTATCAATATTAAAGCATGCCATGACTGGGAGGTGAATCAAAACAAGTGTCTGACAGTGTATGAGACCATCTGCATTGCTCTTATGTGTTGAGGATGAAGCAAACTAATAAACAGACTGTGAAAATAAGGCATGACAAACTTGCAACAATTTTAGGTATGGATCAATGAAATGTATTTTGTTGTTACCCTTCAGTTTTACAACCCTTGATAATGAGGAAACTAACAATGCAGAACACCAGAGTACCGCAGTGCATAGCTCATACAACTACACGTTTTAATGCTTGACCAAGAGTTAGTAAAGTGGACTCACCTGTGAATTTGAACTCTGGAAAAGATGTAAGGTCCCCACCACCATAGAGTCTCTCAAGCTTTGATACCTCATCTGCCCAGGCCTTTTCATAATCTGATCCTGCATCCACTAACCCCTCCGTTGCCCTGAAGAAGGAAAAAGATCAGTTATCAGCAAAGATTAGTTTCTCCCTCATTGAATGCATCTTATGTGAAAGAAAACAGTCTCACTTAAATCCCCAGTGCAAAATCAGCACCAAGTTTAATGAAAGGCAAATGCACAATGGTGCCTCATTTCTTCTTAGTTACGTAGTTGTTGACATGTTCACAAGTTTGAATAGTTGTTTACAAGTTTTAGTCAAGGGGAAACTTGCAGATTTGAAAGATCTATGTATTCAGCAGAAAGCAACGGCTGAGTGCCTAGGTGGAGGGGGAGACTTACTGGCTTTTTGAAGAATATTCGCGTATGGAGTCCAGGAAGAGCTTCTGAATTGGGTCCATTTGAGCTGAGTAACAAAAAAAAGGATGAAAACAAACAAAATGGAATGAATTTCAGCTCGGAAAAATACTCGTAAACCAGGATCATCCATCTGGTTAGGTCCATTTTGCTAGAACAAATAAACAACAAATCCGATTCAACCGTAACCCGCATGCACATAAGAGCACCAATATGGTAGACAGTACATGTAGACAGCTACAGGGGTCAGATAGGAAAGGACTTATAAAAAAGGTCAGTTGACAGGTTAAAGGTTGCTGTGATAGTCATGCTAGTTAACACATTTACAGAACTGCAGTAAGGTATAGGTTGCCAGCCGTCTATACTACACAAAACAAGTCCAAATAGACAAATATAAATCTTCCATTTTGACTCCACACCGCAACCAGTGTGCATTCTCACCAAGTGCTTTTACCATGAAAGAAAGTTTACACGTACACATTATCTATTAACAAGTAAACCCAACATGTAGGGATTGATAAGGTATTACTTTTACCATTTCAAATAAGTGGGAGAAGAGTAAGGGATGAAAGGAGGTTGAGGAAAAAAGGGTTAGGGTTAGAAAAACAAAACAACTTTCTCCTTCACCAGTGGAAACAGTACAGTTAGCATTATCTGTAGTCTTTAATAATGCATAGTCATGAAGACAGTTCCATCAAACTACAGGCATTGCTGAGAATCATTGTTATCATGTTGGAACATCTTGGTAAACCTCTGCAATTCTGAATAGAAAAAAAAGGAAAAGAGTATGTAAGAGTAAATGAGTGCGGCAGGCAGACGTTAGTGTACGAAAAACAAAAACTTGATGGCATTCAGAAATAATGGCAAAAAGCTCAATGAAAAAGGGTGTGCAGCTAAGACATGCATCATTATTCAAGATGGCTGAAGCAGTGCAAACACACAAGACAATGAGTTGAACTACAGCTACATGGAAGATGACCCAGAAGTCAAATGGGACATGAGAAACAGGAAGGTAGTGTTTAAGGAATATGGGCTGAAAATCGATCAAGTAATACTAAGGACTATATGGAACAACCTGTGCACGGCTAGAACAAAAGAAGTGAGTTTGTGATGTCCCGTATCTTTATAGCTTATCCTTACGCTCATCACAAACGACTATTGTATAGTCCTAGAAATGGTGATGAAACTGACAGCCGGTAGACTGCAGGGTCCACAGAGGAAAAGAGAAGGATTTTGTGAGAGGGGGAGGTTGTAATGTGTACCCTTAAACGGTTCAACTGGTTCAGCTGGGGCCTCCACCCGCAGCTCCTCTCCTGCAGCTTCAGCTACGACTGGAGCCGGGTCCACCAGCTCCTCTGTTCCCTCCACAGGGCCAGAACCTTCAGCTTCTACAGGGGCAGCTTCAGCCACAGGCTCTGGAGCAGCTTCTACAGGCGCAGCTTCAGCCACAGGCTCTGGAGCAGCTTCTACTGTGGCAGTTTCAGCCACAGGCTCTGGAGCAGCTTCTACTGTGGCAGTTTCAGCTTCTACAGGCGCAGCTTCAGCCGCTGGCACAGCCTCTACAATTACTTCTGAGACAGCCTCCACCATGGGCGCAGCTTCGACCACAGGACTTGCTTCAGCGACAGCATCGACCACAGCTTCAACCACGGGCACCGCTTCGGCGACAGCTTCGACCACAGCTTCAACCACGGGCACCGCTTCGGCGACAGCTTCGACCACGGGCACCGCTTCGGCGACAGCTTCAACCACGGGCACCGCTTCGGCGACAGCTTCGACCACGGGCACCGCTTCGGCGACAGCTTCGACCACGGCTTCAACCACGGGCGCCGCTTCGGCAACAGCTTCGACCACGGGCACCGCTTCGGCGACAGCTTCAACCACGGGCACCGCTTCGGCGACAGCTTCAACCACGGGCACCGCTTCGGCGACAGCTTCAACCACGGGCACCGCTTCGGCGACAGCTTCAACCACGGGCGCCGCTTCGGCGACAGCTTCAACCACGGGCACCGCTTCGGCGACAGCTTCAACCACGGGCGCCGCTTCGGCGACAGCCTCGACTACCGGCGCAGCTTCTACCACGGGCGCCGCAGCTTCTACCACGGGCGCCGCAGCTTCTACCACGGGCGCCGCAGCTTCTACCACCGGGGTGGTTGCCACAGCCTCAAGTGCGGCAGCAGCGGGGGGGGGATCTGCAGCTGCTTTAGCAACAGCTTCTGCTGCTGCAACAGCTGCTGCTGGAGAAACTTCTTTCTTGGGAAGGTCATATGACTTGTGCTGGACAAGTTTCTCTAAATCGAAGAATGTTTTAGCCTGGTCTTTGTCTAGGACAAAGGAGGAGGGCAAGCACAAGATGCATTATTATTATTATTTTCTTTTTTACATGTGTATAGAGTTAATTGAAAAGAGGACCACCATTAACGCACATTTATCAAAATACAATCACTATACTGGAAAGTTGAACATCAAGGTTGCTTATGACTTAGCCAAAGTAATAAAGCAAAGGAAAATAACAGCTTCAGGAAAAACTCTTGACATTAAAAGAACAAATATAACCTTGATCATAATAACTTTATAAAAAAAAGATACATTGAGTATATTACATTTCAAAAAAGAACGTTATAGCGTTAGTTAGTAGGTGAAGGAATTGTCAAACCCTGTGAAAGGGAATCCAGCGGTAAATCAATGAACTGTGGTGAAAGCATAGCGGATTGATTCAAAAAGGTAAATGTGTGTAAATTGCTCGGTGACAGTTAAAGGGTGAATGCAACCTCGATATCCTCTGATGTGGAAACGGGGCCCAAACAGTGGTCAAAATGAGATCTTGATGTGGCTTCATATCTTCAGACATGGAGACTGAAGTTTAGGCTGTAGAGCGCAGAAGAGCCATGGCTTTTGTTCACTTTTTGTTTTTGAGTATAGCTTCACTGTTAGCCGGATTGTTTGACCAAATCTGCATATTGCATGGTTATTGTCAACTCCCTGGCACCATTTCAATTAAATAAATATTTTTAACAAGACAAAGGTCTAAAGTAGATTTACTTATTCATCAAAATGAATTGTAACAGAGCAGTTTTTTTCATCAGAAATCAATGCTTTCCACCTCGCAAACTGAGCATTTTCAAACCAAACCGCCATATTTTGTAAATTTCTATAACTATGTATCCTGTAAATATAATGTATGATGTCCTTTATTGTTTTATGTTTCATGTGGAATCTATATGCTGCAGGTCTCCCTTGAAAAAGAGATCTATGATCTCAATGGGACCATCTGGTTAAATAAAGGTTTGATATATGCTAAATCCTGCAAGTTCATGTTCACGTTTGCTCAAGTATATGGTCGTAGTAGAAACAGGTAAATATGCTTTGTATTTACACTACTGATCTCCTAACCTGAAGCCATGACATGAGCCATGTGGGCTGGAATCCCACTCCTGACCTTACCTCAGTCTCCCCAGCAGTGCCACAAACTAAATAATGTCAAACACAAAAGCTAAAACCCTTCTTTTTTTTTTTTGTTACACTGGACTCTGTTCTTATCCGTTTTGGTTACAGAGTAGTATTCACAGCCTCCACTTTTTACTTAATGATGAGATGGAGTATATCTGGGTCTGACCTCTAAAACTGTTGCGTAATGTGGTCAGAGGGCAGTGGAAGATATCTCTACACCTCTGTCACGATAACCTGTTACTTTTAACAAAATACTCTATTTTGAGTCTGTCAGGGCTCACTAAAGCACATCATTTAGTCAAACAGTTATCTATGTACTCTGTGCCATTACTGAGAAGAAAACACCAAATGCCTCAATCAGGATCAAAGGTTTCAACCTACAAGAGCTGCTTAAGGCTCGGCCACATGTTGTGACAGTGTCAGTGTCTATCTGAATCCTACCTGAGTTTTTCTTTTTTGTCGACTTCTTGGAACCCCCGGATTTTGTGCTAAAGGCTGCAGCTGCAGGCGCTCTCCTCAGAGTACTCCAGCTCTCAGCCTGCAAACACTGACACACACACACACTATATTAAGCCAGCTCCAGCTTTGTGAAAACATACATGTAGTCTGCAACACTAATACAGTTGTTGATTAATATGGACCTGGATCCCACACTCACTTTCACAGAACTTCTTACCACTCAGCATAGGACTATCAAAACTGTAGTTAGCACACCAGCTAAATCAGAAGCTGCGTGTGTTTATAATGCAGCTGTGCGATTAGTCAAACAAGAATACTTGTCAAAACAAGTAAAGGATCAGCTAAATTGAAACTAAATTAGCACTAAACTTACTTTCAATTTATTTTCATAATATGATGGAAATGTACTAAATAATATCAGCTTAACCCTTACCTTAGTCTTTCTAGTGACAAGGTAAACGCAGATTTGGCCATTTTTAATCTACTTGCACCATTCCACATTAGTTTGGCACATCCAGCCAAGACCTTGCATTGTGAAACAACTTACATTTGAACAAAATCTGTTTTGAAGTCTATGAAACCTGAGAGTCCAGGAAGGCTTCTAATTTCCCCTCCTCGGTCCTCCGGTAGTGACCCGGAAATGAATTTCAGCGCGCCATGTTGAAGGACATCTAATTTCTCTAAATGCACATCGAGGACCGAGCATCGATATATCCAGTCTCTGATAGTGTTACGTTATTATGAGAGTGCTCTCATACTTGTTTGATTCTGAAATTGTATATATTTATATAAATATATGTGTGTATATATATGTCCGCATCTGTAGCCTGTTATTGTCTCATTATACCGCACTGTGAATGAATCAAAGTAAATATATAAGTGGTCATGAACACATCTGTCCATCAGACAGAGGGCTGCTGTGCCTCCTGTCATCATTAATGGACGTCTCTTTAAAATGACCGCTCAGAGGAGAGGAGTTCTCATTTCTCTAAACGCCTGCTGCTTCCACTCCTCTCTCCTCGGCTCGCATCTCCTGTGGGCGGGACTAAGACACGAGGATAGGAGTCGAGGAGGGGAAATTAGAGAATTGAGAAGCCTTCCAGGTCTGCAGCAGGTTGCACTAACACCTCAGATATGATGCCCTCTAGTGGAAATAAAGGTGATGTCTGCAGGACACCTCAGCTGGGTTGAAGACACAATGAAACACAAACCATTCTTACACCTTAAACAGCTGCTAAGCTTACGACAGAGTGTCTCTGTTGGAACTCTGTTCTAATACTGCAATCCATTCAAGTGGATTAATATCTTATATAGTGGATTGTGCACTTGACAATTAAATGTGTTCCAACTTTAAGATTCCCATGTGTTCTCACATCATGAAATTATGAAAATCTTAGTCTCTCTTTGGGAGACCACTTGGGTGATTGGAGGTTACATAAAAACATGCAAGAAATGACAGAGTACCTGCTGAGAAACAGCCAAGCTCTGTGCACGTGTTTCTAGTGTTGAGTAGTTACCGAGACGGATCCATAATCATTACATTTCTTAAGTACCACATTCATTCCAACTCAAATATTAACTACTAAGTTAAACCATAACATACCTTTTCCTTTCCAGGGTTGTAATCTTGTTATCACTGAAGCAAATGGTAAGGTTGGAGTGACTATTACATTTTGTTTTAGGAAATAGACTTCTCATTTCAAACTGCCCCACAACAAATTAACTTTCTTGTGCATTATCAGGGTATATGCAGAAATCCTGAAGTGAAATGTAATTTTTTAAGACCCTTTCCATACATTTTAAAGCTCCCATGTCATGCTTTTCCGGTTATTACCCGTCCCCTTGTGTGTTATGAAGGTTTTTATGCATGTAAACGGTGTGCAGAGTCAAAACCCTCAAAGTACACCCTGTAGCGAGTAAAACTCTAACACAGAAAATACCTCCCCAAAACGCCTCGTTGGAGATACGTCACTGCCCATTTGAGTCTTCCATTTAGTTCCGGGTACCGCCTGATGTCATGCGGTACCCGGAACGAAATGGACCAATCCCGAAGAGCTGTGGCCACACCAGCAGCGTCGTGTTCCTCCTCCAGAGGTTCGAAGAACCGGCATTTCACAGACGAAAGCTTCCAAAACATTGCCCAGTTTGAGGCCGGATATGCACAGCTTGTTTGGACCGTTTGGAGCAGGGGAAGATCTGGGTACACAACCTGTAAGTTTGCATTGTTATTTGTGTATTTATCAAACAAGACTGTTTAAATGTGTAAACTGTGTTGGACTGCTAAGCCATTGACACAGTGCTAACTAAGTTGCTAGAGTTTCCATATATCAACTCTAATATCAGCAGATGGCCTTGCATACATGTATCTCATAGCAGGAGAATGTCTGCATTCACACACAAAATACCTATTGACAGTATACTCCGGGTGATTTGCCGGTCAGTCGCGAAACGTAATTACATTATAGCTGGCGTAGCGATCTAACACACGGAGCTAGAGCTAGTTTCGGTCAGAAAAACATTTTTGTGATGCTACGTTGCTAGCGTTTAAATATATCAACTACAATGTCAGCAGATGGCCTTACATGTTTGTCATGGCAGGAGAATGTCTGCAGTCACACACACGGAATACTCATACAGTATACTGTACTGTGATTTACCGTACATTGTGACCGTACATATACTGCATGTAGCTAACGAGGCTAGCTGTATGCTAGCGCAAAACAATGTATTCATGCAAGTTACATTGTATGACCGAACGTAGCAGAATACCCGTATACGATTGCAATTATAAACACGTTATTGCTAGCCTAATATGAACCACTAGCTTTTGTTCATAGTAGTTTTATTACACTGCATTATAGTTGCCTTTCCTCCAAGCTAACGTTCATATCGTGTTAGCTACCAAGGTAAACAAAGCTAGGTTAGCATATTAGCAGGCAAGCTGTTCATTACACAACTACTACTAACGAATCTAAAACAACTAAGTTTCTCTAATATTTTGTGATTTGCATTTGATTTCGTCCAGCCAGATCCTGGCGGACAATCCATGACGGGGAAGGGATTCTACTACTACTGAGGGTGCTAAAAGGCACCGCACCGACTGTGCGCAGGCAAGATGCGAGGAGGAGGAATGGATGATATACCGTGTATATATGTATATTTATGTTCATTTTGTACATTTCTAAAAATAAAGTTTAATGGAAATACTTAGTAGGCCTATCCTTTCTTCCCTGAATTCATATATAGCAAACCATGATTTGATTTCTCATCAAACAGTAGTAGTTTATAACGGGTAAAAATAACTTACTCTTTGTTATGAGAGTAGCTCGTAGGCCACAACGGAAAGGCAAGGAGACATACACGAGTTTACAAAACCACGGCACATTTATTGTAGTAAATGCAGAGACAGGTGGTCGAGGGGAGAGGGTCGCTCAGTTCGTCCTTCTGCAGCCGCTTTGGAGAGAGACTCCGGGCCGCTGGGATTAATAGCACCGGCTACGGAGGTGTCCGTGATCGCGCTGATTACCCTCTTCAGCTCCACCCCACCGTAAGACAAAGGCCCTGGGGCCGTCACACTCTTCTATAACAACAGTTAAAAATATATATGTATATAAAATATACCGCTGTACCGACGCCATGATAAGACTGATGTTACGCTGAGAGCAGCCGGGAAAAGCACTGACATGGGCGCAGCCTCTCTGGTGGTTGACTAATCAGAACGAGTGGCCGAGCTGACCAATCGGAGCACACTAGGCTCACAGGGAGGGGGGGGCAAGAGCTCCAACGAGTCGTTTAGTGGAGAAAGTGAATACTGCTGAATACACATGCTTGACAGAGATGCTGTATGCGAAACCAATGTGAGTTTGGAAAATTGCACAGTATAAATCTATTTTAGTATACCTCAACAATGTAATTATGATCAGTGGAAATGGCCATGACATGGGCCCTTTAAGACCTCATCGCCGCTTCGAGTTTTAACCGACATTTGCGACACACTTTACCTCACATTTACTATACAGTATTGATTGTCCTTCCTCCTTATCTTCCAACCATTTGGACGCAGACTTGCATTTCCCCATAACGATGTTGTTTAACAACCGGCGTAAACGGACCTTTGCGCGCTATCAGTCAGTGAGCGTGCGATGTTCAGATGACGTCAAATCCAACGGGATGCCATAAATAAACTACACAGAATCACACTACACACCTACGCATTACGCAATGATTACAATCAGGCACACTTTAGAATACAACCTCTTTGGAACATTTATTTATTATTATTATTATTATTATTATTATTATTATTATTATTTATATTTACATATTGAAAACAAGCTACAAAATGTAATACCTTGGAAAATGCCGTTTAATACTTTTTAATAGCCTTAATTTTCGCTAAATTGATTGATCAACTTTGAATACATTTTAAGACCCCGCGGACACCCTGATTATGTTTAATTTCTAATCAAATTCCTATCGTTTGAAGTATATTTAGAATGTGGCTGTACCACTATTATGCAAAGACAATTTCAGTGCAATACCTGACCCTGTAGTGGTGAATGATCACTAATATTGGAAAAAAATGCACAACCTAGCTAGCTTATTGTGAAAATTAGCCAAAACTCTAATGGCAACGTTCATCAGAAAGTCAAATTCCTGAGAGTTCAGAAGTGGAGCTTCAGCTGCTGTGAGCCCGTGAGACAGACAGGACAACTCGCTGTCTGCCAGAACGGGCTAGAGTTTCAAGTGTATTAATTCACAAATGCAACAATTTCAAAAGTGTTAATTGAACAAAAACCTACTGATTTTAGGCACGAAACTGTTCATTAATAGTTTCAGGAACATCATCGTTTTGGTTAGTTAGCTGCAGCAACAAACAGGAAACAGACACAAAAACAACTGGAAAATACATTAATGCATTTATTGTTCACGCCAGAAATGATATAGGCCTACGTTACCTTGACACAGCCTAAACGTCCTATCCTCAGCAAGGAAGCCGCCATCTTTCCTCTCAGCCTGCCTGTGCTGGGAGATTCATAAATACACGATAAACGAAGACAATAGTGAATACTTCACCATATTTACAATGGCAGCTTTAATTAATTACATTACGTAACGTCGTGCATGACAACAGAGCCGCAATAAAAAGCATCTGAGGCACACTGTACAACTTTATCTGACTGAGATTAAAAAAAAGCTACCTGTGGTGCAAGAAACATTAAGTGTTATCACATAGACGTGGATATTGATAGTTACCTTTTGATAAAATGAAGGCTGTTCTACGGTTCTCCTGAGCTTGACGGTCAAGACACGGCTCCCAACAGCATGCACAGGGCTCAGTCCTTTATCCTGCTCTTTATGTAACACATGAATGTGACTGTCAACGCCCCCTTCCCATGCTGTCTGTACACACGTGTCGTTTGATTTTAAAGTCGCTAATAATGTTATAGGTGTTTCATATTCAGTTTTCATATGTTATAGTCTGTGAATATGTGGACGCTGCACTGTAATAAGCAGGGTCTTCTCACTCACTAGCATGGCCACTCACTAGCATGGCCAACATTCCCAAATTGGATAAATTCAAGATGCTGAGCTTCACTAATGGTAGCTTCAGTAACGCTGCTTAGCCAACTAAAATGCGTTTATTTCATATAGGAAGTTAAATGTGTTTATTTTGTTTATTAACTCTATCTTTGTCCCACAGCAGCTCTCTTGTGTACATTCTGTACTTTTTGAAGGGGGCGTGTGTTGTGCTTGCATGGCTGCTGACGTAATTAGCAAGCGACAAATTACGGCTGTCGAGTGGGCTAGCGTCACATCATCCATCGCTAGTGTTACCGTCGCCTGACACACACTAAGCAGCCATGCCTGCTGTCGGTTTCTGTGGACAGTGGTTTATTTTCACCTGCGACAAGAAACTTGTAGCAATTCACACCAAACAAGCCAGGTTTGAACTTCGTTTCTTCCGTCATGTATTTCACATGTCATACCTTTGTGTCACACGGCGGACAACTACCAGCTAGCACTGTTAGCTAGCTTGCAGTCTTTGGAAAGAAAGCATGGAGGATCATTTCAAGTTTTATTATTATTTAAATATATACAATTGCAAATACACTTGGAAACGTGAAGATGTTGTGGCACATTTTTGACATATTTTGTTTTGGCCTTCAGCAACAGATGATATGATTTATAATGTTTATAGTGATATATTTGTAGGGAGTTGCACGGGGTAAAAAGAGTCATTCTAAAATGAACCTTCTGCAAAAGTGCTGAGAGTAGATTTATAGTATAAGTCCAGATGAGATAATAATGAATGTGTTTACAGCTGGCTACTAGATGAATGGTTAAAAATACATAAAAAGTCAGTGGCACAGGAGATGTTAAGAATATAACAACATTCGTTCATCTGTTACTCTATTGCAGAGAATCCTTTGTGTTTGACTGCAGCACCGCTGAGAAGAAGCCCAACAATACAAAGGATGTCAGTAACGGGTAAGCACAATGTTCTAGTTGTTGTTTTATTAATAATATCATTATTGGCATTTTCTTATATTGAAACAAAAATCAAACATGTTCTTCACACTTAGGCCTACATACACACGCCTCAAACTTGCACTAGTATTAAATGGCATACATAAAATCAAGTTTGGTCCATTTTTTTGTCTGTTTGAAGTCCTTTGGATATATTTAAATTACACAAAAGCCATTTCTCAATTCAAATGTTCCCCTCCTCGACTCCTCTCCTCCTATCCTCGTGTCTTAGTCCTGCCCACAGGAGATGCGAGCGGAGGAGTCGAGGAGGGGAACCGAGGAGAGAGGAGGGGAAGCAGCAGGCGTGTAGAATATATATCATACACTGTATATATAAATGGACGTAGTGTCCGTGACATCACCCATAGGGTTCTGCAGAGTTGCTGAGAAGCCCTTAGATATAATTATTTATATATATATCTGAAAGTTTCACAGATTTTATTAGAAAATATACATTATAACAGCTGTTACTTGTCTCCTCTGTTCTCAGTGATGGCGGTGCCTCAGAGGAAACAGGAAGTGACAAAGTCCTGGCCTTTGCTGTTTCTCCTTCCGGAAAGCTGGTGGCGCTGACTGATGATTCCAAGAGACTGGTCCTGTTTTACTGTGAGCCTTCATGGCAGTGTATCAGCATCAGGTACCACTTCAGTCCAAGCAGCTTCATATACTGTATAGAGGACCATGCGAGGTGTGTTAATAGTAGCTGTGTGTTTGTTACACAGGTGGGTGGTGAGGAGGTGCACCTCCCTGATGTTCAGCCAGGCAGAGGACCAGCTCCTGGCCACCGACAAATCAGGAGATGTGTACTCCTTCTCAGTGGGGGAGCCGCAGAGAGAGGGCGAGCTCAAGATGGGCCACCTGTCCATGTTGCTAGCCATGGTAAGGAGCACTCGCATTGGGCTAAGACTAGCCTGCAGAACCTGAACAAATATGTTAAACCATGTCTAAAGTATTCATTCATAAAGTATTATGAGAAAGAGGTTGACAGACCTGTGCACTTCTGTCCACTCCCTGATGCATTAAGATATCCAACATTACACGGTAATTGAATCACAGAACGTGTAGTTGGGCCACTCATTTAATTTCTAATTATTATTACTCATGCAGTTTTTAAAAATATTTATTTAGTTGGAATCAAAAAAATAAAAGAGGGAAATAATTACAATAGCTTGATCTTACATTTTTTTTGAGCATAGGTTACATCACAGAGATTTTCGAAGGCTGAACTAGACTTTGACTCTCTCCGACATGTCCAACTTTACCTTTGCTTTTCTAGCCTCTAGCCTGAAGTGAATGCATCTGTCTGCATTCACTTCAGATGTGAGAACTTCTATTGTCACAAAAATGTAAGACTTCTAATAAGATTCCTTTTTTTATATAAGTTTTTAACACATTACAAAAAAAACACAACATACAGGTCACCAGAGGCAAAACCGCACATCAATATGTCCTCAGCAATTAGTCCTGTGCACCGTCCCTCAAAACGGGTTCACAACAAATCTGTGTCGATTCCAGTCCAGTATTCATTCTCAGAAGAGGCTTGTAGATACATGTACGAAACATGAGCAAGTAAATCTCATATAGGAAATCGGAAAGAAGTAACAGATTCATTGTACCAGAACATTCTCCATGGATTTTACAACAACCCTCTTGATGTGTAAAACCCATTTGGACCAGTAATTGTCAAATGTATCACTACAGAGTCTTAAAGAAAAAGTTCGTTTCTCCATATGAAACAAGTCATTTACAATGTTTCTCCATTCTCCCTTAGTTGGAGGTTCTTTCACAGTTATTTTAAGAAATTGCTTTTTCGTTAGCTATCAGCAATGTTTTAAGAAGATACTTGTCCCGAACATTTAATTCAACTGGTATTAATAATATAATTTATTTAGGTTATTATCGATAGCCAATAATATTGGATTACTTGACTCTTCCAGAATATGTGGAAGTGATCAGCCATAATATTACTACAATGCCTCCAGCAATGTCCCTGTCACTACCTGATCTGTACCGGAAACCCGATCGGTTCTGTGCATGTGCGCAAATATTGATTTACTGCATTGTTGAGAAGGTGCCAAAGTTTTTTTAAATGCTTTTGAACAACTGTTTCAACAACAACATCCAAAATATAATATCGAACTGAGGGCATTATAGAGAAAGAAAAAATAATAATTTAAAAATAATATATAACATTTATTTGTTTAGGAAAGCTTTTGAGATCACTTTATCTTGATAACACATCTTTAGCTATACATTGATAAAATATGTTAAGTGTGAATTTTAGAACACTGACAAAATCCAGTGGTCCACTTACTTTTAATTTTTTTAATTATCTTAACTTCAAATAAGTGCAGTGGTAAAGTAACTGAGTATATGTAATCAAGTAATGTATCCAAGTACTTTTTTGATATATTTGTACTTGATTTTTTTCATTTTATTGCTTCTCTATACTTTCATTCAACTTCATTTTCTAGGCAAATATTTTACTTTTTACTTTAAAGGGGACCTTTCATGCAAAATGCACTTTTTGATATACATTAATAGGTGTGTCAGGAGACTCCCAAAGTGTCAGTAAACAAAACCCTCTCTCTTTTCCTCCGTACCCAAATCTCTAAGAACGGGGGTACAACGAAGCTGATCCAGATTTGCTGCCGATATGACGTCATATCGGAAACTATCTGAAACGTCGCTATCAGATTCAATACCCGATGTGTTTTGGACGTAATATGGTCTTTGTTTATATTAGCAAGCATCGCTAACCCTCAGAGCTAACCTGTACTGGAGAGAATGGGTGTTTCTCAATGTCGAGTAAAGCTGCTTCAGAGCCACTATTTCAAGCATACTACGTCATCGAGTGCCGCCAAAGGACTGTTCTAATCTCCAGCATACTTGGAAATCTACCGAGCCCGGCGTACTTCGTAGCGAGAAATTTCGAGGCTGCACATGTGTAGACTCTGCGGTCTTAAAATCCCCACAATGCTTTGCGCACAGACCAATTTCCCCAAATCTGTGGCGGAAGATGTAAGGCGGGGCCTCTCATATGACGCACACTTGCTAGCCTGTTCCACTCTTCGTTTTCCGAATGCCAGGAAGTATTCTTGACTCGCTTCTGAAGCAAGTGACTCGGAAGACATGTGCTACCAAGCAAGCGTACTCGACATTGAGAAACACCCAATATGTGTAAAGAAGCAGGAAATAAAAAAAGGAACTCGCCTTGTGGTAATCCTGCAAGAGAGAAAAAGCATTTGAGCTCCATACTGTTTCAGAAATAATCCTTGATGTGGTTTGGAGCATGATATGGCGTTTAATCACAACAACATTTAGCTTTATCTCCGGTAGAATTCTGAGCAGGCACAAGCTCCCCCTCCTCTTTTTTTTTTTTTTCAAGCTAAGGACCCCGAACCTTCAGTTCTCTAACGGGGCTTGAATAGAGGGATATGAGGGATGTCTAAAATGCATGATCTGTTTGGTATTTTGAGCAAAACACATCATAGACATGTTTTTTATATATCTGTGACCCATAATATATGCCTAAAAATAGCATAATAGGAGACCTTTAACATTCAAAGTTACGAGTTACTTTGCACATTTTAAAAGACCTGATATGGTATATTGCAGTACTGTACGAGTCATCTAAACAGTATTTGTAGTATCAACATTTGGTCCACGTTGACAAACTACAATACTTAAATGCTCCTACATTTATAAAAACAGGATAATACATTTACCATTTTTTAAAAAACTTTATTTATCCAGGTGTATCCCATTGAGATCATTGATCTCTTTTTCAAGGGAGACCTGCTCAAGTAGGTTCCACGTGAAACATAAAAACATAAACAGAACAACAAAAAGGACATCGTACAGCATCATATAAAACCATAAATATTTCTGTGAAAATGTCCATTCTGCATACTTGAGTACTTCCACTAAGTAAAAGGATCTGATTCATTCTTGCAACGCTGAATAAATATAGTATACCTTGATATATATTTCATTGTTCATAGCAGAGGTTGCGTTAGACTTTTTCGTTGCCCGTCATTTTGACAGACAGGATCATAACATTTCCGTCATAATCCATTATTACCCGTCGGGTCTGTGACAACGAGCTGACGGGGGGTGTTGAGCACCCTCGGGAACTATTAGCGCCGGTGTTATGCCGTGTGATGCATGCACCTCGCGGGAGCGCGCACAGCGTAAAGCCAAAACTCGCAGACTTGTACGATCTACTATGATTTGTACGGCAAAGTACGGTTTGGAACCGATATCATTTCCTTTTTGACGGGCATGCATTTCATTTCATTTAATCATTTATTTGAAGAGGGACAGTGCATATTGATGAACATTTAAGACAGATAATGCTTTAAAATGTAAACATGCCGGATTTTAGCTTTGAGCTAATTTCCATCCGTAGTCCCTCACATATGACATTTATAAACATAGCAAAAATAAATACATGATATGCAGAAAGAGCATGAGCAGCATATACAAGTATTACCACATGGCAGTACAATGTAGCAGCTACGACATATAAAGTGCAAGAGGAGATACAAGAGCTACATAAAGTGCAAGAGGAGATAAAAGAGATGCATAAAGTGCAAGAGGAGATACCCCTGTATTAAAGTGCATTTAGCGGTGATTGCACGTCTGTTTGTTTCTCAACCATTCTTTGAGTTGACCTTTGAAACTATTGAGAGTGGGACAATCCTGTATCTCAGTTGGGAGGCTGTTCCACAAAGAGCTGCCTTTAATGGAAAGTACATTTTGTCCAAAAGTGGTCCGTCTGTGATGGACTTCACAGTCTCCTCTGGTTTCTGACCTAGTGCAGCGTCCAGTGTGTTTTCTGTGGATGAATTCCCCTAAGGGGGGGGGGGGGGGGCAGGGGCAGTCCATGTAAACATTTATTAAAAAAACACATACTTTTAAAAGACTTAAAATGGTCAAAACTCAAGAAATGGTGTTTCTCAAGGATGGTACAGTGGTGGTATGAATGTGGCTTTCTGTCAAACACCTTGATAGCTCTCTTGTACAGCTGTTCTATTGGTTTCAGGTTTGTGGCACAAGCAAACGACCAGTTTGTAAAACAGTATTCAATGTGGGATAGCATCATACAGTGGAGGTATGACTTTGCAGCATTGACAGTTAAGAATGGTCTAATTTGTTTAAAATGTTGCAAGTTGAATTGAATGGTATTTGATACTTTCTTAATATGTTTCTTAAAAGTTAAGTTCGAGTCCAGTATGCTCCAAGATACTTGAAGTGGGAGACTAGTTCTATTTCTGCTCCGTTTAAAAACACATTGGATCCTTCGATTTTGACTGGTCGTTTACTGAACATCATGCATACTGTTTTTTTTGCATTTAACTGTAAGCAAATGTTGTTCAGCCAGTGCTGAACCTTGTCCAAAGCATTTGAGAGACAAGATGAGATCATTTCAGTATTTTTCCCATGTACAAAGATGACCGCATCATCGGCATACATTTGCACATTCAACTCAGGACATATATTAGGCAAGTCATTCATGTACAGAGAAAACAGTAATGGTCCAAGAATGGAACCTTGTGGAACCCCAACAGGGTTGACAAGGTAGGAGGATTTGGTACCGTTGACCAAAACACACTGTTTTCTGTTCGATAAGTAAGATTTAACTCACTGAATCTGCCGAAAAGTTGAAATAAGTCAGCTTTGTAAGGAGCACTTGGTGGTCAGGGCATGTGTCCAACATACATTTAACCTTTTCCACAAAGACACAGTTAGCTGTCTCAGTGGAGTGGTGAGCACGAAAACCAAACTGCATTGGGTGGAGTGGAGCGAAACCTTTATCTAAATGTTTGGTGATTAGTTTTGACACCCATTTCTCAGCTATCTTAGAGACACAGGGGAGGATGCTGATTGGTCTATAATTGGACATTATTGCCTTGTCCCCAGATTTAAAGATCGGTGTCACCGTGGCCACCTTCCAGGATGATGGAACTGGCATAACACCGTAAAAGAAATGTGGCGCTGTTCTGAGTTTGTTCTAATCTGTCAAAATGACGGACTGCTTTCAGATTTTTCTGTCATTGATAAAAAAAATCCGTCATAGACGGAAAATATTCGGTTAACGCGACCTCTGGTTCATAGTTAAATTACTTTAACAATTACTTTATTTAAGCTATGCAAGCATTTAACCAGCTTTTCTTTGATAATAAATGACAAAATTAGCTCCATATTTTAGACATTCTTTATCAAAAAGAATGTATTGAGGACCAATTGAAGTCTTCTATTTTATAACTCATCAAACCAAAGATAACATTATTTTATTTAAATCCCAGAAAAGTGCCGTAAATTGCTTCAACATACTTCAGTAAGCATCATGGGCAGTAGTGCTGTATTGGCACATGCGTAGAACCGATCGGGTTTCCGGTACGGATCAAGATTAACCTTCTAGCTATTATAATGATAATATTATTATTATGATTTTTATCTGCTGGAACTACCTTGATATCTTTTGAGAGACTGCAGCAACCCTGGCTCACTCTAAAGAAACAGATTTATTCCATCTGTCCCCTCGGGTCCTGTCTTCTCACTGTCAGAATAGTGAAAACATGAAACACAAGCTGTCAGTTACTTTATTTATTCTGTCCCTTGCTGCACTCATGACACACTGATCAACTTATAAATACACTATTGTCATGAATTAGTGTCTTCCGAGGCTGAGTGTCCTTCTGGCTTTCAGAGCATGTCGCCGGACGACAAGTTCATCATCACAGCCGACCGCGACGAGAAGATCAGAGTGAGCCACCTGAGGTCTCCGTACAACATCCAGTCCTTCTGCCTGGGACATCAACAGTGAGTAATAACTATAATAATGCAAAAATAATAGTCCTCACCCGAGAGGAAAAGTGTTAAAGGTCACCTATTATGCAAAACCCACTTTTTCATGTCTTTTATACATAAACATGTATAAACAACTCTGTGTAAAGAGATTCTGAAAGTTTCAGGAACAAAGATTCTCTCACTTTTTGTCCTGATCCATTTCTATAAAAACCTGTCTGAAAATTAGAGTCAAACTACTAGCTTATTGGTTATGAACAAGACTTCACTTTAAAATAGGGAACATGTTCTTAGATATACATACCTAATTTTGAGTTATTTAGACACAATTAACACTTATAGTTTAATGTCTTGTTACATAAGAATAGATCATATTTGTTAAGTGTTATTATGGGAGAATTACTATTATTGTGGTACTACTGCCTTATTAGGCCCATATTGAGCAGCGCATATTAAGACCAAAACTCATGTAACTTCCTTACTTGCAATAAATAAGCACTAATTAGCGGGTTATTGAGAAAAAACTCTCAACTAATGGCGTATTACTTGTAGAATAATGCATTAATAAGTGTTTTATAATGACTAATAAAGAGCCAATATACTGCTAATATGCATGTTAATTAACAACTAGTTGATGACCTTAATATAAAGTGTTACCTAAAACCTTTCTCGTTGTATATAGATATATATTTAAGGTCGATATGTGTTGACTTTACTTTAAAATAGCAGATCTCTGTGACTGGTAGGGATGGGAATGTGAAAGCAAATGTTTATTCGAATATTCGACCCCCCAAAAAATGGTTAACCGGTTAACCGAAATGTACATATCCTATATTAAAAAAAAATGGGGTAAAAAAAAAAATTGGACATAAACGCGAGTGAATTACCGGACGCGAGAGAGAGAGAGATCAGCACCTGCAGCTCTGCCCGCTGTGACGGACCGTCTCCACAGCAGCGTTAAAAAAATCTTGGAGGTGGGCGTATCTGAGGCTTGGGGATTTTTTTGCGATCAACCAATCACATGAATCTCCCGCCCGCGACATACGAAGCCAAAAAGCCCGAAGTAAACTGGATATAAACTCCCCAAAACAGGCGAAAACATACCACTGTCTCTGCCACCTCCCTCCATGCCTGGCTCCTCCGGTTTATATCCCGGTAGGTCTGGTCATAAAGCACCGGGTGATTGATTCCCTACCGCTAATTTCTCCTCCATTTTTTGGAATATGAGGAAATGACCTGCGGTATGTCTCTCCCAGCATACACGCCGTTTGATTGGCTAGAGCTTGAACTGCCAGATTTGCGTACACAGGATTTGATTGGCTGCCGCTTCCACCTCAGCTTCAAAAGTTGAACATTGTTCAACTTTGAATCCTGAAAATCCTGAGAATCTCCGCTCGCCTGCCCACAATGCATTTCGGCGAAAAGTGAGGGAAAGTGCCGTCACCCCATTCAAAGTGAATGGGCAGAAGCGTTTCAAGATCTTTTAACGCTGCTGTGGAGACGGCCCGTGAGGGACCGGTGAGCGGAGCAAAACACACCTTTAGACGTCACCTAACACATTTAGCTATGGCACTGTCGTATATATCGAATTATTCAATTTGATAATATGTAATCAACTTAGGCATCCCTCCCAAAAAAAGAAAAGAAAAAAAAAATTAATAAAAATATTCATAAGTCATATTCGAATACCTGAATAATTATTCGAATACCTGAATAATTATTCGAATATTCGATTAATCGTTCCCATCCCTAGTGACCGGATATAGTTTTTCGGCTTAGGCGAAACTTCGTAATGCATTTAGCGTGCGTGTCGCGTGTGTCTCGCGTGTGTCTCTGTTCCGATTAGGAGCTGCAGCACAACCTCCGCTGCGGCTCCTCCCTGCAGAGAGTCTGCATCGGTGCCGCGAAACCACCCGACCCGTCTTGTAACACGGAGCCCGTTTCCTAAACCATGCTAAATGTATGTGTGCATAAAGCTGAGTTATGATCGGTCATAATAACACCGAATTTGGTGATGATTAAATAGTTTACAGTGAGATTTAGTCACATACTTTTGGCCATACTCGCGAGATGAGATACTGAGATTTTCACACAAAAGATCTTAAGCAAGTGTGCAGAGCAATGTTGATTTTAAAATAGCAATTTGAAGGTTGGATATTTGCAAACCTTTTTTTGTGTATATATTAATAATTTAAAGTGGACCTATCATGCTATATTTGAATAATATAGTGTAGGACCATACCTATATAAGGCATATTTATACTTTTTTTTTTTTCAAAATACCAAACAGATCATGCATTTTAGCCATGCCTCATTTTGCTCAATTTGACATTTTTTAGATCTGTTTTAGCAAGGGCTGATTCAGTGAGAACAGCACCATCTACAGGCCTGGCATATGTACTACAGCGTCTCCAGCGCTTTCGAACGGCAATGGCCGTGGCTGTCTCCTCCTGATTGGTGGAGTTGGCCCAATAGCCGTAGCGCCACCGTCCTGACGTCAAGACAGTGTTCAAATCTGGATCAGTTTTTATCAGATCCGTTGCAGACCCTTTTTTAGAGATTTGGGTATGGAGGAAAATAGAGAGGGTTGTGTTTCTGACACTTGGTGAGTTCCCTGGAACACCGGGGACACATATTCATGTAGAATAGACGTACAAAAGTGCATTTTGCATGATAGGTCCCCTTTTAATATATACCCTCGCACTTCCACAGAGCTCAACCCCCTACATATCAAATCCCAACTTAACCCCCGAACGTTACACTCTAATGCAGAGTCCTACACAACAAACAACAATTTATTTATTATTAAAACTTTTTAAAATGTATCTTAAATAATAATTAAAACTGCGGTCACAGTCGGGCGCAGTTGTGGACGGGCCCTCGGGTCTTTGCGCCTGTCGGGGAGGGTCGCCGGTCGTCCTGGCGTCTAGTCGATGCACACGAGTCCTCCGAAATGAGCCGTTTGTAATTTCTCTAATTTTCGCGTCCTCGACTCCTCGGTCTTCCGGCAGCGACCCGGAAACGGATGTCGGCGCGCCATCTCGAAGGAAAACTAATTTCTCTAAAGGCTCATCGAGGATCGATTATCGAGGAGGCTCTCTGGAGGAGCCGTAACCGAGGATACACTGATTTAGAGGAGAGAGGAGTCTCTCTGCAGGAGCTATAACCGAGGGTACACTGATGTATTCTCCAGAGTCGATTTCAGCCAACAGTGATGTTTAAAAGAGGCGTGACGCATGGCTGGACTTATGTCAACGAAGCACAGCTCTGCAAACTGTTCCCGTTGTGATTATAAGTTATTTAAGAAGATCAAATGTGCATCAGACTTTCTGCCCTTTACCGTTTGTTTACTCACTAATCGGGGTGAGGTTGGTCAAAAGTGAGTTGTTGTTAAAGCTGGGAGGGAGAGGCCCCAGGTCTGGAGCTTAGTCCTGATGGGCTGCAGTCGGGAAGCAGACCTGAGGGTAGGGGTGTCTGGTTGTAGGGGGGCGAGGTTGTTGATGGCTTTGTCAGTAATGACATATATTAAGAAGTCAATCCGGTATTTAATTGGCAACAGGAACTTTTGTAAAGGTGGATTTATCCTGATTTGTCCTGCTTCCTGTCAGGTTTGTCAGCGCTCTGCTGGTGCCACCAGGTCACCCACACTGGCTGCTGTCTGGATCAGGGGTACGTCTGCCTTTCACATGCTTTGATTAACACATGTGTACACACACAGGCCACTTAGCACTGTCATTAATGATTTAATGTTCTCTATTCTAGTCTAAAGTCAATAAAGATTGGTTGGAGAACGTTCTTGGATTTTCACCTACTAGATGAATTGTATCTACTAACTGGAGCCTTTGTTGTCCCACATCCTATATTCTCATGTTTGTAAAGATATGTCAGAGTTCGGGCTGGGGCAGGTGGCGGGACTGTCGAACAGTCGAAGTTTATAAATAAAACTAGCAATTTGGTATTTCACTACCTGGAGGGTGTACCTCACATGGCTGACAGTGTGATATGAGAGCTGAGGCAGAGGGTCCATCAGGGTCCTTACAGAGAGACACTGTGTGTTTGTGTTTGTCAGGACGGGACCATGAAGCTGTGGGACTACGAGTCGGGCCGTAAGCTGCAGAGCTGGGACCTTAAAGAGCATGAAGAGACACCAAGCTCTGAGGCAGACAAACAGAAGGTAACCACGGTAACCACGGTAACCACAGCATGTTTTACCATAACACATTAAGGCTGCAGCGTGACTGGATGTCTTTGGTTATACTTTGACTTTTTATCTGGTGCCACAGTGAGGGTTTCGTTCCCTAATAATCTAGGGGTAAAAGGAAAGTATCAACATATAAAATAACCGGGAGAAAAAAAGAGGAAACTGATTTGTGAAACCAAAAGATAATGTTTTAATTAATCAAGACGGAGGACTCACTAGCCAATTTACAAACAAACTAAAGACAAATAAGAACAACTTTCTTACAAAGGAAAGTGACAACAGTAAACAATCTAAAAAGTTTCACTGGTGAACATCTCCTAATACTTAACAAAACACTAGTCCCTCTGGACTGGTACTGGTACCTCTTGGGTACTGCCATGCTGCCCTTAAGCAAGGCACCGGACAATGCCAACATTTCTGGTTTTGATAGAAAAGTCTTGAAATCTATTTGATGGATTACCGTTACAATTGATACACACAACAGTGTTTCCTCCTCAGGACAATATTATGACCTTGGGCATTTCTTTTTGAAATTATTCTCAGAATTCTGACTTTTGGTCTGAGAACTTTATTGGCTTAAATCCTAGAAAAAAAGTCAGAATTCTTAGAAACTACAAAAAAAAATCCCTTTTGGTCAGATCTCAAAACATTTTTTCAAATATGGCCCTTATCCTCATCTTGAGTTTAGGCATTTAGCTCACTCATTATTAAAGAAATAGGTAACCGGACAAGATGTTTGTGTCTGAAGTGTTTGCAGTCCGCTTGTAGTGGTTATTATTGACCAGTCACATTAATCTGGCTTTGTTTGCATGCAGCTAAACAGTCTGTAACGAGAGCAAAAGAGCCACACTGGCCAAAATGCAATCTCTGTAGTGTGTAGTTTGGTTAGGAGCGATCACTTCCTGGTCAGCAAAAGGAGTAGCAAGGAAAAACATGAAAACATAAATTTGGCTTACGAGTGTTCTACTAGGATTAAAATATGTGTCTTGCTCTGGTCAGTAGGCTCTGATCAAAACAAATACATATGCTGGTTCAGGTTTAATTTCATAAAAGCTGAGAATTGTCTGATCAAATTGTTTTGTGTTTATACCATAATAATAGTGTGACCTCAACTCCAAAGTGATTTAAATAGTTAATAACTTTTCTAAACTTGAACATATCCATGAAGCTCTCTTTACTCCGGCGAGAAGAAGCTCAGGTTGAAATATTTGAGTCTTACAGGAAAATATTTCTTCTTTATCATATTAGTCCTCCTCCTTGTGCTACCTGGATCCAGGGCCAAGCTGCAGACATGTGTGAGAAGTAAAAGTGTTAATGTGAAACACACGTTGTCTCTAGGCCTCCATCCCACACATTGTAATGTAGGGGATAACTCTGGAATCCTGATCCATACAGATACACATTATATAGACAATAATACAAAAAGAAAAAGGAAAAACAAAGTAAATATTTTGTATTGATTTTATAGTGAAATAATTGACCTGTTTTGAATGTGATGAAAAAGTGAAAGAATAATTGGATTATATGCTATCTACTGTATATAAATATGCAATTTCAAGTGGTCCTCAAAATCTTTACCAGGGCACTCTCTCTGAATAAATGATGTTTCAGTCCATGAACACCAAGCTGCTGCTCTTACTAATCAATAACAAGTTCAAGGACAGGGGGGTACCTATGTGACTCCTCCACATTTCTCTTTTTTTATTTCCCAGAAGCCAGCTGTGTGCCGCATCAGCTGCTCTCCTGATGCCCGGCATGTAGCCGTGCAGTGTGAGAGGTGAGTGTGTGAATCAGTCGTAGAGTAACGTGTTTAAAAGTCCCCACCATTCAATGTATTCAAGCTTTGTCATATTGTATCAACAGCTGCTGCCTTTAGCTCTTTCTAGAACATATTTCTTACATAATGAATATATACACATGCAGCTCTTAAGCGTTTAAACAACAGTATTTCATGTTCAGCAGTAGAAACTTTCTACTTTTTTGCCTGAATATTGGAGATGTATGGTTGGCTTTTGGTGTTTTAACAATTTCCATTCGTATGGAATAATTATCTAGTAATATGGAGGACAAGTTCAGAAAGGGACATCTCTTTAATGTAATGCTGCTTTTCAAACCAGGAAACACTATACTAATATTTAATATTGCATTATCTAGATTGGAAGAAGGGATATATTGTCATTCTCCACATTTCAGTGGTGAAACTGACCACCTGATCCAGTCACCACTACAGACCTACAGCAGTGTTCATATGTTATACGTTAATCACATGTTCTCAAAGTCAAATCTTCTGATAAGACCGTAAAGGAGTCAGATGAATGTAGCCGAGTGATATTCTCTGGAGTGTAGAGCAGAGTCCTGCACGGGTCTGATTTTCAAGACCCGCTCCCGCCCGCACCCGCGACGTGCAATACCGAACCCGCCCCGCTACCCGCACATATTGCCAATTAGTTCCGCAACCCGACCCGACCCGACCCGTCGGCACAAGATCCGCAACCCGATCCGCAACCCGATCCGAACCCGCATATATATGAGAAGTGAAAACGTGCAAATATTTACACACGCAGTTGCATATTTGTCTCAAAAAGCGTGAGATGTTGGTTATTTTCTCCATCTAGGATGACACCAAAAGCCTCCCAGATGTTGGATTTCGCTCTTGAGGAAGAGTTATTGACAATGCTGTATTCTCCGCTAGAGAGCTTCACCTCAGCCATTTCGAATGTGGAACGCTCAGCAGCAGATTGATGCGCTGCAGAGGTTATGATACTTTATATGGATTTCAATGACTACTTTTTTTACGATGTTGTATTTTATTGTTGCCTCTGTGTTTAGTGTCCTGTCTGTCTGTAACTTTGTGTGGTAGTGTTACCACTGACGGGTCTCTCTTGCAAATGAGACCTTGTGTCTCAATGAGGTTTTACACCTGTATAAATAAAGGCTAAATAAAAAATGATTATGCGCGGTCCCGCGGGGGAGAGGTCTGAGGATTTAAACATTAAACTAAATTATTATTATTTTAATATATTTATTATGCAACACCCGCGACCCGACCCGCGTCATCTTTGTTTTACCCAGAACCGAACCCGGAAAAAAGCGTTTGAAAAAATACCACCTGCGATTCACTCTTTTTGCGGGTCACCCGTCGGTACCCCGACCCGATGCAGGACTCTGGTGTTGAGTAAAACTGAACAAAATCCCACTGTTTAAGGTATTTAAGAGAATTTACAGATTTATTTTTTAAACTTTTGAATATCTGTGACCACAGGATGAAATTTGATGTAGAAGTGGATATTTTTCTAAAGGATTAAGTGAACATGTTGTCAGTTCCTGCTCTAGCATCCTAGTTTCTCAGTGTGTTTCTTTGAAAAATGTTTAGAGTTCCTGCGAACAGAAAGCTGCTTTTAACTTTGACATGCCATCCCACCTCGGCTGGCTTAAATGTATTTTTGCTTCTGATCTTTAAATGTATATTTGGAACTAAAGAGGTGCAAGGTCACTGGGGCTGTGTCGTATACACTGTACATGTAGGTGACACTCAGAGTAGGTCAGAGAGAAGAGGAGCACAAAGTGAAGCCACATATCAGCGTTTCTCTGACAGATAGAACAGTGCTCAGCTCATTGTTTCCTGTGTCCTCAGAGCGTCCACAGTTCACTTCTTCACTGTGGACCAGGATGGTGAAGAGAAGCTTGTGCCTCACAGAAGGCTCTCCCTGCCCCACTGCCCCCTGGACATGACCTTTGACCCGGAAGGTCAGCTATGGGTGCTGATGGACTCAAGTGATGCACCACTCCAGATATACACCGACAGACGAGACTGCTGGGAGGTACAGTGTGATAGATTCAATTATTTGTAGATTTATCAGAAACTAGAGAGCATTTGAGAGGTTAAAATGCTTAGTTTCTACATTATATTGAGTTCTAATGAAGAAAGAGGAAAGGGTTATTCTCCCTGACAAAGTGTTAGAGAGGGAGATACACACAGTGTGAGAGAGGGACGTACAAACACACAGTGTGAGAGAGGGACGTACACACGGTGTGAGAGAGGGAGGTACACACGGTGTGAGAGAGGGAGGTACACACGGTGTGAGAGAGGGACGTACAAACACAGTGTGAGAGAGGGACGTACACACAGTGTGAGAGGGACGTACACACAGTGTGAGAGAGGGAGGTACAAACACAGTGTGAGAGAGGGACGTACACACAGTGTGAGAGAGGGACGTACACACAGTGTGAGAGAGGGACGTACACACAGTGTGAGAGAGGGACGTACACACAGTGTGAGAGAGGGACGTACACACAGTGTGAGAGAGGGACGTACACACAGTGTGAGAGAGGGACGTACACACAGTGTGAGAGAGGGACGTACACACAGTGTGAGAGAGGGACGTACACACAGTGTGAGAGAGGGAGGTACAAACACACAGTGTGAGAGAGGGACGTACACACAGTGTGAGAGAGGGAGGTACAAACACAGTGTGAGAGAGGGACGTACACACAGTGTGAGAGAGGGACGTACACACAGTGTGAGAGAGGGAGGTACAAACACACAGTGTGAGAGAGGGACGTACACACAGTGTGAGAGAGGGACGTACACACAGTGTGAGAGAGGGACGTACACACAGTGTGAGAGAGGGACGTACACACAGTGTGAGAGAGGGACGTACACACAGTGTGAGAGAGGGACGTACACACAGTGTGAGAGAGGGACGTACACACAGTGTGAGAGAGGGACGTACACACACAGTGTGAGAGAGGGAGGTACAAACACACAGTGTGAGAGAGGGACGTACACACAGTGTGAGAGAGGGACATACACACAGTGTGAGAGAGGGACGTACACACAGTGTGAGAGAGGGAGGTACAAACACACAGTGTGAGAGAGGGACGTACACACAGTGTGAGAGAGGGACGTACACACAGTGTGAGAGAGGGACGTACACACAGTGTGAGAGAGGGACGTACACACAGTGTGAGAGAGGGACGTACACACAGTGTGAGAGAGGGACGTACACACAGTGTGAGAGAGGGAGGTACAAACACACAGTGTGAGAGAGGGACGTACACACAGTGTGAGAGAGGGACATACACACAGTGTGAGAGAGGGACGTACACACAGTGTGAGAGAGGGAGGTACAAACACACAGTGTGAGAGAGGGAGGTACAAACACACAGTGTGAGAGAGGGACGTACACACAGTGTGAGAGAGGGACGTACACACAGTGTGAGAGAGGACGTACACACAGTGTGAGAGAGGGACGTACACACAGTGTGAGAGAGGGACGTACACACAGTGTGAGAGAGGGACGTACACACAGTGTGAGAGAGGGACGTACACACAGTGTGTGAGAGGGACGTACACACGGTGTGAGAGAGGGACGTACACACTGTGTGAGAGAGGGAGGGTACAACACACAGTGTGAGAGAGGGACGTACACACAGTGTGAGAGAGGGACGTACACACAGTGTGAGAGAGGGACGTACACACAGTGTGAGAGAGGGACGTACACACAGTGTGAGAGAGGGACGTACACACAGTGTGAGAGAGGGACGTACACACAGTGTGAGAGAGGGAGGGTACAAACACACAGTGTGAGAGAGGGACGTACACACAGTGTGAGAGAGGGACGTACACACAGTGTGAGAGAGGGAGGTACAAACACACAGTGTGAGAGAGGGACGTACACACGGTGTGAGAGAGGGACGTACAAACACACACATATCAGGGGAACACACATATGGAACACACATATCCAGGGGATGCATGCAGAGCTCTCATTGGCTGAGATAAGTCACAGTGTTAGAGAGGGAGATACATGTGTATCTCCCTCTCTAACACTGTGACTATGTAGAAGGCTTCTCAATTCTCTAATTTCCCCTCCTCGAATCCTCGGTCCTCCGGTAGTGACCCGGAAATGGGTTTCAGCGCACCATGTTGAAGGACATCTCATTTCTCTAAACGTACATCGAGCATCGAGCGTCGAGCATCGAGCATCGAGGAGGCTCTCTGGAGGAGCTATGGTCGAGGATACACTGATGGTTCCTCCACGGCTCCTCTGCGGATGTATTTCCGGCAACAGTGATGTTCCAAAGAGTCGTGACGCACGGCCGGACTTATCTCAGCCAATGACAGCTCTGCATGCATCCCCTGGGCCCAGGAGTTAAAAACTTTTAATCTCAATCAGATCCGATCAGATTTTGAAATGCCATTTTTTGTGATCCAGGATCAGACAAGTCGGCCAGATTTTGTCCCTGTAGTTCAAAGCAATTCAGGATAGGATCACCCTGATCCAGATTACGATTTTTCAAGATTACTAGATCCTGAATATCAGTGCTTTAATCCTACCGATCGCCATCTAGTGGATATGAAAAGGAAGGAAGAGACCACATTGCAGAGACATCTATAATGTTTAATTATATTTCTTAATTTGAAAGGTGATGACAGATGATGGACTTTTTTTTTGTTGAAGATATTTTTACTTTAATCTAAATTACATATGTGATTGACAATCTTTGTTGTGATACTTTTATGAGCATAAACATTTATGTCATCAACATTTGGTTGAAAACAAAATAGACCACCACAAACGTGAGCAAAAATGGAAAAATAAAATGTATTTCCCATGAAGGCTAAAAATGGTGTATTATTTCAGTTAACAAACTTTACCATCTTATTGAAATTGAAACATATTTAAAAATAAATTGTACAGTACATTTTGCTCTGGTAATCCACTGGAAATCTACCCCTCTGGTGGGATCAGGATAATCCAGTTTTTTGGGATCAAACTGATTTTTTTTTGGTTTTGAACTACCCAAAATCCAAATCTGATCTGATCAGATAGGGATTAAAAGTTTTTAACTCCTGGGCCCTAGATATTATTTTATTAGCTGCTTTCATCGCGACGCGATGTTTACAGTGAGAACAGCTGTGAGGTCCGTGCAGAAAGCAGAGCATCTACAAACAAAGAGTCCATATTTTTCCAAGACCTTGCTTCACATAATAAAATACACAACGGCTGTATCCTGAGATATATTATATGCTTTAGGAGCTGTAGGTGTGTGTTGTACAGTGTGTAGGTGCCGCGTGTTGTACAGTGTGTAGGTGCCGCGTGTTGTACAGTGTGTAGGTGCCGCGTGTTGTACAGTGCGTAGGTGCCGCGTGTTGTACAGTGCGTAGGTGCCGCGTGTTGTACAGTGCGTAGGTGCCGCGTGTTGTACAGTGCGTAGGTGCCGCGTGTTGTACAGTGCGTAGGTGCCGCGTGTTGTACAGTGCGTAGGTGCCGCGTGTTGTACAGTGCGTAGGTGCCGCGTGTTGTACAGTGCGTAGGTGCCGCGTGTAGGTGCTGCGTGTTGTACAGTGTGTAGGTGCCGCGTGTTGTACAGTGTGTAGGTGCCGCGTGTTGTACAGTGTGTAGGTGCCGCGTGTTGTACAGTGTGTAGGTGCCGGCGTGTTTGTACAGTGTGTAGGTGCTGCGTGTTGTACAGTGTGTAGGTGCCGCGTGATAGGTGCTGCGTGTTGGACAGTGTGTAGGTGCCGCCGTGTTGTACAGTGTGTAGGTGCCGCGTGTTGTACAGTGTGTAGGTGCCCCGCGTGTTGTACAGTGTGGTAGGTGCCGCGTGTTGTACAGTGCGTAGGTTGCCAGCGTGTTGTACAGTGCGTAGGTGCCGCGTGTTGTAACAGTGCGTAGGTGCCCGCGTGTTGTACAGTGCGTAGGTGCCCGCGTGTAGGTGCTGCGTGTTGTACAGTGTGTAGGTGCCGCGTGTTGTACAGTGTGTAGGTGCCGCGTGTTGTACAGTGTGTAGGTGCCGCGTGTTGTACAGTGTGTAGGTGCCGCGTGTTGTACAGTGTGTAGGTGCTGCGTGTTGTACAGTGTGTAGGTGCCGCGTGTAGGTGCTGCGTGTTGTACAGTGTGTAGGTGCCGCGTGTTGTACAGTGTGTAGGTGCCGCGTGTTGTACAGTGTGTAGGTGCCGCGTGTTGTACAGTGTGTAGGTGCCGCGTGTAGGTGCCGCGTGTTGTACAGTGTGTAGGTGCTGCGTGTTGTACAGTGTGTAGGTGCCGCGTGTTGTACAGTGTGTAGGTGCCGCGTGTTGTACAGTGTGTAGGTGCCGCGTGTTGTACAGTGTGTAGGTGCCGCGTGTTGTACAGTGTGTAGGTGCCGCGTGTTGTACAGTGTGTAGGTGCCGCGTGTTGTACAGTGTGTAGGTGCCGCGTGTTGTACAGTGCGTAGGTGCCGCGTGTTGTACAGTGCGTAGGTGCCGCGTGTTGTACAGTGCGTAGGTTGCCGCGTGTTGTACAGTGCGTAGGTGCCGCGTGTTGTACAGTGCGTAGGTGCCCGCGTGTTGTACAGTGCGTAGGTGCCCGCGTGTTGTACAGTGCGTAGGTGCGGTGGACAGACGGGTCTCAGTTGGTTTGGTGTCCTGTGCTTACTTGTAAATAAAACTTTTGGCCCGTAATTTCAATTCCCCATTTCAGCGACCAGAGAGAGGGGGGGGGATATATCCAGTCTCTGATTGTGTTACGTTATTACGAGAGTGCTCTCATACTTGTTTGATTCTGAAATTGTATATATTTATATAAATATGTGTGTATATGTCCGCATCTGTAGCCTGTTATTGTCTCATTATACCGCACTGTGAATGAATTCAAAGTAAATATATAAGTCATCATGAACACATCTGTCCATCAGACAGAGGGCTGCTGTGCCTCCTGTCATCATTAATGGACGTCTCTTTAAAATGACCGCTCAGAGGAGAGGAGTTCTCATTTCTCTAACCACCTGCTGCTTCCCCTCCTCTCTCCTCGGTTCCCCTCCTCTACACACACAGTGTTAGAGAGGGAGGTGCGCACACACACACACACACACACACACACACACACACACACACACACACAGTGTTAGAGAGGGAGGTACACACTAGGCTTGTTTGAGACAAGCGAGACCTGCGCAGACCTGCGCAAAGGCGATCAACGTCTTGCTAGTGCGTTGCATGATGGTTAGTCATTTGTCCGACTTGCTCTGGAGGCTCGCCTACATGAGACGTTGAAATCTCGCGGGACAAAGACGCCCGCAGACTTGAGAGCGAGGCGCGGCGAGGCGGCGCAGTTTCTCTCCACGGGCTGCGGAAGCGAAATGCTTGATGGGAAACGACTCGCTGGTATCTCGAGCTGAGCGCTCATTGGTGGTTTTTACCCCGTGCTGGTGATGAAACTCTCCATTGGCTCGGCAAAAGTGTGTTGTTTTGTGTCAGTTTTACGTCGCCACTTCCATTCACATTTTTCATCATTGTTCCACAATGTTTATCATCATGAAATTAATATCTATATATTTTATACTATACTTGCACTGCTTACCGTTGTCATACTTTATATATCTTAGCATATTCATACAACACACTGTTCATACTAGGCTAGGCTACTGTGTATATAGTGTATTCATACCCCTCACTGTTTTTTCATCATTCAATTCATTCTATATTTTATTCTGTAGATTGTGTACATTACTTTTCACTTTACTGCTTTATGCACTCCTGGTTAGAAGCTAAACTGCATTTCGTTGTCTCAGTACCTGTAATCTGTGCAATAACAATAAAGTTGAATCTAATCTTGAGCAGGAACAAATGTATTTACTTAGTACATGTCTGACATTAACGATTAAACACATTTGTGCATTCTTTATAAATGCAAACCGAGTCAAGCCGACTCCGGAGGTGGCAGTATGCACCTTAAAGTTGTTTGCAATCCGCCAAAAAACCGAGAGAAGAAGAGGAAGAAGCCGACTCCGAGCTGTCCGACTTCAGGCGAGCTTTTTGAGACCTCCCCCGGCTGCGATCGGCTATTCTCGTCTACTTTCGAGGCGAGCCGCAGCTCGTCTCAAACAAGCCTATTGTGTTAGAGAGGGAGGTACACACACACAGTGTTAGAGAGGGAGGTACACACACACACACGGTGTTAGAGAGGGAGGTACACACACACACACGGTGTTAGAGAGGGAGGTACACACAGTATTGAAGAGGGAGGTACACATGCCTGACTGTGCCCCCCCCCCCCGTCCCCGTCCCCGTCTGTGCAGTCTGATTCTGAGAGTCCCGAGCTGATCAGAGTGACTGAGGCCTTCAAACCGCACTGGGAGACACTGGAGGGTGAGTACACACACACACACACACACACACACACACATGGCCCTATGGCCTCTGCCTGTGTTTCTCCTGTGCCCTCCCCCTCTCATTCTCACACCCTCTTGACAGGAATAACCTGCAGTGTCACATGACCTCCAACATGTTGTGCTGCTGACACAGGCTACATTCCGCAGTGCTGTGCACTCGGAGATGGTCTTCTGCATACCCCTGTTGTAACCAGTGGTTATTTCAGTTACTGTTCCCTTTCTATCATCTTGAAACAGTCTGGCTAAATTTCCTCTGGCATCAACAGGGCATTTTCGCCCAGAGAACGGCCGCTCACTGGATATTTCCCGTTTTTCAGACCATTCTCTGTAAACTCTAGAGATGGTTGTGAAAATCCCAGTAGATCAGCAGTTTCTGAAATATGCCGCGTTCAAAGTCACTTAAATCACCTTTCTTCTCGTTCTGATGCTTTGTTTGAACTTCACCAGGTCCTCTTGACCATGCCTAAATGCTTTGAGTTGCTGCCATGTGATTGGCTAAGATATTTGTGTTAACTAGCGGTTGTACAGGCGAACCTAATAATGTGGCCAGTGAGTGTATATTACGTTAATTTTGTGCAGAAGTGAATTAGAATCAGCTTTATTGGCAACCAAGCTTACACGTACAAGGAATTTGCTTTTGTGTATAATGGTGCGCACGTGAACACAGTAAGAACAAAAAAACAGAAGTTCAGCTGGTTAAAATAATGTGCATGACATAAAAAGTTGTAAATAAAATGGATAAAAGGAATAAGACCGGACATAAATATTAATTATACAAATTAAAAATAATAACGATCGTAAAATAAATAAACTAAACTAAACTAAGAAATAAGTTTGCTGCATTAATACTACTGCAACAAGTACATTTATTTACATATAGTTCATATTAACTCTAATAAGTTATTAAGTAAGTATGTAAGGGAGTAAATGGACTCTTTACCACCCCCCCTCTGGAAATGTTATATACAATGTTTTGTTGTATTAATAATACAGTATTCCTCATTCAAATACATATGGCCAGCAGGAATTGAAAAGGTAACATATGTCCCTGTCAGGGAACTATTTAAGATAATTATCCTTCCATAGTTTATAAACCTGGCCGTTCTTTGTCCGACAGGCAAAGGGCCCCTGTCTTTAACTCTCTCTCTGGGTGATGAGGCGGGCCGTTCTTACGCTCTGGACTTCAACCACAGCTGTGTCTTAGAAATGACCATAAAACAATGTGTTCTTCAGACGGTCAGTCTGACCCTGCCAGGGACAGGATTGGCAGCGTCTTGTAGTATAATGTTGATTATGGATTAGGAGTGGTTCAGTATGAGGGACGGGGGGAGGGATCTTCAGGGTTGGTTGGGCAGAAGCTGGGCCCCGGTGGTGTCTCCGCAAATGTCTTTGTTAATCCTCCGGCCGTAACCAATACATCTTCAGAGTCTCTCTGACATCAGCTCAAGCTCTCCTGTGTTCTCTCCTTGTGTTCTGGTTCTTGCTCCAACAAGTTCTCCACAGTCCTCACCTCTATTTCTTTTATTTATGTTCATATTGTTCTCTTCTAAAGACGGTTTAAAGTGTTTAGCTCTTTTTCTTGTCACAACCTCGTCCTCCTGCTCTTCTCTTCCTCAACAGCCTCCTTAAGGACTGACAGCCGCTTCGAGCACCTGTACAAGGTGAACTTCGACAACGTGGCGGCGTACCTGCAGAAGAAGCAGCAGAGACTGGAAGAGCAGCTGAAGAGGGGGGGGACACAGAAGGCCAACAGCAACAAGAAGGCCAGAAAAGAAAAGTTGTAACAAAGTGATCTTCCTGAATGGACACAGGGACATTTATTTTTGATGTTTTGAATGATTGATATGAGTTGAATGTGTGCATTTGATTAAGCACTTGAGAGCGTGTGCTTCACCACATGGCAGTTTGGCTTACATTTCTGGCTGATTTTTAAATAAACGTTGCAATCATCAAACTGTGCCTTCTGTTTCCAGCACCATACATGCTGTGTGTGAATGAGCACCATACACCCTCTCCTCACATTCACTGCTGCTTTGCACTCTGTACTTCCTTTGCATTACGACACATTTTTTATCATATTTCTGTCTTCTGCACAGAACTGATGCAACATGCCTGTCGTTGATATGCATAGGATTCACAGTGTATGTGTGAGCCTCTTGTGTGAGGCAGCGCATTGTGAAGAACTCATTGTGATGAGCTGATGTCAGAACTCTGCAGGCCATTTAAAAAGCATTGTCTAAGACTTCATGGTGTGCTGTAAATATTAAATGTATTGCCCGGTAAGTAAGTTGCAAAGGGTTTCCTATTCAAATATCCAGCAGACACAGAGACATTTGGAGTTGTGTTTGTGTCTAACTGATGCAGACTTGGAGTACAGGGACATTTTTTGTTTTCATTTTGAAGTTAAATCATCAATCTAGTGCACTTTGAGGGCAAAATAACAAGATCTATGGAAACACCCATATGAAACAGAACTGTATACTTTTCAATGATCATAAACTCATAAGAATATGGCCATAACCAATAACATAGCATATCCAATAGCAAAACATTGCAACTTGTTCATTTTATTAGTTTAGGTTCATTTATAGTTGTGAGTGTTTCTGGGCTCCTGAATCAGCCTCTCCTCTCTCCCCCCTCTCCCTCCTCTCCCCCTGCTGCTATGTGACGCAGCAGAAAGACTAGTTTTAGCTCTCAACAAGTTTTAAATGTTTATCTTACCTTATTTCACCTAGTTAAAATGTTTTCTTTTTATTCATGCATATTTTACTCACTACCCTTTCCAACTGCATTTGAGTTTCACTGTCCTACAGTATGAATTGGGAGGACTTCATAGCTGTCTTATTTATTCTGTTATTTTTTGAAAACTATAATGATTATATAAAGGTGTGCCTTGGAAACATTTGTGTACCTGAATGGTGACCAAACCGTTTGAGACTCACTGAGATCAATTAAACTAACATAACTAAAGTGAACTATTTAAACACTGAAAGAGTCCCTTACCTCACTGAGCTGTAGTTATCAGTCTGACAGGAGAGAGCTCTCCTCCACCTTGTTTTAGAAACAGCTCTTTCCAGCTCCCCTTATATCCGTTAGCGCAGCTAGCTAGCACCAGATGCTAACAACAAAAATCCTCGGTACTGTTGCTCTCTCTCTCGCTCGCTCACTCACTCACAGTGGCGAGCCGTGACATTTATACCTAGGCCATACCTATATAAGGTATATTTATACGTTTCTGTTTTCAAAATACCAAACAGATCATGCATTTTAGCCATGCCTCATTTCGCTCTATGTGCTGTTTGCTGTCTACGGGTCTGATTCTGCTGACCACGCCCCCCTGCAGGAGAGGGGAGACGTGCTCTGATCAGCTGCTGGGCTGTCAGAAGAGGGGGAGAAAAAGAGATCTCCGTCCTCCGTGTTTTATTATATAGAGTCGTTATTCATTTGTTTTAAAGCTCAATAAATAACAAAGAAGACCTTTGACCGGCACTTTTCTAATTTTGTCCGGAAGATTTAAACTTTAACGGACATCTTGACCGGCGAAAAGAAACTGAAACTGAAACTCTGCCGCACGGTCCCCTCGTTCCTTGGAAGAGGCGGAGAGGTGGTAACTATGGGCGGGAAGTCTTCTTCGCTGCTTTTGTGGCAGACTACAGCACCACTTACAGGCCTGGCATATGTACTACAGCGTCTCCAGCGCTTTCGAACGGCAATGGCCGTGGCTGTCTCCTCCTGATTGGTGGAGTTGGCCCAATAGCCGTAGCGCCACCGTCCTGACGTCAGGACAGTGTTCAAATCTGGATCAGTTTTTATCAGATCCGTTGCAGACCCTTTTTTAGAGATTTGCACATGCACACATGCAGCCGAGCTTGAATGACACAGAGACCCATCAGGGCTTTAATGTATGATCGGTATGACAGTGGCCATGTCGTGTGTCTACATGATGCCGGTCTACCTGTTTGAGGCAGACCCACATTTGGGCAGCGTTGCGTTCACAATACTAAAAAATCCTCAGGCCACTTAACGGGCCAGCCGCCAGACCATAGGGAAACCACCCAGTGCTTCTGTTGGCCAGTCCGGGCCTGCGACTCGGTCTCGCGCATGAGGACTTGGACTCTTATATTGACGATTGGACTTGGACTCGGACTTGAACACGTTTTGTGACCAACAGCAAATATATCCACTCAGATTAATACATGATGACTCAGACTTGTGACTTGGACTCGGAACTGACTTGACTACAACACTGAACTGATGAATGTAGGTCCAATAGTTATTCTCCTTTTAGCTCAGTTTTGGTCTCCACCATCTCCTGGGGGTAATGGGTGTCTCTTTAGCTGCTCCACTCTGTTTACCAGTTGGTCTCAAACACACACACAGCTGGTGACTGTGTGTTTTCTGCTGAGCAGGTAGTGCAGTATAAGTCAGTCTTCAGTGAACAGTTTCCGTTTGAACCGGGGAATCAAACGTTGTGTTCTGTGAAACCCAAACAAAGAGCTGAGAGATGCCGAGCTGCAGGAGGAGTGAATCCAGTTGAACCGGTGTTCATTTAGCTTTTGTCCAAAGCACCTTATGATAGCCCTTGTAATCGCTGGTGCATTAGTCTCACTGAGTGAATGAGTTCAATCTTTTAAGTAATCCATTGTTTGTGTGTGCGTCTGTGTGTCTCTGTGTGTGTGTGGTTTCAAATCTGCCAAAATGTAAATACATAGAACTTGATACATTACCATGACATCATTTTATAGTGTGTATATATATGTGTGTAAGGAGTTCAGAAAAGGTCTAAACGCCTAGATAAGTATTTGTGAAAAACAATAAGCAGAGACACTTACAGTCCACACAGGATTTTGTAATTAAAGAAATCCATTTAATTTTTGTAGGAAAGAACAAGGGTCACTAAAAATCTGTACAATCTGTAAAAAACAACACATTTCAAATAAAAAACAATGCAAGAAATGTATCTAAATATAGTTCACTTAAGTAGTCTGTGCTGTACAAATGTGGACACTTCCTGAAAAGGCTTTGGATTGTCAGTCCGGTCGTGGAGTCCCTGCTGGTTTGTAACGTTGTCTCACAGCTGCTGTCTCAGATCCTCTCCATCACGTCCTCCTGCAGCGCCGGGACCAGAGCCTGCAGCCATGACGGAGCGAGGGGTCTGCCCACTCACTGCTGCAACACACACATTGGATTTAAGAAACCTGAGCACACACTTCCAGCAAACACTGCAGGAACACTGTTCTTTCCTACCTTTTTAAAACCTCTTACTTCTTCTTCCCTCCCATGGTCAAGTTCTCACTTTTCATTTTCTGCACCTGAAGGGAACATTACTTGTCATCAGCCACAGTCTGCACCAAGGACAAAGTCCATTCAGCCAAGCACTTCTAGAAATCCTCCAACCTCATTCATGGCGTCATCAATCTGTTTGAGTTCTTCATACCGGTCTCTTGACTCTCTGAGTGGCTGTACCATCGTCTCCTCAATCTGTGGGAACAGCTAGGACACACACACAGAGCTGTAAGTGCCACTATCTTCACTGCACTCACTTCATTACTTAGTTTTTATATAACTAACTGTCCCTTTGAAGCAGCGGCGTGTAGGTCTGTTTAATCGTCATCATGATATCAACTTGCGAAAATATAGGTCTGATTTTAAAGTGCAGTTTTTTTACTGGTACTCTTTCTACTACATACCTATCATTCTTGTGTTTTAGGTGTATTTTGTGTTTAGGTGAAATTGTTGGAAATATTTCCTCATTCTGATAATTCAACAATTGATTTGCTGTATTTTGGCAGCGGCAGAACAGAGTAAGTTCTGTGAGTGCACAGGTTAAATCGTTGCAATATTCAACATTATTGCAATCTTCCTCATTTGTTGCAGCCCTAGTGACGTGCTAGTTTGAGAAACAGTTTCAAGTCCTGCCTTCCTTCTGAGAGGACTGCTGCCAGGAGATGTCGTCCTGTCTGAAGTCCTTCTCCGCTCCCTCTAAACAACTCTCCCTTTACTGAAAGCTACAGTTGAGGCCTAAATGATTAGCCCCCCAGGAGTTATGGAACATTTTCCTAAAATTCTTCCCAATGTTTCCAGCATTGATAAAACTTGATATCAAACATTCACCAGTGCTATTTAGCAGCTTTTGGTACATTTTGGAAAATAAAATAAGTTTTTAGGCTTGCTTTATATCAAATATAGTGAAACATGGGTTGGTCAAAAATATTAGCCTCCATGTGAGTTTTTGCTTTCAAAACACACCTAATCAATCAGCTTTCAAACCACACCTAATCAATCAATCAGCTTTCAAACCACACCTAATCAACCAATCGGCTTTCAAGCCACACCTGAGCATTCAATCAGCATAAAAGGACTCCAAGAAACAGGCACTTGAATACCTTATTGAGAGGGACTATACTACTACTCCTACTCACCATGCCAAAGACAAAGGAAATCAGTCTTGAGCTCAGAAAGAAGATAGTGGAGGCTCATGATAAGGGGGAAGGCTATACTGCTATTTCCAAGCGCTTCACAGTGTCTAGAACTGCTGTACGTTGCATCATTGCGAAGTACAAGGAGACTATTTCTGTAAGAAACAAACCTAGGCGTGGTCGAAAGCGCAAGGTTTCAAGAACTCTGGAGAGGAAAATAGTCAGAGATGTCAGCAAGAATCCCCGGACATCTGCCAAGATGATTGTTGCTGACCTGGCCTCTTCTGGAGTTGATGTTTCAAGGAACACAGTTGTGAGGGCTCTTCATCGTGGTGGGCTTCAGGGCCATCGTCCCAGAAGAACCCCTTTACTCAAAGAGCAGCACATCAGAGCCAGACTGAGGTTTGCCCGTGAACATTTGAAAGGTAAAGATGAGTTTTGGAAGTCTGTGCTTTGGTCTGATGAGACTAAACTGGAACTGTTTGGGCACATGGATGTTGCTCATGTTTGGCGAAGAAAGGGAGAGGCCTTCAACCCTAAGAACACATCATGCTGTGGGGCTGTTCTGCAGCCTCAGGCACAGGGAGCCTTGTTCGGGTGCAAGGCATCATGAACAATAAAAATTATGTTGACATTTTGAGGGATAATATGAAAAAATCTGCTCTTAGTCTTCGCTTAGGTCGTCGCTGGGTCTTCCAACAAGACAATGAGCCAAAGCACACATCAAACTTGGTCCAACAGTTCCTAAAGGATACCAAAACCAAGGTGCTGGAGTGGCCCGCACAGAGCCCAGATCTGAATCCTATTGAGAATCTGTGGCGGGTGCTCAAAGTGAATGTCCATGCTCGGAAACCACGCAATTTGGACCAGCTGGAACAATTTGCAATGGAAGAATGGGCCGACATCCCTCAAGAGACCTGTGCCAACCTAGTCAAGAACTACTCTAAGAGGTTGTTGTCAGTTGTGGCTCAGAAAGGGTACACTATTGACTATTAATGGCCTGGGGGCTAATATTTTTGACCAACCCATTTTCACTATATTTGATATAAAGCAAGCCTAAAAACTTATTTTATTTTCCAAAATGTACCAAAAGCTACTAAATAGCACTGGTGAATGTTTGATTATATCAAGTTTTATCAATGCTGGAAACATTGGGAAGAATTTTAGGAAAATGTTCCATAACTCCTGGGGGGCTAATCATTTAGGCCTCAACTGTATGTCCATAATACATGTGTAAAATGAAACACTGTTTCTGTGCAATTTCTGCTTAATTGAATATCATATTCCGAACAAATGGCAGTGAGTATAATTGACGTGATTTCTGACATTGGTGAATGAAGTATTCGGTCAAATGAATACCTTGTTGCAATAATATTCAATTTAAAGTAAGTCCTGATTACTCGAGAGTAAATGTACTTAGTTACTTTCAAACACTGATTTTAGACGCATGCTTGGCTTTTAGTCCATTGTGAACAAAGCATGAGACTCTGAAGCACACCGGGTCCTCTCAGAAAGTGACTGACGAGAAGCTTTGGTCGGCATAAGGCCACATCTAGCCAACAGGAAGTGGGCCAATGCATCGGTGTTATCCCCTCGCAACAAGACCTCTTGAAGCAAACCAAGCCTTAACCCCCATTTCAGGACCATTCAGCAACTGACTTGAATTAGAACTAAACTTGTAGAAGAAGTGCATTAATGTCCCCTGATGCACATTTTCCAATAAATGTAATTGACAATGGTTGGCAACATTGGTGCGGTAAAGAACAGGTTGTATGATGTGGAGTTTCTCTGGAATGACATGCATAAGGTTAACAGAGCCACTGAACCCAGTCTGACTCATTATTAACCATAAATAATAAACAGAACTTGTAATATGTTTTGCGTGTTTAGTAGAAGAAAGCGCCACACTTATAAGTCGTCACAGAACATGAACCGAGCAGATGTATGGGATATTAATTATTCACCATAAATGCTTTGAATAAGTAGGCACTTGTTGCTACCACAATGATAGCAAACGGGTTGTCATTCAATAAAATAATAATAATAACACACGTCTGTCTGGTTAATGTGGTGCTACATTTAAATATGTGTGTGTGATCGTGTTCTAGCCACTGCGATTTTGCAGTTACCGAACAGCTCTCTGCTCTCGCCCTGAACTCTTGCTGCTCTGTGACTCCGCCTCCAATGGGAGCCTCCGACGTTCTTGGGGCTGCTGCAGTGGAAACCGGTGGGAAAAGGGGTACCAGTGGCACCCCCGGTTGGCAGCTCTGTTACTTTGCCCTTCATCCTCATTGTCCTGCACACTCACCTTCATCACTGTCTCAAACATGGGGATGAGCACGAACTTGATGAAACCAATCTGAGCCGTGGGCTTGGTGACCTTCTCTCTGTCCATGAACGGAGCCACAGGAAGCCCTTCAGCCTTCTCCCTGTCACTCTGAGCCACACCACACACACACACACACACACACACACACACACACACACACACACACACACACACACACACACACACACACACACACACACACACACACACACACACACACACACACACACACACACACACACAGTTTTCAAGGATAGGACTACCTTTACGCTACACATGACACATCAGACACTGTCATGGCTAAAATGATGGAGTCTGGTCACAGCAACAAAAGAACATCTCCTGTGTTCTGTGTGTGAAGGACCCACCTGCATGAAGTACTCCTCCAGCAGGCAGTCCACCCAGGGCTCAGCCACCTCCATGGGCCGCACCTCGTTGGAGATGTCGCAGCACTTTATGAGCACCATCTTCAGCTGCACACAGCCGGGTCAGAGGGCAAAGGTCACCATGATGAGAGATTTAATGGGAGCATGCAAAGCATAGAGAATTTTCACGATGAGATTACATGCTACTTACATTAAACACAATTTCTTTGTCTCAACTTTTTAATTGATTGATTCTCCTCCCACAAGACCAACTTTCATGATGGCTAAACTCTGACGCTCATTCTACTCCTGACCGCTTCATTCAGTATTAAAGTTATAAATGAATAAAAGTGATGACAACAAAGAGCACATACAGTATAGCAGAGTTGGGACCAAGTCAGGTAAGTATTTGAAATCAAGTCCGAAGTTAAGTGCCAGATCCTAAGTTTAAATCCTACCCAAGTCCTAACGTGCTCTTCACCAAATGCTATGGCAGTTTGACAAAAGAATAATACTGAATATGATTGGCTGATCATGTGGGAATTTAACTGTTGACTTTGAATGAATAGCAGTAATGTTAGATAATGATTAATAATCATTTGTGGACAACATTCTTTTTTATTTTAAGGCTTGGGGGAATTTTCAAGTATTTTCCAGTGAAAAGGGCCAAGTTCAATAAAGTCACGAGTTATTAGTGTAAAAGTCCAAGCCGAGTTGCTAGTCCTTTTTGATTGTGTCAAGTGGAGTCTAACGTCATCACATGTGTGACTCCAGCCATGCTCTGTGTCGATCACACAGTAGCAGTCCCACTGATGTTTGACTGGTTAGCATGCAGTCATGGAGGTTGTACATGTTGATGTTCAAAGTTCATGTTTACAGTATTGTTATACGTTTATTGTTTGATTACTGTTTGGGGATCATTTCAAATGAATATATTCTCATTGGATCTTATTTAATTTGTAATATTTGGAAACAGGTGTGTAAATGTCTGTGGGACGAATACAGGTATTCTGATTCTAAGATTGTGGCTTTTTGACAATTGTGCTTAATTTCCCTTGACACTCACAGAGGCCTCACGTGGCCCCTTCTCACTGACACTCTGTGTGTGTCCATGTAGTGTAGTGATGCAGGATGACATCACCACAAGGTTCCTGTCAATGTTATTTTCATG